TTGCTTAGTAACCGGAGCTGCTGTACGTAATCGTGGGGGCAGTGTGGCGCAGCCATTACTCTTGGCATCCATTTTGGCGGCTATCCGGTAAAATGTTATTCCGGATAGGGAGTGGCTTGAATCTCACCCCTGGTCTGCAGCATCAAGAGAATGGAATCGTTGGGGTATCATTCAACAGGGATTGAGCTGGACTCTTCACAGTTGGGAGTGAGCACGAGTCTGGAGGTTGGGTAAACAGTGACAGAAAATTATTGATGCTATCAAGACAACTAGTGACAAATCCGCCTTTGTCCCGCGCCGTTCCCCGCTATATACTCGGTGCAACTGGCAATGCAACCTGCAATAATTAGACATGGATGAGCTGTATCGAACTGGTGCCACGCAGCTGGCCAAATCGCATGTGCACCGGTTTCTGCTTTGCATGGGAAAGTGGGAATGCATCTACGCGGAGAAAGGGCTCTGTAACTCAGGATGTTGCCCCGCCTCCTACTTGCTGCGCCTGACAGCTGACGACTGGATATTTAAGCTTCATCTGAGACTATTGCTTGAGCTCAAGGCAGCAGGATTCCATTCAGAGCTCCGGAGTCTGTGCGGAGCAAGAGAGCTCTGTTCCGTTATCAGATGAAACAGAAAATTTCGGTTGCCAAGCCCCCAATGTTCCTAGACCTGTAAGGGAATTTCACCGAGTGAGTGAAAAATACCATAATTATTGGGCTGAGCAAGCTCCGGGGAAAAGATTACTGTCACATATTTCAATAATACCAAAGTTTGGGCAAAAGTGATCTCTTATCAGATTGCTACCCGATGAAAGGTGATTTTGCATGGATAATCTTCGGTAGGAAAGGGCTCAAAAGGCCAAAACCAAGGCTATGAGCAGTGCGAAGAAATGCATATCAATGTCAACAAGCTTCGCTCCAGATGATATCTTAGCAGTGCACACTATCCCATTGTAGCGCCCTTCAACGCTGCGAAAAACCGCATTCAGGACTTTATCGCACGAAAAGAAGTCTAACCGGCAACAGCCTAGCGTGCCCCTTGGCTTCTGCTTAGCGCAAACCCAAACCGGGTGGTTGAGTGGATTTGTTGTCTGCGAGCAAAAGGTGCAGAGGCGGAAATTTAAAGGAAAGGGTCAGCCCGCAATCTTGCATCACGGTCCCCCTCATCTACGCAAATACTCTTCAGTCATTCTTGATCCTTCTTTGGCAATATCAATTCCGAGCCTTTGTCCGGTTCTCGTACAGCGGTTATTGGTGAGTGTGGCATAGCTTCAGGCTTTGGCAGCCCCTTTTTTCTCAAGTCGTGTGTGCGGTCACCTCCAGCATCACAAGAAGAATCTCGCTGTTCTAAGACCCTGTACTGACTCTGGTTCTATTACTATATTGCAGAATCGATAGGATATCTCCAATCTTTCACTTTCGCTCTTAAATCGTAATACTTTTGCTGTTCCTGATTCGAAGTTACGACTCTCTGCCGCCATGTCCTCTCGTCCCCAGAACATCGGAATCAAGGCCCTTGAGGTCTATTTTCCAAGCCAAGTGAGATTGGATTTGGGTAGAAAAGCTCTGCCTGATGCTAACCTATTGTAGTGCGTCGACCAAGCCGAGCTCGAAAAGTTCGATGGCGTTAGCCAGGGGAAGTACACCATTGGCCTGGGCCAAACCAAAATGAGCTTCTGTGACGATAGAGAAGGTAATCCACTTCAGATATTTTTGCTTTGCACATCTCGAAGAGCAATGTGGCTGATGTGGCGCAAAAGATATCTACTCGATGGCCCTTACAACTCTTTCCTCACTTCTACGCAAGTACAACATTGATCCAACGTCCATCGGTCGCCTCGAAGTAGGCACGGAAACCATTCTTGACAAATCCAAGTCTGTGAAATCAGTCTTAATGCAGTTGTTTGCTCCGGCTGGAAATACAAACGTCGAGGGTGTTGATACCGTGAATGCTTGCTATGGTGGCACTAATGCCCTCTTCAACTCTATCAATTGGGTTGAATCTTCTGCATGGGACGGAAGAGACGCTATTGTCGTTACAGGAGACATTGCGCTCTACAAGAAAGGCAATGCCCGTCCCACTGGCGGAGCCGGCTGTGTTGCTATGCTCATCGGCCCCAACGCCCCAATGGTTATCGAGAGCGGACTACGAGGCAGTTACATCACCCATGCTTACGATTTTTACAAGCCAGACTTAACCAGTGAATACCCATATGTCGATGGCCATTTTTCTATTAAATGTTATACCCAAGCCGTCGATGCTTGCTATAAAGCATACAATGCTAGAGAGAAGGCTCTGAGCCCTGCGCAAAATGGCGAAATCTCCACCGACGAATCGAAAACTCCTCTTGACCGTTTTGACCACATCCTTTTCCATGCGCCGACTTGCAAGCTTGTCTCCAAGTCCTATGGGCGCCTACTTTACAATGATTACCTCGCCAACCCGAGCCACCCGGCTTTTGCAGAAGTTCCCGCTGAAATTCTCGATCTTGATTACGATAAATCTCTCTCTGATAAAACGGTTGAGAAAACCTTCATGGCGCTTACTAAGAAGCGCTTTGCTGAGAAAGTTCAGCCATCTATCCAGGTTGCCACCTTGTGTGGTAACATGTACTGTGCGAGTGTTTATGGAGGTTTGGTTAGTTTGTTGTCCAACGTTGCTTTCGATGCTACGAAGCCGAAGCGCGTCGGCGTTTTTAGCTATGGAAGTGGTTTGGCTAGCTCCATGTTTAGCTTGAAGATCGTTGGCGATGTTTCCAATATTGTTGAGAAGCTCGACCTGCAAAAGCGTCTGGATGCTAGACGAGTTGTCTCACCACAGGTTTTCGACGATGTAAGCCTTTGTGTTCCATCCGAGTTTTGTACGAACCAAGCTAACATTTTCCAACCATAGATGTGTCTCTTGCGTGAGAAGGCGCACTTGAAAAAGGATTTCACTTCCTATTGGCAGCCCCGAGGACCTATTCCCAGGAACTTATTACCTTACCAAAGTCGATGATATGTATCGCAGAGAATACGCGATCAAGGCTTAAGCGCCTTGCAGCATGCCGTGCCAATTTTGGTACTTGTTCGGTGATTACAGCGCCTGACGCCCTTTTTCGCTTGCTTTTCTTCGTCGCGCCACAAAATAGGTCATTGCGTTAGCCGGGTAGAGGCTTGAGCATATAGACTCGTGGGAAGGTAGACTATTTCATGATTTCACGCTGGGAAGGATTTAATAATGGCCTTACTTTTATTATGATAATATTTTTTTTAATTTCCATGATGCCCTCGGTAGTAGAATCAGGCTTCGAGACATAATTAGTTTACCACCAATATTTTCTACGCTGAATCAAACAAAATAATGGCCAATTAACTAGCTAGACATCACGCACGGGGTATTAAGTCGCTGAAGCTCGCGGGTTTCTTATCATTAGCAGAAAGGTCTGGCTCCCGGCACCGCCAAATCGTGTATAGTCGATGACACACTCCTCGACAAGGTCCCATCCGTACTTCAAGTACACAGGGTAGCCTGCCGGCGTAGATTCGAGATAAATCCTCGCTCCCAGTTCGTCCGCCTTGTCCATGCCCCACTTGAGAAACTGCCTCCCGATCCCCTTTCCTTGATAATCAGGCAAAACGCAGAGCATGTTCAGGACTGAGATTGGATTTAGTGCTATGCTAGAGCAAATATTGGGAAAAAGGGGGGGGACAATAAACATACTTATATCATGTTCATTCGTATGAAACTGCTTCTTTGCTTCAAGGGTTGATATGAACATGTTGTGAATGTCCATGTTCATACCCTCGGGGGAATATTGAAAGGAATTGGCAGCCTTTTCCTCGGCTTCGCTTGATATCACTGTTCGCGCCGGGTCGCCGTATTGGTAGCTTGTGGGGATTGACCAGCAGGAATATGCGACAATCTGGTCCGTGGCCGGGTCTATGGCGACGAGGAAATGGGCGCGAGGGTTTGAGAATGGCGTGCAGAGGACGATGGACTTGTAGTTCTGCAGGGCCTGCTGGTCGGCATTGGGGAAGGTGTTGGAGAGATATCTGGAGGATGGGAAGGCGAGGAGTTCCAGGCGGGCGAGGGCTGGGAGTTCTGATTCAGTGGCATATCTGATTGATATGGGGGTGGATGTCTGTTCAGCCATGATGTTGCAGCAACGGGGGAATTTGATGAATGGTGTATTTGCGAGCTCTGAGAAGTGAGAGAGTAGAGGACCAACCTTGTTGCGCAGACTATGAGTCACCTTGCACAGGCTCACTTGAGATGCATGTTGGGGAGTTGCTAAGCTTCCCACGGAGGGGTATCAAGCCTACTACTTTGTAGTTTTTAGAGACACTTCTTGTGTGAACAAGAGAAGAGCATGCCAGTGGAAAATATGCCTTGTTTTATTCAGAGTAGCAATTGCTGAAAATACACAGATTCTACCCTGTAGAGTCTTTGAATTGCTCTATTACTTCTAGGGGACACTGGAAGTATAATAGCCCATACAGAGACTGCATCGGCAAAGAACAGCAAAAGGAAACTTGGCTTCAAAAAGGTATCTATCTAACGGAATTCAACAGAAACGATCCACGGAATCCTATCAAGTTTCTTGCCATTCTCAACAAGCTCGAGCAAAAAAACTCTTCCCGACACAGTCCTTCCTCCCCAGGCGGTCTGCAGACTCTCTATGGGACTGGCAAAGATGAAACAAGTTTTAGTGATGCCAGAGCCAATCGACGGCGGCGGATCGCGATGAACAGCAGCGCGATGACACTGGCGGGCGGGCGCGTCGAGATTGTCGGTGAGCGCGCGGTGAGAGTGATTAGTCATATCTATCGACGCGCCGTCACGGTACACGCTAGGCTAGGTTTGGACTAGTGTATTGCCAAGTACTCAGCAATACTTGCGCTAGCTGTATATGGCCTAGCGTCTTGGTGGCTGCAGAGTCAAAACCGGCGCACAAGCCAATCAGAGGCCGAGGCGCCGACAAACACACCAAACGCGTGCGCCCGTTAACCGCCGCGTCGATCAGTCAGCGCACTGACGGAACATCACCTCGTCCATCGACATCCAGCGCCAACTGCAACACCTGCAACCCCCCACAATGGCAGTCAAAAATAGCTCGAAACAGTCGCTATTCATTCTTCTCTTCTCCTGGCGCTTGGGTTAAACCAGGGGGCCCTCGTCCACGCCCAGGTTCGATTCTTTTTTTCTCTAGCCGCCCGGCCAAAAGATCTGTCGGGGTCCTCAAGCATGCCTTCAGCGCAAGCGCCCGGGGAGTTTCCGCCGGTGATATCCAACCAGAAATAGCAGCATGCACCCAAAAATATACCCTAGCAAGGAACACCCAGTTGGTACAAAATTATGAAACCCGCAAACGAGTGCTCGTCCCACTCAGCGGAGCCAGAGAGGTGCTCTCCGGCCGTGACGCTCCATTCACGTCGAGCAATTCCGCGCGCGCGTAGGAAACGCTCTGCAGAAAAAGTTTCCTCCCAGTGGAAAACAAGACTAGCTTCAAGCTTGCCCAAAAGAGGAACTCTCTGGGATGGTCGCGCTCCCAAAAAGGTTTTTCAACCTGGTCCAAGTGTTTCATGTTAGCCATGTCCATGGCGCTCCCTTGGGATACCGCTTTCTCTCGACGTGAAGCCTGTCAGGCTGTCGAGGATTTAATGGCCTCCATGTCCGTCCTGAACTCTGGTTTGTGCTTCCCAGTTTTCTATTTCCTTTTGTTGTCAGGCATTTCGTTTCTCCTTCTCTCTCACTGGTCATTATTCTCCCTTCTGAGAAGGGCCTAATCACGGGTTTCCTTTGTCGGTTTCCTTTACTTGGTTTCTTCGAGCCCCGGAAGCAGGTCTTCCTTAATCCAGTGTCCCCTGTTTGTGTTGTACACTCTTCTTTTGCTGGGCCCCATTTCATACCGAGTCCAGGGCGCCGTGGTCTTTGTTTCATTGCCTTAGCATCCTTGCGGTTCTAGTTCAAATGGCTTCAGACTTGTTTTACTATGAGCCAATCACTCCTCCCTCTGCCTTGCCGGCAAGGCAGAGCTCCAGCACCGTCCACAGTCGTTCGACCTCAGGCTCCTCTATATACACTCTTGATTCCTCGCCCGAATCATTTGTCACCAACCATACTACCCCAAACCGGTCACCTGCATACTATCAGCATGGTCGCACCCTTTTGCCGAAGATTCGTCCACAGGACCTTGTCCATGAACCAGCTTCAAATAGAGGACCGCATCGTCACCGAAAGGCTCTATCGAGCACGCTCAATCCCCCTGGCTTCACTCCGTATTCTAGCGGTCGACCCTCGACATATCGTGCAGCCGGCGACCCCACAATGCTAGTTGCTCCGATTTCCACTGCCTCGTTTGTCGGCGCTCATCATGGCCCAGGGTTGACATCTCCGATCGCAATGGCTCCAGTAGGGTCTCGCAAACGGGTTGCTCACTCTCGCAATGTTTCTGCGTCCAGTATTGATGAATCAACGCTGAACCGCTATGGTTATCCGACTTACCGCCAGCTGCCCAAATACGTTCCCCAATGTAGTTCAACAAACCCCGTCTCTACGGCAGAAGCAACATATCCAAGCTACCTACCCCTTCCGCAGGAGCCTCCTGTCCGCCAATCACATGCGAGCGCGAAAGGACCTTTTTTTATCTCTGACGATACCCGCAAAGCATTCGATGCTACTCAAGTTACCATCAAGGACCCGCCTGTCTATACTTCTTCCTCCACAACCCTTGTCGAGTATCTCACTGGCCCCACTCAAGCAATAAATTTGGTTCAAAACGTATCATATAACCCGTCTCGCCTCAATCAAACGCATTTTTGGTGGGATGTGCGGAATCTACGACGATGGTCATCGTTCTCCCTCCCTACTCTGAATGATATCCCAAACTTCACCAAGCTCCTCACGACTGAAATTCCCCAGAGCCTCACGCCACCGGCAAACGTCTCCTCATCCCGATTGTCACCGGAGTCTGAGCTCGCTCTTGCAGATCTAATCCGCGATATCTACGCTCCACGTGTCAATGCTGCGCTCCGCGTCTCCCAAGGCCACGACAGCATGACTCTTTACCCTGCGCCGGATGCAGTTTCAGACCACGAAAACGGACCTCATTTTCTCGCAAACTACCCCACTGATACAGAAACAACTGCGTCTGGCGCTCCACGCGGTCGTGTAGTGGGCCTTGTTAAAAGCTTTGATCGCTGGAATACCGGAATGCGTAATGAGCAGCCTCATCGCCGCGTTGAGTATCTCAACGGCCTGTCCCACTTGCAAAAATGTATGCGTGAGCATTCCTGCCGGTATGGTTTTATCATGACCGAGATTGAGCTTGTCTGTGTTCGAGCTGGCTGTGACGAAGGAGATGATGTCCCTTACTTTGGATACTTGGAGCTTGCACCCCCAATCGCCACTAAGACATCCTCGGCTTCCTACAATCCACTCGCTGCATCCTCTCTTGAGCGTACCCTTTCATCGGATTCTTACCAGTCATCCGACTACTCCGGCTCCTCTCGCTCTGCTTCTCCAGACCAAGTTCGATCTTCATCCGGGCTTTCCGGGCCTTTCACAGCAACGCTAGCGCTCTACTATCTACTGATGCTCTCCAAGGCAGTCCCCCTCCCAGGCCAGCCATCTTGGCATTTGAATGTTGGCGGACCAGGTGCTCTGACCCGCCAACGAGTCCTGGCAGAGGGAAAAGATAAATGGATTCCAGATCCCCAACAGCGAGAACGGAGAGAAGCAAAACGTATCCGAGGCTGGGTCTTGCCTCAAGACCCATGGCATCGTCGAGAAGGTGGTGGCGCAAACCGAGCCAAGGCTGCAAAAGCAAAAAAGTGGCATAAGTGAAGTCGTCTTTCTTTTTGTCAATCCATTTGCGTCTTTCAATATATTTTTTTCTCTTCACATGCATATTGCGGTGGTGTTTTGCATCGTCTTGCATTGCTGGTGTCTTTATTCTGCATACCCTAGTGTTTAATAACTTTTCCTTCGTGTCCTGACTGCATCCGAGGAGTCTGCACGTTATATTTCCTTTCCTTTTGCGTGGTGGTGGCTGGGCGGCAGTTAAATATGTCTAGCAGCGGTGTTTCGTGGCATTGCCTTGTTCCTTTCTGGGCTCAAAATTCCCTTGTCAATTTTTGTATGTGCGGACAAGTGATGGCATATTTCGCAACGGTGCATCAAGAACCGGGGCTTGCAAAAGCAATTTTCGAATTTACTAATAGCATGGTAAATATGTATACTTTTCCTCGACAATAATATCTCTCCTCGTCCTATATCAGGCCCCCAGGTTCGAGCATAGGCAACCGTATTACTTGCATGATCACGAGTTCCGGCATTGTCCATAAGGCAGCCTAAACAACAGCTTACCTCAAAGGAACAGCTAACTTTAAACTTTTGTGGTCTATGCTATATAGCTATGCAAGCGTAAGAGGAAATGGGCCTCCATATGTAGCTGTGTAGTTACTCCGTATGCTGTAGTTACATCAGCCTCACCAGGCAATGCCGGACACATGATGCACTAGCTTGACTAACCACTCCATCACAGCCTCACTTATCATTCTCATGACTACATACAACTGGGGCCTAATATTGGGGGTTTTCCTGCGTGTGGTTATAACCCATAGTTGTCATCTATGACAATAGCTTCATTTTACCACACAAGTGAATTGGAATCTACGAACCATGGTATCTGTTGATTCACGGCCTCCCCGTCCCAATACCCCTCGAGCACCAGGGACACTCAGGTTCCTTGTGATCGGTGCTGGCTCACGCGGCAACGCCTACGCTCGAGCCGTGACGAATGCCACCGAAACAGTCATCCATGCAGTCGCAGAGCCAGATCCACATCGTCGCGCGGTATTTGGCAAAAAGTACATTTGGGGTACCCAAGGCCCCGCGCCGGGCCAGGAGTTCAATGACTGGAAAGACTGGCTGGAATGGGAGACGGCGCGCCGTGAGGAGGGAGGAGATGGAGCTCCAGCCGCAGGAGTTGACGGAGTGTTCATCTGCACGCTTGATGATATGCATGTCGAGATTCTGAAAGCGATCGCCCCCTTGAACCTGCATGTCATGTGCGAAAAGCCACTGGCGCCGTCGCTGGGCGAATGCATCGATGTGTGGGAGACGATGAAGACTGCGTCGCCAGTTCCGGAGAAGATATTTGCAATCGGACATGTGCTACGGTATAGCCCGCATAACATCTACCTTCGGAAGCTGCTTCTACAGGACCGCGCCATTGGAGATATCGTCTCGATTGAACATACAGAACCGGTGGGATGGTCGCACTTTTCTCACAGCTATGTGCGAGGAAACTGGCGGCGCGAGACTGCAGGCAAGGATGGGAGTCTCCTTACAAAATGCTGTCATGATATCGACTTTCTCCTCTGGCTGTTGTGCTCGCCTCCTGCAGACTCGGAGCCAGGCCACCCTTATCATCTCCCCAAGTCAATCTCATCAATGGGGGCGCTGTCTCAGTTTACTCGAAGCCGCAAGCCTGTCGCCGCAGGTGACGCGACCAACTGTCTCTCTTGCCCTATCGCTACGAGTTGCCAGTACAATGCAGTTAAAATCTACGACGACATGTGCCTCAGCCAGGGCCACACTGGCTGGCCGGTAAAAATCGTTTGTCCCGACATTGAAGAAGTGGTTCGAACGTCGGGGGTGGAAGCCGCCAGACAACGGCTCTACAAATCATTGTCAGAGGATTACGACTCGCAAAGCACTCCCGACGATGTAATCGCTTCCCGTCCCTGGTACGGTCGGTGCGTCTGGGAGTCGGACAACGACGTCTGCGACGACCAAGTCGTCACCATGCAATGGAACGAGAGCAAAGATTCGTCGCGGTTTAGCAACCTCGGCGCAAAGACCGCAATTCTGCACATGATCGCACCCACGGAGAAGCAGTGTGAGCGTCGCGGTCGCGTGTACGGCACATTAGGCGAGGTTTCCTACGACAGTAAAACCATAACGGTCACTACTTTTAGCACGGGTCAGACGCGGACGACGCAGATTGCCGAGCCACCACCGGAGGAAAAGGAGTCCCACGGCGGCGGAGATTATGGGTTGACCAGGGCTTTTGTAAAAGCTGTCCATGCGGTGGAATCGGGCGGATGGAGCGTGCAGAAAGCTCAGGTCGAGTTCTTGGGAGTCACTTTTGAGGAAGTGATACGGAGTCATGCGATGGTGTTTGCGGCAGAAGAGGCGAGGCGAGAAGTAAAGGTGATCTGGTGGGATGAGTGGTGGAGGGAGAAGTTCGCTTCTACTGACGCTTGATGGCGGTATCTTCATAGTGATATCGACTTGGGGATGAAGCAAACAAACAGTCCAAACAGAGCTTGGCGGGTTTTTGTAAAGCCGAACCCCGAAAACCAAGGGCATTTCACGACAGAGGAATCAAGCATGGAAACACATTCTCAAATCAACTCTAGCAATTATTCATTGATGTGCTATGGGACAAATGCTAATCATGTACTTCGTAAGTGCCAATCAATTGGCCTTGTGATTATTTGAAAGAGCAACCAACAGGTTGGCCTTATCCGATCAGGTTTTGACGGTGGGTTCCTCTCTCCCAACATACTCCTTCAACTTGAGCAATTTGATTGCGAGGTCAATGTTCTCTTTTAGATAATTCTGGGCATCCTTGGAGAGTTCTTTCTCATCAGATTCATGACGCTCAACATACAGGCGAATAGTTGCGCCACTGCTGCCAGTTCCAGAAAGGCGGACAACGATGCGGCTGCCGTCATCGAACTTGACGAAAATCCCCTGGTTTTTGCTGACACTGCCATCCAGATCGGTATAAGAAAAGTCATCTGCTTCAAGGACTTTACGGCCAGAGATGGTCGAGCCTACGAAAGAGTCCTTCTTCGTGGTGATTAGCTCTCTGAGATTTTCGATAACCTTGTTTGCTCCGGCGCTCTCAACGTTCTCATAATCGTATCGAGTGAAGAATGTACGTCCATAGGTCTTCCAGAAATCATTCTGGATCGTTGCAATGCTCACTGGCTTTTCTGGATTGGCTTGACCAACGCCAGCAATGATATTGAGCCACGCCACAATGGCCCAGACGCCATCCTTTTCTCGGATATGGTTACTTCCCGTACCGAAACTTTCTTCGCCGCAAATTGACATTTTATTCGTGTCCATCAATGCGCAGAAGAATTTCCATCCAGTTGGAACTTCATAACACTTGAGGTTTTGGGCTTTGGCAACCAAGTCAACCGCACCAGACGTGGGCATTGAACGGGCAAGTCCATGCACCCCGTGTTTTTTGAAGTACGGAATAAGTTTTGCATGGTGTGCAATTATAGCCAAGCTGTCTCCTGGAGACACAAAAGTTTTGGCACCATAAATCATATTGCGGTCGCCGTCTCCATCGCTTGCAGCACCGAATTGGATCCCATCCTTATCTACCTTTTCAACCAATGAGCGCGCATAAGTCAGGTTGGGATCGGGGTGACCACCGCCGAAATCTGGCTTGGGCTCGCAGTTCTGGCAACAGTCCTCCGGAAGCCCAAGCTCTTTGATAAAGATGGCTTTGCCGTATGGGCCAGTTACCCCATGCAGGGCGTCGAAAAGGATTTTGAACTGGCCATGACTTTTCAAGAAAGAGCGAATGAGGTCGAAATCGAATATCTCCTTCATCATCGCCACATAGTCGGCAGTCGAATCAATGACCTCAACCTCTAAACCCTCATATTTCTCGGTTCCAATTTTGGCCAGGTCAACCTTTGGCAAATTGACAATCTTGTATTCGGTTAGGGATTTCGAAACCTCGAAGATTTTATTTGTCACGCTTTCGGGCGCGGGAGCACCGTTGGATAGATTATACTTGATACCAAAGTCGGCATTGGGACCTGGAATCCTTCGGGATTAATTGACACATACGGAATCAGGGAGAATGGTGGAAACCAGCTCACCTCCAGGGTTATGACTTGCAGTCAGGAGAATCCCCCCGGTTGCCTTTCGCTTACGGATAACGTGGCTAGCGGCAGGAGTGCTCAGAATGCCGTTTTGGCCAATAAGCAACTTCTTGACGCCATATGCCGCTCCAATCTGTGCAATCAACTGGATAACTTCGGTATTATAGTAGCGCCCATCGCCGCCGATAACGAGGAAAGCTCCCTCCGCACCCTCCGGGATTGCCTTGAGAATACTAGTGACGAATGCTTCTGTATAGTGGGACTGTTGAAAGACTGTGACCCTTTTACGCAGACCAGACCTGTGTTTGGGTCCTTAGTAAAGACGAAAACGGGCAAGTCTGCATAGAGAGCACTCACGTTCCAGCTTTTTGGTCTGAAAATGGAGCAATTGGAACACTTTTGACACCCATGGCGGCTCTCTTTTCTTCCAATTGGGCTCAAGCAATGTCTGATAAGTCTATCTTCGCTAGTTAGAAGAGCTATAGCTTCGTATGATTGGATCACGGTCAGACGAGGATCAATTTGAATAGCAAATTTAGAACAATGTGATGCAGAAGAAGAGGAAGAGAGAGTGAAAGGTGAATGCTGAGGGGCAGTCGAATGTCGTTGTTGTTGCTGCTGCTGCAAAATGCTTGTTTAGTCCAAATCCGGCTGGCGGGGCAAACTGCGTCATAACTGCACACCATCAAGAGCTCAACAACAGCGCTGCATCGAACTGCAGAGCGATGTCAGCGGGCTTATCTGCGTGGCGTGACAACCAAACTCCTACGAGGGCTGTCTCAACTGCGAAATGCAATCGATCTATCTAGGCTCATAGCTTGTCAATCTGTTGGGTCGAGAGCGGGGCAGGTCGTGGTTGGATGGGGCTTCAAAGTCTCCAGCGATATCAACTTGAGCTCTTCATTGAAGCTTCCAGGTAGTTAGTATCTCGCAATCAAACACAGGACATACCATAGAAAACCAAGAGCTATGGCGCTAACACGATCGACGGATCCGCTTGTTTGGATTGACTGCGAAGTACTTTCCCCTTGTCTTTACTCCGTACTCGTTTCTCTATACCCCAAGCTGACTCTGACCGATTCCGCAGATGACCGGCCTCGACCCCGAAACAGACCACATTCTCCAAATTAGTTGCTTCCTCACCGACGCTGATCTCGCTCTCCTTGAACCCGACGGTTTCCACGTTACCATCCACCAGCCCCAGCATATCCTCTCGTCCATGAACCCCTGGTGTATCTCAACCCACGGACGTTCGGGCCTCACAGCTGCAGTCCTTGCGTCGACAACATCTCCGTCCGAAGCCTCCGAAGCCCTTCTCGCATACGTACAAACCTACGTCCCAGAGCCCCGTACGGCATTGCTAGCGGGCAATAGCGTACATGCTGATCGGGCGTTTCTGGCACGAGAACCGTATAAAAAGGTAGTAGATTGGCTGCATTATCGGATTTTAGATGTGAGCAGTGTGAAGGAAGCGGTGAGGAGGTGGGCTGGAGATGAAACGTTGCGAAATGCGCCGGCCAAGAAGGGTGCGCATCTGGCCAAAGATGACATCCTGGAGAGTATCGAAGAGATGAAGTTCTATAGAGACCGGGTGTTTCGGGGAATAAATTGAAAGCAAAGTTCCTTTTTTGATCCTGAAATTGCGGCGGTTTAATTCGATACTGGGTATTAATAGAGAAACTATGAGCCGTAACAAGGTCAAGTGGCATTGTGATAATTACGACGTACACAAGCAACAGCTATTTCTTCTAGACAGCGCTACTCCTATCAAGCTCAAGTCCAAATCACAAACAAAAAGAGCAAAATGGGTATGCTCCTATCTAGAATTGAAGCAAACTACCCAACAGATAAAAGCAGAAACAAGAGCATGAATTCGTCATTGGGATATGTGCCATTTGAATATCAGAAAGGTACTGCAGACGAAGAAAAAGGCACAGGCCTATTTAATTCTCCCAAAACAAATCTCAGCGGTGACCAAGGAATCCTTTTCAAAAAAGAAAAGCAACCAGACTTCAAGATGAATAAATTTTCAGAACAGCCAAGGGAAGCAACCCAAGAGATATGATCTGACTCCGGATTTCAAATCAGCTATACATTCTGATTTTATAACTGCTCCTCTTCAAGGGTTGACGGCTTTCGGCCTGCTTCCATGTGGATCTCGGACGCAGCCGCACCGTTATTTCCTTCCTGTGGAGTGACTTCCATGCCCATGGCTTCATGTATACCTGCCGGTACGCTTGAGCCTAAACGCTGATGGAGAAGATTATCTGCCTCGGATAAGCTCGCCCGCTGCTTTTTGAGCGGGCTGCCGACGAAGCTGTCATCCAGGGAGTTTAAGATTGGGTCTTTGCCGATCAAATTGTTTGGAGGCGTGGTGTCTTGTTTCGTGGGCGCGGGGGGTGTAGACCTAGAGGCTGGTGTCGTTGATTTTGACGGCCTAGTCGCATCAGCGTTGCTACCAATATCCGAAAGAGGTTCGGAAGAATGTTGTCGTTTGAGCTGAGATAATTTGTTAGTCTATGATTAAATGTACAGAAAGCAGCGAACGTACCTTTATTTGACGAAGGCCTTCGGTAAGCTCTCCTTGGTATTTCGCGTCTTCTGAAGATAGATGAACGTTTCCTTCTTTGTTTTCTTCTTGTTCCGCTTTGCCAATTATAGATCCAGAATCGTCGTCGTCATCATCACTCTCCATATCGCTTATGCTTCCCTTCTTCGCTTTATTCTTATGTTTCTTCTGACTCCCGCCATCCCGAAAATTTAAGAAGCCCGCTCCACCACCTGGTTTGAGCGGACCAATCTTCGAAAAATCGGTTTGCCCTGACTTTCGTCTGGCCGCTTTTTCTGTGTCTTTTTCCTGGGGTCTGGACGATTTCAGAATACCCATTTTCTGTAATTGCCCTAGAAGCAAGGAATTAGATGGGAACTGACAAGCCAGTCTCGAAAGGAACTTACGCTCGCCACGGTACATAAATGTAAAGACAGCATAGGGCCTGTCTGCTGGGTCGATTCCAGTGACAGTTTGTGTACTTATAGATTTTGGATCCAAGGACTTTGGCTTCGCAAAACTAGTGGTGTGGTCAACATCACCATTGTTGCCACGTCCATTTGTCCCTTGGGCATCTTCATCGTCTTCGTGTGCATCGAATTGCGGTGAATATTCGCCACGCTTAATCTCTCCGGATGCTAAAACGCGGAATAAAGCCACTTTGATTTGTCCGGCGGTTTCAGGGATTGGGTCATCGTCTGAATCATCATCGGAAGAGTATATCTCTGCATCGTCCGAAAGGTTTTCAACAGGAGATTTCGTATCGGCCCCGTATCTCAATACCTCGTGGTCTCGTTTAGGCTTCTTCTCATCCAAATCCATTCCTATGCCTGCTTCACCGCCAAGACCACCTTGTCGACGAGCTGCGTCTCTAAGCTCCTTCTTTCTCCTCCGTTTTTCCATTTTCTGCCGCCGTCGTTCGATTTTCTCGGCGGAATCGGTGCCTTCCAGGTCCAACCCGTTCAGCCATCTTTCCAATCCAACCTCACGGAAGAGAAATTCTCTTTCCGCAAGGCCACCACCCTCAGACTGTGGTATTCCCACCCATCTTGAATTGACCCAAGTTTCCTCACCCCTCCGTAACAATGTAGCCACTTCCTCCTTTTGCCTTCCATCGAAATATATATAAGCCGCAATCGTTTCATTTGGGGAGGTCGTTAAAGGTTGGTATGGGTTAATAGACGCAGATGTAACTAGCTGGCCAGGAATCCCGCCCACCGTCTTGGGCTTTGGGTGCGGATTATCCGGTGTAGCTTTCGGGGTGGAATAAGGCACTTTCATACCAGGTGTGAGGAGCGTGATGGATATCGCAAAGGTGGACTGTTCGGGCTTCCCGCTCGACGAATCGGGCATCTTAGGCGGGGGAACGGGGATGTAGCACGCAATGCGGGAGGTCCTCGATTGGCGCTGAATCGAGTATTCCGAGAGCGGCCCGCTCGGCGTATGGATGCTAACCGCCAGACCCTTAAAGCAAGGCATGATTAACTGTAGATAGCTATTGATCAGGCTGAAAAGAAACCAAAAGTAACTACTAGTCGGTAGGTATATTCTGTTTTTGTTGTCAATAACACAGGATTCGTTGGCCCCAAGATCGCCACAGACCGGATATTGACAAGACTTCCGGCGCTCCTGCAGCTAGCACATCAAAGCCCACCAAGGACAATCAGCAAGGGAAGATGTATGTTATTAGAAAGAGCGTGTAAATAACGTGATTTGATCAAACGTCACAAGGAGCTTCCTGGAAGCTCAGAGTGACAAGGGTTGTGATCTTCCATAGAAACAGGAGCTGTAGTGGAGGGGGGGGATTGGAGTTGCAAGACAGAAATAATCCGCTGAAGCAAGTAATTATAGCAGTTTAATGGATATCCGGTTCATGATCAGGGAGTAGCCTTGCTCTTCAACGTGCAGACACCGCACACGATCATCTGTCGAGGAGACAATTGTTTGGCTTCATGATGTGGAGAGACCCGGTGAAAGGCTCGCCCGCTCACGTGATCAGGTCGGATCAGAGTGACTCCATCAGACGGCAACTTCAGTCCATCGTGACTTGCGGCTCGCTTCGACCACAAGCACTTCATTGCACACTATCTTTTGCTCGATGAGTCCAACGGCGATGCTTAATTGGTGGCCGGCGCGTCATGATCTAACAAAGGTCCTCCTGCTTTGAAAGACCGTATGATGCAGCGGGCACTCCAGTCCCATGGTTCAGCATCAAGCCAGCGCATGAGACTTGGATGGACACAGGTTTGCTTAGAATTTATCTCATTCACGAGCTAACAATCTCAATATAGACAATGAAGTTCTACTCGATCAACAGGAACACCGAGAACTTAGAAATGATTGAAGGAATGGCTCGAAGAGTGATCCCGCCGTCCTGAAGGATCCTCTGAACCAGCAAGAGAAGGGGATCCTACGCCTAATCATGGCTCTAACTACCCATGCTCCTCACTTCTTGAAACGACGCAAGAATCCAAGGGGCTTGGAGTTGGAGCTCTCCTTTTCGTCCTTTCGTCCGACATGATCCAGTTTGTACAATGGTTCGAGATGGGCATCTTTCTTACGGAGGATGTATCGTTTGAACCACCATGGAAGCACCTCAAAGACTTGATAACGAACGTGTCTCCAAGTTGGAACCGCAAAGATGTAGTCCAACTCTTCTAATGTTCTCTGTTTTGTCTCGGGAACCCACATGAAGATCATGATAAGTGCAGTCACATTCAGAGCTCTGTGACAGTGTCAGGACAAAGACCGGCACTCAAAATATGACTGGGGAACTTACGCATAGAACCCGAACGCACCGGTTGGTGTCATTGCCCTGAGCATACGGGGGAAAGTAATGGAAAGTACAGCTGCCCAAAATAGACAGGTGGCAACAGCCCATGCCATTCCAACCTCTGTCAAAAATCATCAGCTTACCGCAACGGGCGCAAAAACATTATTTTCGAAGCTTCTCGGGACTTACCACGATGGGATAGTGGGAAAACCTCCGCAGAGTAGGTAAAGGGAACAGGTCCTTCGCCTGGCGAATAAAACGCCGCAAACAAGAAAACGAAGAACGCAATAACGGCGAGATGGGCTGTGGTATTTTCTGGAATATAAAACGCGAACCCTCCAGCTAAAAGTGTCCAGGCCATTTGCGGGAATGTGAAGAGCAACAGCGCGCGCCGCCCATACGTGTCAATTGTCCAGATTGCCGGAAATGCGAAGAGAAAATTTACCAGACCAAAGCCCCACGATGCGAAAAGAGCGCCCGTGACAGAAGCTCCCGCTTCTTCGAAGATCGTCGACGAATAGAACGCCATTATGTTTATACCACACATCTGTTGCGCGATCATAACCGTGAAAGAAGCGAGAGTTGCACGGCGAACTCTAGGAATTGTGAAGAGCTGAATGAAACGAGTAACATAATTGCTCTCTCCAATAATTTGTGACTCCACTTGAATCTGAGCATACATGTAATAGAGGTCACGAGCGGCCTGAATTTCGTGGTTTCGAAGTCGGAGTAACGATTGGTATGCCTTCGCTATCTTCCCTTTCTTTATATACCAACGAGGGGATTCTGGACAAAAGTACACACCTAGCAGCAGTGGAACTGCAGGAATGAAAGCGGAGCCCAACTGCAGTCTCCATGAAATATCACCGGTGTCTTTCACTGCGAGATTTGCACAAAATCCCAAGAAAATACCAAACGCAGTCCAGCTGTTTGCAATATCAGCACTTGTGGCGGCGTCAAGTTGGCGAAGAGCTACTTACAGTTGCCAACTCATAACCAAACCTCCTCGGACAGCTGCTGGCGTGTTTTCCGCGCAAAAGATTGGGACAGTTGAGGCTTTTGCGCCCATTCCGATCCCGAGTAGCAAACGAGTGATTAGAAGCTGCTCCCAATTCTGTGATAAAGCAGATCCAATCGGTGGGAGCACGCAGAATATAGCCGAGATAAAGATTGCGCCGCGCCGTCCGAAGTAGTGGTTAAAAGGGTCCGAAAGCCAGCAGCCCCTATAAGATCGTTAGACGTGGTGGTGCAAGCGATTCAAGCAAAGGCCTTACAAGAACGCGGAGCCAATATAAGGGCCACTAGAAAAAAGGTTAACCCAATACATGCACTGATTTGAACCTAGATTAAACGCACGCATTGACCAGCCCTACGAGCCATTGATGCACATCCGCGTTCGGAGTGCCCTCCTTGTCGCTAATGCCGAAGGCATCCGGGAATGACAGATTAGCTCCGTTCGATCCGGTTTGATCCCATCCCCTAATGGCTATTAGACGTGCATTTGCCGGAACCTGGTTAATCCAAACTAGCTTACTGCACAGCTGCTCCGATCGAACAGAGAATAATTGTGAAGTAGAGCGGTCGAGGTTGGCGCCATTTATGAAGGACTTCATCGCGTATCGCATGCACTTCGTCATCGGTGATACCCTCAACGGTTTCGAAGTTTGCTGGGTCCTTGGCCACCAATGCGCCTCTTTGAAGGGTGGCCGTAATGTGGCCGAGCTCGTGCCTATTAGCGAATTCCTCGACGTCCTGGAGTAATCTAGCCTTTGGGATGTGGGCCAAAGGGTTCTTGATTCTAGACAAGTGGGTTAATCATCACGACTACATCCGCACTTGGATCTTTTCTCAGAGTAAAACATACCTTCCAGAGATATTGCTGTTTAAATCAATCTTTTCATCATCGTCATGCTCAGCATCTCGGTAGGAACTATCACTGATTCTAGGAGTCAGCAGGCTTGGGAAAATAAAATCTCAACTTCGGAGGAATCCTGACCTTTCCGCTACTTCGGCAACTCTCTTGTCTTCCATCACTTTGGGGTCTGTCTCGATTGGGGAGACTTTATCCTGGTCTGCCATCTCGAAGGAGTCTTGACCCCCAAGGTCCTCTGAAGTCTGAATCTGTTTGTCCTTTCTTGCCTTGCTTCAGAAGATGGCTCAAAAAAACTATCATCCGAGTAACCACCCTTTCAGCAAAAATGCTAGCACGGGGGGAAAAAAGAAAGAAACACGAGTGAATGCTAAAGAGAACCGGGGAGCAGGGTGTTCTTATACGAAAGCATTTTATGACAGGCCCCTGCGTACCATGGGCACCACCGACCAGAACTCTGTTAACCTCCGCCCCAGATAGACTTTTATTTAAAAAAGAGATCTCCTGCATCACTTCGTGACTATCACTTTTGGTTTGCCTCTAGCTTCTCTTCCGTGCGTTTTGCAGCTTCAATGCTGGGGAAGAGACAAAGAACAATTGGAGGAGGCGGGACTGTATCTGTGGGACCCGGAGAAATGCATGGAGGGCTGCGAGAATTCATATCGCACGGCCAATGAACATGAGTGTTTCGCATCAGGGTTCTTTGCGATTTGCTTGGGATCTTCCCCACAGAGATGCTGGGGCTCCGGGAGTGTCAAAGTGTGGTGCGGTACGGAGTAGAACTACATGAAATCACCGAGATTGCAGTATTGAAACACCAGGGGGCTCAATGATCTCTTGCCGGTACTCCGTACACAGGAGGCCTTTTTTCCCGGGAGCCGCAAGTTCAACACTTTCCCAGGTAAATGCTCTGCTGATACTGATTTGAATGGTGTTCCTGAGGAGAGAAGCGGCGACTCCGTCACACAAAGGGCTGGAGCAGTGCTGTTTGCAGGGATACTGTGGATCTCTGCGTGGTGAAATTCAACCCGTGGCAACGGCAGACAAGGATAGCTCTCATCTCAGAACATTTGTTTTCGGCAACCGATTATTCTTGAGCTTCGAAGAAATCGCTCTTCAGTCTGGCAGGCTCACAGTATGAGGGCTTTTGCCCTTTGGCGGGGAATTTCTAAACTTCTTCGACTCCGGGAAGCCAAGTCTAACCCCACAAAATGGCTGTTCTTGAACCGATCAAGAAGTCACTCAAGCTCGCCAAGGGATTCTTGGAGGGCGGACTTGTGTGGAGGACTGGAGTGAGCACCATACTATTCCTTCAACAACGGTTCAAAGGAAAGACAAGATGGCTAAGGCTTCAGGAGCCATCATCGATCCTGCTGAAGCCCGCCCAGCCGTCCCTCCTCCAAGCATTGACTTGCACCGGAACCCGGGGCCCGCCGCGCATTCAAGTTCTCAGAACGCTGTCATCTGAACTTCACAGGCTGCGTGAACCTGGAAGTTGTCGTGTTGTCCGGTCACCCGCGCCGCATGATGTCATCGACAGGGGCCGAAGCACAGGTGGATCCCGTGCCAAGCCTATTTGTGCTGTTTGCAGTGGAGGATCGACAGCGCTAGTAATTTATCTTTCACGAGGCTTGTTTTGGCTTTTTTGCGGGTGTCGGTGCATGACTCGAAGGTTGTTCGCGAACAGCGGCTTGCTTGATATCCAGGGACGAACCGCAAGCTCAGCAGGAAGCTCGCACAAGAAAAAAAAAAAAAAAAGGCGCAGGTACGCTGATGCCACGAGTGTTGCCGGGTGCCTGTCCTGTTCGCGGTAACGGCGTCCACTGTCTGGTTTTTCTCGACAGTCAGGATCAGCATCTCTTCTGATCCTGGGCCTCTTCAATGAACCCCACTGGCTCAGTTTCATTTCGCAGTCACAGCTTTAATGATTGGATGTGCGACTCGTGACTTGAGCAGCAGCAATTTCCATCCATGTAAATAGCGCTTTCGAGGACAATGACTTTTTCAACAAGTAGCCAACTTGAACTTCGGCCAACTGTTGGGAAGTCGGCAGCCAAACTGCCCTTGAAGCTCGTGTGCATCCGGACGGGAGGGGGCTGAACAAGCGCTGCTTGGCTGGGCTCCACAGCTCTCCACCAGGTGGAACTGCGATTTTCCAATTTCAACTGCAGAACAACCGGATATCTGTAATCAAAAGGGCGATATCTCACACTCCATCGCAGCAGCCTGATCAGATGATAGAAACATTCGACGAGCAAAGCAACCTCGGAATTAGTCAGTGGAGCAACGGGAAAACTATTAACATCTGGGCTAAAAAAGGAGAGATTAAACAATAGCTATTATCAAAGACACTTCCAGTGCAAAACTTCAGATAATACGATAGTAACCTCAAGGTGCAGGGACAGGAGATGATTTCACGATATCCGCCTTCTCGCCCTCACGTCCGTCTGGATTTTTGCCTTTCATCGCATCGTCATCGTCCCCCGATAAATCCTGGTCCAGCTTCTCATTGAATAACATCTTCGGGTTCAGCGCAAACGCGCCTTTGGGAATGAACGTCGCTGTCATAACTAGAACAAAGATCAAGGTAAACTGCACCCCTCCCACGTTCTGGATCGCTTCATAAATGTTCCCACCGCCGTCCGCGCCGCCAGTCTCCATGTAAACACGATCAATATAACGGCCAAGAAGCGGCGATGTGATCGCATACGTGACGATGTATGTGGAGTAGAGGAATGCCATGACTGCGCCAAGGGCAGAGACATTCTTTGTCTGAGCTTCTGTGCGGGCGAGACTTGCTTGGATATAGGCCGCGAGGGAGACGTCTCCCGCAGCCCATCCAAATGAAATGGGAATAAAAGTCGCGGCAACAATCCAGGCCTGGCGCACATCCAGCTGTGGCGGCCTCCAGTATGGAATATACCACACAATCAGGAGCATGAGCGAGTCGAGACGAAGCCATGGGATGGGCGTCTGGATCCAATTGGTGAAAAGGAAAACACACAGAGCACCCAGGAGTTCACCGAGGTTGGAGCCGCCAACCATGATCTGGGACCACGCTGAATTGCCCAAGTAACGACGTGCAACGGCCGGAGCAATGCCATTCTCCAAGTATCGGTGCCCGTACAACGCGATTGCGTATCCAGAAAAGAGCCAAACATATTTGCGGGTGGTAAATATTATCTTGCCGCCTGTCCATACAGACTCGCCAAAGAGCCAAAAGCCGCCGACTACAGCCTTGATGTAGGTTGGCTGCTTTTCAAGTAGATTTGGATTATGGGAGTGGAAGCCTGGGATCGTGATGAAGAACCAGGTGATTGACGCAAGCAGGAAGAATATCGGCGTGATCAAGAACGCGAAATTGTTGCCGAACCGAGGGATCAGTCCCAGCGCTGTGCAAAAGGCTCCGGACGTCCCAGCGACCTCGTAAAAGATCTAAAACCAAAGGTTAAAGAATGCTGATGAAGGATATATAGGACCGATACCCACATGCACAAGCGAATCCATTCGACGGAGTTTGTGAACATTCCCGCCAACGATATCTCGCGGAATGACTCGTCGAATTAATTCAACCATGCCATAAGCGATGCCAGCAATACAATATATGGGAATCATTCCATCAGTATTATAATCGCCATAGTAATGGAAGTCATCTTTTGGGTGCTTCTTCCGGAATTCGGCCGGGACAAATGTGCCGCCCGTTGCAGCGTCGATGATTAGGAGAAGTGCGCTGAGAACTCCAAACACAAGAATTGCACTTGAAAGAACATTCTTCGTCGGAAACTTTTTAACCAGGGGGGCAATCAGAATGGAGCCCACGCACTGAAAGGCTTGGTTTAATCCCGTCAAGAGCCCAACGCGTTCGAAGGTCCTGGAGACAGTGTTGTTCTTAATGGACTCATAATCATACCTGTTTGTGGCTAGGGTTACGATTGAGCCATTGAATGCTTCGAGGCCGAACTTGTAAAGCATGATACCGCCGATATAAATCGCCACATTCCTTTTCTCCGTTGGAGTGAAGGACTTCCAACTCTCCGTGATTGTGCTGAGAATCGCCATGGTGACAGGGCCAAACTTGAAGAACGGACGATGGATAGACAAGGCCTTTCCATGAATTGGAACACGTCCATGGTGATACCTGATTCCAGGCGAGCTTTATACCCCGAAATTCGAGAGAGGCTCTCAAGTGGTTTCCAACATATGATTGCAATGGCGAAAAAAGCGTCAAGGCGCCTCGACCGTGCCCAAGCATGCAGTTTGCAAACTGACATGGGAATAATTTTGAAGCACATGGGAAGAAAGAGCCAATCTTGAATGTCGAATCGAGCCCGTGTTTTCTGAATAACACCAGGACATCCGAAAAAGGGGCCGGCAAACGAGATTTATTAAGCTGCTCAACAGTGCCGACATGATGCCTCCCCCTTGAGTATCAAATGCTTGGGCCAAAATCTTGGTCAAAGCTTGCATGCGAGAAGCAGAGCAGAACGTAACATTGTGGCTGTGCTTCCAGGGGGAAGAGTATATCAATTCGAAAGCCTCATGCCAGGAGTGGCAGGCCTACAAAAATGCCTCATAGAAGCTCAATCACACTAGAATATCATCGGTTGGGGGAGGGTGAACGAGTCGGTCACCTTGCCGTAAACGCCAGCCCGCCGCCCGGTGCATTTTCCATTCATCTGAGCACGTTCCTATCCAGGTTGCAAAGGCTCGCAAGCTCTGCTCTAAAGAATCTCAAATCTCATAGTCGCCAGGCGAAGGTGCGTGAGGGCCAGGCAGGGGGACAGGCGGGATCATGTGGAATGGCCAGGGTAAACTGTAACTAGATGTAATAATATGAATCAACTGGCTAGATGTCTCCTATGTGCCTTGGGAAGTGAGGATAAGCGTCGGGGGATGTGACGAGTATGCCGATAGTTAGATATCTGCTCTCTTGATAGACTGCAGAGCAGCTCACTAACTAATCCACCGTCTAACTACTCTCAGATGCTTCACATGTCGTGCAGTGACGTCGCTGCCCAGACTTCAAAACCACCTCATCTGAACGCTTCCATCGCAGACACTCCAACTCCGCTCAACCTACCACAAGAGCTCTTTTGGATAGATTTATTTTTAGAATATCATTCTCCTATTGACCTATTAGGGCGCTATTCCCCCTTGCTCCCCTACTTCTCTGCATCAAAGCACCATGTCCACCTCCACCGGAGAGGGGTCTGCAGTCCCCGCCGCGAGTCGAGGATCCTGGTCTTCTTTCCTCAAGGCAAGTTAAACAGTTGCTTGTTGCCCGCTGTCGTGTGTGCAAAATTGTTCTCCAAGCTAATATCCATGTCTATGTAGTCAATTGCTTCGTTCAACGGCGACCTTTCCTCCCTTACCGCCCCTCCCTTCATTCTCTCCGGCACCTCGCTCGTCGAATACTCCGCTTACTGGGCTGAACACCCAGCGCTCTTTGTTGCACCAGCAAAGGAGCCGGACCCGGCAAAGAGAGCGTTGCTGGTGCTGAAGTGGTTCTTGAGCACACTGCACCAGCAGTATGCGACCAGAAGCGAGAAACTTGGGAGTGAGAAAAAGCCGCTGAATCCGTTTCTGGGTGAGCTGTTTCTAGGCAAATGGGATCACGAGGATGCTGGAGAGACAGAACTGTTTAGTGAACAAGTCAGGTGTGTCTTGTCGATCGTGACCAGTTGCTATGGTTAGCTGACACCCTGGTGTTCTGATGTAGTCACCATCCGCCTGTGACAGCATATTCGATTGAAAATGGAAAGCATGGTGTTGAGGTATGTTTTTGCATAACTCAAGCCAGCGAACATGCACTAACTATGGCATAGTTACAAGGCTACAATGCACAGAAAGCTTCGTTCTCAAGTACCATCAACGTAAAACAAATCGGACATGCAATCTATTCGCTGCCCACTCCCAACACATCCGCTGCCGAACGCGAGACTTACTTAATCACGCTGCCTTCCCTGCATATCGAGTCCCTAATATACGGCACGCCCTTTGTTGAATTAGATCGCTCGAGCCAGATCGTTAGCTCCACGGGTTACATTGCCAAAATCGATTATTCCGGGAAAGGTTGGTTGAGCGGGAAAAAGAACACGTTCAGCGCAATCTTATACCATGAAAGCGAAGGGGAAACGAACCCTATTTACACCGCGAATGGCCAGTGGTCGAAGGAGTTTGTACTCAAAGAAGCAAGGGGCAAGAAGCTTGAAATTGAAAAGTACAACGTCAAAACCATGACCACTACGCCCCTTAGCCTCGCAAAACTGGAAGACCAGGATATCTACGAGTCTCGACGCGCCTGGAGGGATGTTGCCGAAGCCATCGACCGCGGCGATATGGATGCAACCTCTGTCGCAAAGACCAAAATAGAAAATGCCCAGAGAGAATTACGCAAGATAGAGCGGGACGAAGGCCGGGAGTGGGAGCGCAGATTCTTTCGGCGGGTGGAAATTGAGGAAGATAAAGTGTTCACAAAGCTGCTAGGCATGCTGGGAGTAACCGGTCCTGCTGGCGTTGCCATCGAAAGCGACAAGACCAACGGCGTTTGGCGGTTCGATCCGGATTTGGCGAAGAATGCGGCTCCGCCGTATCATACTGATGGAGGCAGAGGACTCGGACTTGCGCTTGAACCCAGTGTCGAATAGACACCTGGAGCGAAGTGAGGTCACGGTCTGAGATGTTGCGTGCCTAGCGCTTCTCCACTTTCCCAATGTTGGTTGTTCCTCTTTTTCTCTACTGATAAGCCCCGAAAGTACATAGTAGCTACGGTGCCTAATAGAGGGCGAGTTCGGGTTGCATTATCGTGATATTATCCATAGCAAACAATGAATTAGATTCGCCGGACCAAATAGTTCGCTTTGACAGTTAGACATATGTACAATTGCGGCATATATACATATCGGGCACATCCAATCCGAATTAACACTGTAGAACATCCATGCGTATATAGACTTTTCTGCCATAAGCTCCATTCATTTGAAAAGCACAGAAAGAAATCAAAGAATCAAGGGCCAAGCGCTAAGTCTAAGGGTATCTTCACCTTCTTTTGAAACATCAAATTGATCAATGATAGCCACCGCCGTGTTCAGGTAAGAGGCCTGGTTGTGCGTTATCCGAAAACTCCTGATTCCCGAGTTCGCGTGACGACGTCTCATCACCATCCGCCTCTAGATCGCCCTCCTTTCTCCTCCTCCACGACCTTTTTCTCTTCTTCGACCGCTCTGCTTCTCGTAGAGCCTTTTTCTCCTCCTTCTCCTTCTTCTTATCTTTCTTTTCCTTTTTCGGAAACTCGCTTTCCGGGCCAACGAGGAAACGGCCGGGGTGGACGATGTTGAAAAGAAACAATGCGATGACCATGGTGGTTGCATCGAGGACGTAGAATGCAGCTTCGTTTTTGGCGAGTGGGGTATGGACGCCCTGGGCGTATTCGCAAAGTCGATAGATGATGCGGATCGTAATCAGGGCCAGGCCGGCATATACACAGTAGAGAAGGGGCCGCCATGGGTAGGACGGTGGATGGATGGCTTCGACATATGTCATTTTATAGTGGAAGCGAATCGCCAGGCCAACGAATACGAGGATGAAGAATTCTTGGACACCGATGCCGCCCATGTCTAGATCACGTTTAGGATTAGCGGATTGCAAAAAAAGGGTAAGCTGGAATCTCGGGAGTGACTAACATAAATTTTTCCCAATGTTCATGGTGTTTGGGTCGTCCGACGAGAGCAAACTGCTGGCGCTGCCTTGGACCAGAAAAGCCGTAACATCAAGGATGACGAATATCAAGGTAAGCCTTTTCGCCGAGATACCAAAGCACTTTTGCTCTGGCAGGAAGAAATATATCATGCGGCCGAGCACCATATAAATAAACGCATTGAGCCACAACGGCGCTAGAATGATCAAGATTTGAGCTGGGATATAAGGCCCTAGGGACCGCAACCGCTGGGTCGAATAAGATCGTAGCGCAAAACCGCCTGTCTCCCATATACACGACATCAGGATGACCCAGCAAAATTTCTGCGTTTCCAACTGTTAGTTTTCAGGCTGATCTTAAGGAGCATGCGTCCATTCCGTACCTTTCGGAAAAGGAATGCTTGGGCGGCATGTGTCACGGTAAGGAGGAAGAACAGGGCTGCGAACAAAACTGCCGCTGGGAATGACGGACAGTACGCCCATGGAATGTCATCACTGCTGAAATCGACCCCCTCGCATCGATTGGTCATTGCTCCGGTCCAGGCACGAAGCTACGATCTTCGCGTACCACGAGGAAGCGGGAAATAAGATAAAGAAAGCTTGACTGAGGAATTGTCAAGAAAAAGACCACATAGCCATATGGGCAGAAGAGGGTTTATATCTTGCCCTTGACGGGCCTTTTTGGCCGACATCAGATCCAAGAAGTCTCATAGTAATAATAGCAACGATCCCCAATTGCGTATCACAATCGTCTCTCGAACGATTCGAGCATAGTTTAGCTCCAAGTGGGCACATGTTGCATGCTGGCCCCGTCCCAGGCAGCGATATTTCTCCAGGCGCAAAAGCAAAACCAACAGTAACCTAGCCGCTCCTGCAATAGGGCGAAGCGTCAATTGTCCAGGATGACGCGCCATGAATCGTCAGCCACGAGCCGGGCGGTGTTGGCGAGAAAAGGCCAGTGCTGGTCCCTGCTGGCTGTGGTCGCCTGAGCGGTTGAAGTCTTTCGAGGAGCATCTCAAGCGTGCGGTCTGGAGGCTTGGCAGGCATCCGTCCACGCAACGGTTACGATTCAACATGCAATGGGTGACGCACGGTAAACGAATGGGCAAGGCGATTATTCTATTCTGGGCTCGAGAGGAATTAATTGCAGGTCAGATTGCGATGTGCCAAAAAGAAGGCTACCATGTGTTTCCCATTAGATAACAAAAAGCTGAAAAGACTCATTTTCGTCCTCCGGCCCAGTAGCTAAAAAGTGCAAATTCGTCTTTTCCTCGCGGTCATTCCATTCCATCGAAACCAGACGTCCGTAAAGCCAGCCAGTTCTCCAGAATACAAATAACTGATGAGTAACTAGTAGTTGGTACATGTTCCCAGGGCATAACATCAAGAAAAGTAATATCAACTCGATAGGAGAAAAGAGAAACAAAACCGTGAGAATTCATGCAAACACAAGCATGCAGGTCGCGGAAATTCGCAGCATATTTTTTTTATGTTGACGGTAAAAAAGATCCCATCCGACCTTCACCAGCAACCAGAAGAGAGAAGAGAGGCAAGGAAATACATCAGCAAGCAAATGATATGGTGAAACAATCAAGCATAAGGGAGGCGTGAAAAGAGCCAATACCGTGAAGAAGATTCGAGGTCTGCCGTGTCAAAAGGGTTCCCATCGGGATACGTTCTCCTGAATGATTCAGGCGAGAACCACACAAGCAACTAGTGGTTGGCTTGTCTAGTGCCCATAGTTTCCACCCCATCCACCACCACGACCAGTGTTCCCGTAGTAGTTGCTACCGAAACCGGCGCCGTAATTTCCATAGCCTCCACCCTGGTGATGAGTCTGAGAAGCTCCAGTCTGGTGGTGCGTACCCAGTCCACCAAGACCTCCATATTGAGGGTTAAGGTGAGGATAATTTCCAAACGCCTGCTGACTTCCTTGTTGAGCTGGTACAGGTGGCAGGCCGACCTGGCTCGCAGCAGGTTGACTTGGCACATTATTCGCCGCCGATCCTGGACGGTTGGCTTGTGAGACAGAAGGACTTGGACCACCGGCCTTAGACGCCTCAAATGCCTTGGAGGTCTCTTCACCGCTACCCGGCTGTTGAGGAGCTACGGGCTGGTTCTGGCCAAACTGGGTGCGCCCGAATACATCAGAAATACCGCCAAAGGCGTTGCTGCCGGTCGATTGTTGGCCTTCTGTTGGCTGGGTAGATCCCGTGCGGCCGTAGCCAGGGTCACGAGCTGGCACGCCTTGGGTGAAGGCGCCGGTGTTGGCGGGGGTTGAGGAGTGTTCGTAGGAGAAAGCGTGCTGGGGCTGCCCATACATTCCGCCCTTGCCATAAGGAGCATACTGGCTGCCATACCCAAACTGATTGCTATGGGGCAGATAATGCTCCTCATACCGTCGAACATCATCATACATCGGGCGATTTCTTCCATATTGATGTTGCTGGCCCATCTGACTAATGTATGTATTGGGATAATGAGGGTTGGAATAATAAGGATAGCCGTAGTTAAAAGCACCATGGCCTTGAGCTTGGGGCATATGAGTGGGCTGGTTTGGTTGTGCTTGGCCAGGCAATGTAGGATTAGGTGTGTTTTGACCACTATTAGTAGTTTCAACGTGGCCGTAGCGGGCAGGAGCCTGGGTGGATGGAGGCTGAGTCTGGGCTTCAGTTCCTGTAGCACTAAATCCAGCGGCAGTTCGTTGGGCACCAACGTCTTGTGGCTGGGCATAACCACCGTAGTAGTAAGGGTTGCGGGACTGGTTCAGCGCCGTAGAACGCAGAATAGTCAGCGCCTGTGGTGACGGTGGGCTGGGATGGAAGATTGGCTTGGTTAGAGAACGGCTCTTGAGTTTGAGGGTGTGGTTGCGGCTGTTCAACTTGCTGGCCGAATGGATCGTACGGCTTCTGAGCCTCTCCATATCGGCTAAAGTCGTTGAAGGAGGTTTCGGCAGTAGTGGTGGGAGGAACAGGAGGGAGGCCGGGAGCGGCTCGTGGGGTGGGTGCAACGGTTTCACCAGGAACCGGAGCGCGCGCCGAAGGAGGGAGAGATGCTCGAGGGGCGATAGGGGAGTGTTGGGGGGGCTGAGGGCGAGTTTCAGGTTCTTCTCTCTGCTCGTCAATATCAACTTCTTCCGTTGATCCGTTTAATCCCATGCTGCCAAACTGGACGGCAGCACGATCAACAGCGTGATTGCCAGGCATGACAACTGCTTCTTGTTGGTCCAAGAGACGGCGCTGGAAATGTGAGCGACCCGGGGTTGTTTTGTAAGCAGGCGTAGGAGTATATGGCACGGCAGGGCGTGGCGGCTGTTCCTGCACTAGCGACTGGTGCTGTTGTTGCGATTGATCATCGGTCGTGCTCACACTAGCATCTGCCGTCACCGGTGTTGGCTGCGGCTCAGTTTGGGTTTCCTCTTGTATAGATGTGGCAGCATCCTCCTTTGGCTCATTAGAGGTGGCGGGTAACTGCATCTCTGAAGCTGCCACCTCTGATACCTGCGGAGTCTCCTCAACATGGGTTCCATCTGGCTCTGAGGGGTGTTGGTCAGTGGGCTGCTCTGGCGCAACGCTTTCGGGCCCTTTCTCTGGAACAGGAGCAGCGGGAGCTGACGGCGGTGGTTTCTTTTGAGGAGGCGGAGTTGGTTTTGCAAACAAACTGGCCCATCCTTTCTTTGTTCCTTCGGGGATCAAGCTGGTCTTCTGTGGTTGCTCTGCTGTCGGTTTCGCAACGTCTTGAGCAGCTTTATCGGCAGCCTCCTTTGCATCCCCATCCACAGCCCAGGAATCCGGTGGGACTTGTGCGGTTTCCGAAGGTACAGATGCTTGAGTGGTAGGCTTGTCGGGCCGAGAACCGTTAACATGAGCAGCTCTGCCACCACGGCCTCCACGTCCACGATCTCCACGAGCACGTCCACGGCCCTCGAATCCTCCGCGAGGACGGGCGCCACGAGATTGAGAAGCTGTTGTCTCAGTTGGAATGGATTGCGCTTCCTTTGCCTTGGGACGTGGCCTGTCGGCATGCTTCTTCTTCACCTCACCCCACTGTGAGACATTGCCTAGTTTAAACAGAGGACGCTTAGATACGATTGTTTTCTTTGGCGCGAAAATATGGGGGGCAAACCTTCAGAAATGCGTTCAATAGCGATCTCAAGAACTCCATCGGCATCCTCCAAGGCAGACACAATATCCTCGTCTGTCCAGTCGGGAAACAGTTCCTTTATCATAGGCAGCTGGCTCGAGTACTTCTTCTTCAGCTGGCCCAGCTCTCCCTCTTCTTCAAATGATGGCGATCCAGCAGTGTCCTGGTTTGCTGACTTTGATACTCTGGCTCCACCGCGACCGCCTCTGAAGTTGTGACCACCCCTGCCACCACGGGCCGAACCCCGGCCACGAGTGTGAATTTCAGACATTATGGGACGCTTGTAAGCGGAAGGAATATGTTATGAGGGCAAGAAAAAGAGATGAGAGTGCGTGAGCGTGTTAGAGAAGAGGTCGTGTGCGTGAGGGTGACGAGCTGGGAAGAGGAGGCTGTTGCAGGGAGATTTTTTCAAGAAGCACAAGACAACTGAAAAGGCGAAAGAGCAGCAGACAAGGCTCCCTGCAATGAAGGCCACGCAGAGCAGCTGAGAACCGATAGGTAGACGTGAAATATAGAAAAACGAAAAGGAAAATGCAGAATGGTTGAAGAGGCGGAGGTGAAGATGTTTGAGCACAGAAGAAGTTTGAAAGGGAACTGGGATGGCGAGGTTTCGCGCGTTTTGTTTTTTGGTTCCAGCGGCTGGATGGCGTGCGCTAGTGGGCGGTGTTATAGAGGGTTACAGTATCAGAGCCACAGGTTTGCCGTCTGTATCAGCGTAACATGTCGTACAAGCGTCTTTTCACAAGCCACAAACTGGAGGCGGCGGCAGCAGACAAAGATTGACGGCCGGATTCACATTGCTGATGGAGAAGAGGGACTGCCAGAACAGCTGCAGTGGTGAGTTGATGTCCCCTGGGCCCTGCCTCGATCTACTGCCGCCTTCAATAGACTGGGATGCTGCACAGGGCTGGAGAGTGCTGACTCAGGCTCTGCCTTGGCTCAGATCATACGGTCGGTGATGGCATCATGCTGTTCCAACTGCGTCAATGTGAAGCCCTTTTCCCTCACTTGCCAACAGAACCTCGCTGGATCAATTACTGACTACTCTTTATCGACTAATCGCCAGAAATAAGCGCTCTGCCATGAAGATTACCGGCACTCAAGCCTTCAAGTACCTCACTTCAAAAATCCACCCTCCCCTTCCCCGTACCCCACGCGAATCCGAGCAGTTGCTCTCAATCTTGACATCCTCGTTTCGTCGCCAACTCGACCGTGAGCACCCGCCCGTGCAGTCAGAGGAACCACAGACCGTCTCCAAACCAGTCCGCTCTATCAATGCCGATCAGCATCTAAGTTCGATCCTGAACCACCCTCTCTTCAGCACCATCCCTCAGCAACCAAGAACCAGGCAACAGGATGCTCAGTCACAGGCACCAGTGGAGGACCCTATACTGGTGTTAGATCGTGCCATAGCCTCAGGTATTGCCGATGCCAGTACCGTTCATGAATGCCTCCGTCTACACCGGCTCCAACTAGATGGAATGCCACGGGAGACGAGGCGCGCTAGGATGAGTGAGTCAAACGTGGATCGCTTGATCCTTTCCTGGCTGTCATCCACAGATCAGCTATCGAGAAGGGACTTTTTCCGTAATCGGGAAATCGTCCAATCAGTAATGCCGTACATGGTCAATGCACGCCATCAACCTACCGTGATGAAATGGTTAGACGAAATCCGACGTGAGGTCCCATGCACTCCCAATTTCAAAAAGGTTTTCACGCATTCGCCCCAATATATCGTTCTTGAATCATATATCTCAGCCGAGTGCAGCTGGGGCGAGGGGATTGTCGCCGCATTGCGATTCTTGATGGAAGCGTGCGGTGCCCCCGTGCGTGGTGATTATAGCCACCTCCCGCCTTACATACTATCTATTGCTTCGCGTCTAGCTCGCCGGATATGCTCGCTCCCTGCATCGCAAATCAAGAGCATTCCGGTTCAATTGTTCGATGATTTCAGTGAGATATTTCAGGATGTGGGAGAGCCAGCGATCCAGGTCAGAAGGTATTTTTGGAAAGCAAAACTAGGCCTGTATCGCCCAATCGATCCCAACCCAAGTTTTGCCATTAAACACGCCGAAATATTCTCTCAGGCCCGAATACCTCCAGATCGCCACTCCTCGGCACTTCTACAATTGTATCTCGAAGCTGCTCAACTCTGTATCAAGCAAGACAAACATGCTCAAGCATCACGGCTCATATCGGTGGCGAAGAAACTCTTGCCGGATGGAGAATCCGCTGTGGCAGCGCAGCCTAAGAACGATAAGGAAAAACAGGACTTTCTCCCCTTAGTCAACGCCATAGAAAACGGTTTACTCCCCACCTTGGGGTAACTGTTCTTCTCAAACATTCGGGACGTTCTTATTTATCACTAGGAAAAGCCTGCTGCTACCAATATTATCACGACCTACTGCGTGATTGGATTTCTCCTAACAATACCCTGTCCGTTTCTGGATGTATTCCAGTACGCTGTACGGCCGATGGAAGCAACTGCAGTTTGTTTGCCTGGAAGCACACAACCAACAAGAGTCAACTTATGGGGGACATTGCCTTCTTCTACCAACGTCGACTTTTCAGTACCCGTCGTCTACCGCCCCAGTGACCAACTTGATGGACGTGACATGACGGCCATCCCGAAAGAGCTTTCTACCTATTCAATATCCAGGCAATTAGATCCGATGCTACGGTTCGTGCGTGCGACTCGATGGCTTGGCCGTGAATGAAGATGGAGGGCCTTTACCAAGGTTGACTGCTGTGGGGTACATGCTTCGGCATTGACTGATTTGATCCCGACGGATTCTTGACCGTTTTTCCGCACGCTGAAATGCCTTCTGAGGAGATTCAAAAGCCGTGAATACGCCACTCGATGCCAACAGAAATGCATCTGGTCGAGTTTAGAGGAGGATATACTCGAGGCTGATTTGAAAAGGATGTCCATCTCATCCTGTTTGGAGACTTTCAGGTGCTTGAAAATATAATGATACCTTTTGAAATGGGTTTTGTAGGAACCTTTATTTCCAGGTTTTATGCCGTTTATTTACCTGTTTTCACACCACTTGCAGAAATGAGGGATGAATCACATATCCCTCTACTCTTTCATTTGTGGCCTTGGTTCATTAATGAAGCTCAATGAGAATAATTTTAATCAATTCCTTTGTGGGATCCTATACATCTTAATAATGCTAGGAAGTGACACTATGTAGATCAATGAACTCCATTTCGATTCGCGTCGCGCGCTTTTTCGCGCCTTGACGCGTCCTCCTTAACCAACGGAGTTCCAGCCAACCATACGGAAAACCCTCCCCCATACAATGATTTAATGGAAAAATATTGACCAGCTCAAATCGGTCACCAGCCCGATTTTGCTTCCTGAGGCCTGAAGGTACACCATGATTCTCAGCGGCGTCGAAATCGTCACCCGCCACCTGGTCCGCAACCTGCGACACGTCGCCCAGCAGCAGCAGCCATGCGGCGTCGACCTCACTCTCCGCCAGGTTTCCAAATGGACCTCAGCGGCCACGATTGACTTTGACAATACCAAGCGCCAGGCGGCCAAAATTTCGAACCTGCCCTTTGACCGTGCCAGCCACACGATTACCCTGCAACCGGGGGCCTACTTGATTGATTTCAACGAGACGGTGCAGGTGCCGCGGAATTGCATGGCGAGTGTTTTTGTGAGGTCGTCGTTGTGGCGGTCTGGGGTGGGAATGGTCACTGGTGTGGTTGATGCGGGATATGAAGGTGCTATGGGCGCGTTGTTGGATGTGAGGAATCCTAATGGTGTTGTGTTTTATCGAGATGCAAAGCTTGCGCAGATTGTGTTTCAGGAAATGGAGGGAATGGTGGAGGGATACAGTGGAATCTATCAGTCGTCACAAAGCAGTGTGGGATGCAGTGGGACAGAAAAGGTGCAGTGTGATACGCATCCAGGTGCCGACAGCTCTACGACCAGGCCACCTAGGTAATCTTTATGTAGAGTCCCAGTCATACAGACTCCCATGATATGCTTGCCTGTTGATTAGTCAGGTAACTATTACGCTAGCCCAAGCAGGCTAGCGTGTGTTGGGGAAATTAAGCTCGTTAGTGTGCCTGGGCTCCGGGGTGAGCAATCGTTAGTCTCGGGATTAAGCTTGCCTGCACGGCACCCGCCATCAAGTAAGCAACATCAGCTCTCGAGACCTCGCATCCAGTTTCTTCCATCCCATCAACTGTTTGATCCGCCCTGTTCTCACCCCATCGCTATCGCATTGACATTTTCATCACTTGCGCATATACCAAGTCGAAATTGTTGTCCCAATTGTCTTGATTTCGAGCCTCATACTGCTTGTTTACCCTTCTCAACCAACCTGTTCCAACTATTTTGGCAAAAACTACAAACATGTCAGCCGAAGCGGTCAATGGAGCCCCCGTTGTCGAGCCCGGTAGGTTCTTTGCGGCCGCCTTTTACTCAGCGCTATTGGGTCCTAGTCATCGACATTTTTGATCGACTTTGATACAGAAACTTGCTTCATCTATACGCAGATTATGTAAAAAAGCGCATTCTATGCCCATTCTGCCGGCTAATTGCCTCGTCTTATAGTCCCCGCTCTTGAGACGGAAGGGAAAGAAAACGCGTCAACCGCCAAAGCCGAAGATCCCACCGAAGTAAACGGCAACGCAGCGCAACCCGCCGAGGAAAAAGATACGCCTGAAGCGGACAGCGAAAAGGCCGCCGGCGACAAACGCGATCACGACGAGGCTGGCCCTGCTGCGGAGGCGGAAACGTCTACTGGACAGCAGCCCCCAGGGAAGAAGCAAAAGACCAAAACACAAAAGGAGCCTGAGGCCGAATCCGAGACAGTTGCCAACAATGCAGAAGCCGCAAATGGCGCGAAGAAGAGAGGACCCGGTCGGCCGAAAAAGGGCGAAGCGAAGAAACCCCAGAAGACGCCGACGCCAAGGAGTGCCGATGGCATTGGAAGCAGGACTCGAAGCCGAACCAAGGCTTGAGTTCGATTGGGGTGAATTTGGGAACCTACAGGCGATGGGCATCGAATTTTGCTATAATTTTGTTCCATGATTCATGACCTCTGACTCCAACGGTGCTAGATAAGCCAGTTTGCTTGATATCGTGCTTTTCGATGCTGCAGAACTAAATCCTGGGGTTTCAATCTGTACGGATACTATTTATTTGGGTGCATTAATGGAAAAGGTTGCGGATATTGAGCCGGTTGGAATGGATATGGTGGGAACTTGTGAAGAAATAGGGAAGGAAAGGACATCAGGAAACAGGACACCTTTGCCTCGATAACATCGAGCTCTGTGCTTCGGCTAGGTCAATGTCTTGACTTGGAACCAGCTGCTAATTGGGTCCATGACTCCTCTAGCCTTTGAATTGATTGTTTGCTGTTATCGTAGTATCCGACGCCTATGCTTCGGAGTCCAAGAAGACCAGCCCAGTCAAGTTTGATAAGGCTGCTGGATTGAGACACGAATGAGGACAGGTACTGAGTGTATCACAGCTTCCACATGGAATATCGCCTCAGCATTCCGTCGTTTGATACGTTGACTTGGATTGACAACTAGTTAGCTGGGTCTGTACATCACTGCAAGCCTTGATGTAACCATATCAAGGGATATAAACTCTGAAGCTTCAATTTGGAAGCTCGGAAGAGTCCGTTGGCCGCTCGCCAGTGTCGCATTCTCCCTGCATTCTAGCGCTTTGGACTCCGTGTTGCGAACCCGCCATGATTTTGCTGTCAGGACAAAGTTTTGGCGACGGGACAAGCAAACAGGCAGATCAATTCACGAAACATAGTTAAATGCCCTCCACGCATCGCTTCTCACGCAAACAATTTTGTTTTATTCTGCGAGCCATCGTGGGCCTTCTGTCCTGCCCTGTCTTCTATAAGCGCCCTGACTTATTTTAACGCTATTAATCGATCCTTTTTGTCAGTCATTCAACCCCGGCGTCGCCGACCTTTGCACTCGGCACCACTCCGCCGACTTTTCCGCCACCACCCTACCTCCCCAGTCACCTCCCCCACAAAATAGCCCACAGCAAGTGACAAGGAGGGAAACGAGGTCTTGACGTTTACATGACTACGGAGTACGACTGATCAATTGATCAAGGATACACGCTTCCCCCAAACCCTCGATTTCCAGAGCCGCATTCGAGCTCAACACTTTTTTTCAATTCTTCCTGGGCGCAACTGACCGATCGAGAGAAACAATGGCCACCTAATCCCCGAAGCGCTGCTATCTTATGCCGGAAAAACCTGCGACCATAGCAGCTTACGCTGCGGGGGCCTCGCTCGCGGCTATCACCCTCTTCTACGTCTTCGGCCCAAACTTCACGATCGACGGCGACGAGTCGAATATCAGCGGCAGAAAGAAGACTATCGTCGGCCTCTCGAACCCCGCCAATGATTGCTTTATCAATTCCGTACTGCAGGCGCTCGCCGGACTGGGAGACCTGCGGCTGTACCTGATACGAGAGCTACATCGGAGGGAGCTAGAGGGAAGGGGAGTCTACGAAAGCTATCCGGACCCTGAAGATGTGCCGAGGGACCGGACGCCGGAGGGTGTGCGGCAGTTGCAGCAGGCGCCGGTGACTAAGGCGCTAAAGGAGATGTTGGATCGACTTAATGAGAGGCCGATTTATCGAAAGACGATTTCGGCCAGGGGGTTTATACAGGCGTTGGAGAGTGCGTTTCGGACGAGGATCAGTCGGACGCAGCAGGATGCGCATGAGTTTTTGCAGGTGGTGGCGGAGCGACTGTGTGATGAATACCATGCCGGGGATAAAGCGCGGAAAAGAGCCGGGGCGCTGCTCACGGTGCCTTCGGGGGTCCCTGAGTTGGAATTGGATCCGGAGAAGCTGCAGATTCCGCCTGCCAGCGTCACGGATGTTGATTCGGAAGATGCGTCGATGATCGGTTCACGGTGGAGAGAGACAAGTAGAGAGGAACATGGGTTTCCCTTGGAGGGAATGCTGGAATCACAGGTCGAATGCCAATTCTGCCACTACAAATACAAGCCGAACCAGACGTCGTTTGTCAACCTTACATTGCAGGTGCCGCAAAAAAGCTCCACCTCTCTGAGTGCTTGCTTCGACGGGCTGCTGAAGACTGAGTACATTGAAGATTTCCGATGCGACAGATGCCAATTGATTTATACACTAGATCTCAAACTGAAAGCGCAGCAGCGTGCGGTTTCTGAGCGGGAAAAGCAGGCGATTAGAGCAGAAATATCTCTCCTTCGAGCCGCGATCGACGGTGACCCGGAGGTGCCTCTAGAGGGCGTCACAATGCCCGATGCGCAAAGTATACCAAAACGGAAAATAGCACGGCACATGAGGGTCACCAAATTCCCAAGGCTTCTTGCGATTCACCTATCCAGGTCCATATTTGATCAAAGCGCGTCGACGAAGAATGCCGCCAAGGTGGCATTCCCAGAACGTTTACCGTTAGGCGGCATACTCAATCGGAAATGGTACAGGCTGTTGGGGATCGTGTGCCACAAGGGAAGCCATCACAGTGGACACTATGAATCTTTCCGACGAAATGTTGTGTACGCGCCGTTTTCAACTCCAGATGCGTTTAGGTCCTACGCCCAGAGCAGAGCGGCCAGCGAGAATCCATCCACCATGCCCAGTCCGAGGATGCACACGATGCATAGGCCGTCTGATGCAGAGCTAAGCCCACTGACGATATCCGATTCGTCCTCTGCTTCGGTGTCTACCTCCTCACTGCCGGCGCCGTCGCCATCCCTGAACCAGAGAAGCCCGCTCTCATCAGCGTCCATCGACAGGCTTCCCTCCATCTCATCAGCGACGCGGATCCCACCGAGGTCATCACCGGCATCCGCAGTCTCGTCCAACAAACCTGAATCAGGCTCCAAGGGGCCTGGTAAGCCATCATCCGGTGACGCATCGCTTTTCCGAAGAAAGAAGCGTCAAAACGAACGCTGGTGGAGGATCAGCGACGAAAGGGTCAAGGAATGCAAGACAAGCGATGTCTTGGGAATGCAGCGAGAGGTGTATTTGTTGTTTTACGAAATGGAACGGCCCGGCGATGATCCTTCTACAGCATGATAATGAAAAGAGAAGACTTATACCCTTTTTTGAACATTTGGCGAGATCCAAGGTGTTAGCGGCACACACGCACCCTTTTCCTGATTCCTGTTGTTCACTCCTCATCCTCTTCAATGTTGTCTTGTCTGTTGTTTCTCATACAAGTTCAAAGGTGGCTCAGCAAATAGAATTGGTTCTGCAAAAATGGGGCTCGACCCCCTTTCTTTGGAAGTTGACCCAAGATGGGCATATTTTGCATTGTTGGACTTTTTTGATGGCTTGTTCTTGGAGCAATGTCGCGCTCGATTCGAAAGTATTTATACAGACTGAGATAGACAAATTGCCAAAACGTCGTCGAACTAGCCGTTGCTCTTCAACTTGCTCATGAATTGAACAAATAGACACAGCCACAGCCTCTTGTTTTGTATCCCGGTGCAAATCCTCGGGCCTCTCGGACATTCTGAACAAATCGTTACTCCATATGCCGAACTTTGTGTTCATGCCGCTCCTCGGGGAAAACCCGAGTTCGCAGAGAAAGAAATAAAAAAAAGAAAACAAAAGAATCTTCGATTTTCGAAAAACCGCTTAGTTTCGGGGCCAGCAAGTTCAACTCCTCCCTTGTCTTCATACCAATCGCAACCACTCCGCGAAACCAGGGGTTGAGAATCTGCTCGCTGTGGTTGCTTTTGAAATGGACGGGTGCGGGGCGCGTGGAATGCAAGTTTGACGACAAGATGCCAGGAACCATCTGCACGAGCAGCCCGTATCAGACGTGCCAGTTCTCTATCGATTAGTTATTGTTGATGCTTTTGATGGAGGGGTTGGATGTTGCCAAGCCTTGGAGACGTTCGGTTCGCCGCAGCGGGGCAGTTTTGACGACAGGCAAACGTCACGACGGACAGGGCGGTTCTGGGAGGGATGATGATATTCTGTGATGGAGAATTACATCCTACTGTTTATGGAGCATGGGATAGTCGTGGAGGCGCAAGAGAGGATTGCAATTGTAGCTTGTTCGCTGATATCAAATGCACATTGGGGTAGTGAATGGAGACGAGGGGCAGGATATACATATATTTCGCGCATGGCTGAAGCAGCGCCGGATGCTGAGATTGCTGGCATTTATCAGGTAGCAGAGTTGAAGAACAATCCAGATTGCCCGTAGCATTGCTTTCATCTCAAGACATTGCTTCTGATTCGCATCCCCATTCCATTATTGATCGCGGGAAGAGGGGTGAATGTTGAACCAGGCAGTGTATTGCGGGGCAATTCGGAAAACAAGCGCAAATTCCACGAAAATCGTCATGATCGAGAGCAACTTGCCGTTTTGAAGCCAGAATCCCGCTGTCGAGGTCACGCTGCCATTTAATTCTTCCTGTCTGCTCTTCTTCTCTTCTCTTCCTCCTCTTCCACGCCTGACCTGTCTGTACCATCACCACAACGCCCGTGAGGTAGGTAACAAGCCCACCGCTAGCAACGCCGAATCCTCCAGTTCGGTGAATAAAACAAACTTTCGTGCGTCCTTTGTTTATTTGAAACCTCTGCCTGACACTCCATCGTTCGTCTTCTAGGCCAACCGCTCCATCTCTCCGTTCTGCTACAACTTGTCTCAATCCAAGTTTCTATTTCCAATCAAAAAGTGAGTGATTCTTCCCTTCCGGCAGCAATAGCTTTCTCAGACTTCTCTGCCCCTCCTTGTTGGTCCCAAAATCGCGGGGTATTGTGGCGGAATCAAATCACAGAAATCGGATCCTCACCTCACTCAATTGCGATCTGGCTGACGAAGTTGAACGCTGTACAGCTCTCTTTGCCAACCGCCAATATGGGTGTTACCGACGTTCTCTCCCGCAAGACCGGTGTCATCGTCGGTGATGATGTCCTGAGACTCTTCGAGTACGCCCAGCAAAACAACTTTGCCATCCCCGCTGTTGTAAGTAGAAGCAATCGAGGCATGCACTCACGGACTTGGAACTGACCTCACTGTGCTCCTAATGAGTAGAACGTGACCTCTTCCTCCACCGCTGTGGCCGCACTTGAGGCCGCCCGCGACAAGAAGGCTCCTATCATCCTTCAGATGTCCCAAGGTGGCGGTGCCTACTTTGCCGGAAAGGTATGCTTAAACCTCCAGAATTCATTTTTATCTCGCATTTTCGTGGGAGCAAGCGAACTGATCTTGACTTGTAGGGTGTCTCCAACTCCAACCAAGAAGCGTCCATTGCTGGCTCCATCGCCGGAGCTCATTATATCCGCAGCATTGCCCCAATCTATGGCATCCCAGTTGTCCTTCACACTGACCACTGCGCCAAGAAGCTCCTCCCATGGCTCGACGGTATGATGGATGCGGATGAGAAATACTTCAAAGAGCATGGTGAGCCATTGTTCTCCAGCCACATGATCGATCTCTCTGAGGAGACGGTCGAGTGGAACATCGAGACCACCGCCAAGTACCTCAAGCGTGCTGCCCCAATGAAGCAGTGGCTCGAGATGGTAAGTTCTCGCCTGCATCCAGGCGCTCATCTGTGCACAGAGTTAATGAAGTTTTTGTAGGAAATTGGCATCACCGGCGGTGAGGAGGACGGCGTCAACAACGAAGATGTTGACAACAACTCTCTCTACACCCAGCCCGAGGACATCTTGAACATCTACAACGCCCTTGCGCCAATCAGCCCTTACTTCTCCATCGCCGCTGGTTTCGGAAACGTCCACGGCGTCTACAAGCCCGGAAACGTCCGCTTGCACCCCGAACTCCTCAAGAAGCACCAGGCCTACGTCAAGGAGAAGACCGGTTCCCAGAAGGACAAGCCAGTCTTCCTCGTCTTCCACGGTGGTTCCGGTTCCTCCAAGGAGGAGTACAAGGAGGCCATAAGCTATGGCGTTGTGAAGGTCAACATGGACACGGACATGCAATACGCCTACATGGCCGGCGTCCGTGACTATATGCTCAAGAAGAAGGACTACCTCATGTCGGCTGTGGGCAACCCTGACGGTGAGGATAAGCCCAACAAGAAATACTTTGACCCTCGCGTGTGGGTCCGCGACGGCGAGAAGAGCATGGCTCAACGAACACAGGTGGCTCTTGATGATTTCAACACCTCCAACCAGCTGTAAATAACCCAGAAGAAAAAAAAAATTACCCACGCATCTCTTTGTATCTTTCGATGCTGGGAGACATTTTGTGTCAATAAAAGGACGCTTTGAGGTTTTAAAAATGCAATAATATAATTCTGTTTGGGCAAATTTCAATTCTTCATTTTCCATCGGGGTTGATCCAGTACTGTCATCTGAGGAGCGAGAACAAATGAAAAGCATCACAGCGCAAGGGGGGAAGGACAGGTTCGTATCTTGTTTGGAGCGGCCGCTTCCCGAGCCCTGAAACCGCTTGCGATCTCCGATAAGTATAAAGGCACACAGCGGGCAAAACCATGGTTGTCCATGGGAGGTATGAAACACAGGATAAGAGGGCAGCGCCGGCTGAAACAGGTGTTTTCGGGACCTCTTGTTGGAAATGGAATTTTTATTTTTTTTTGTGGTTGAGGTTTGGGAGGGATGGAGCTGGGCCACCCTCTGGTGCTGTTGAGTGGGAGAATCTTGGGGCGCGGATGGAGTAGGAGTAATTTGGGATCCATGGTTATAAGAGAGGATTCTTTGGGCTGACCCGGGTTGAGCCGGTGGAACTGTGCTCTGTTCAGTTGTGATTCTGCGATTTGGTTGAACTAACTGGAGAGGAATATTAAATCAAGATCGGACGAAAGCAGCACAGAACAGAAGAGTAAAGAAAGAAAACACCATCCGCACGCTGACCACCTCATCCACTCCATGGCCCTGGGTCAGCCAGTCGGCTAGTTATTAGTCCAACGTCCAAGGCTGCCAGGTGAATCGTCGCCAATGAAAGCCATCCTTGAGGCTTGACCCCCAGAACGCCGAAAACGAAACCGAAGCCCAAGGCAAGAAATGAAGCGACCGTGTGTAACAGATGAACTCGCCCACCCACAGAGACTCTTCTTCTTCTTTTAGATTTTGCAACACACAACTCCCACGGCCTGCGAGTGGTGCCTCGGTGGAGTCTCTCTTCAGCAAAAAGGCGAAAAACCCGCCGGGGCCTCGATTTCGAAGAACCCCTGCGATGGGGACCCCCCGTTCTGGCCCCTTGTTCGGCCGTTCCATTTTTACTCTGGAGTGGGCTTCATAGTGCGAAATAGTTCCAGTCCCTCTTACGTAGGCATTTTTCTCGCGGATCCTGGCTTTTCCTTATATGTAGTCGTAGGAGTGGCACAGTGATGCGCAACAGAGGAGATTTCCGCAGGGGACATCAGCAGACGCGGTGACTGTGAGTTGGCAGCCCTTTTTTGCTTTCTTTCTGGCTGTCGGGTGATACGCTCTCTTGGTCTTTTTTCGCCCTCTGACTCTCGCTTTTCTGTCTAATCCGAGTCGACCCTGCAGCCGTGTCTTTGGATCGCTGTTCTGATTCACCATCACGATCGTTTCCAGCACGCTAAAAAGTCCCTTTGCTGATCGCTTTGTTCTCGATCGTCATCGATTGCCTGATCCTCTCCCCACACTCGACAAGAAATCCTGATCTCTCTCTCTCGCTATCTGGCGTCGTCTCTCGTTGAATACAATCTATTAATAGCACTTTCAACTCTCTGTCGTTCAGGAAAAAAGCAAACATCTTTGATCTTCGTTGTCTGTGGTTGCATTCCACCCCGTTCCCTTCCAGCCGACGCCGCCGACCGACAACCCTGCATCTGCCCTCCGAACAACGGGTTCCTCGTGGTTTGCCAAAAGGCCCGCATCGAAGCGTTTTCTACTGGAAATGACCTCTTGTTGCATTGACTAGGCCGGGACGTTTGTGAATCATCAACTCTTGATTGCGGTTGTGCAACCTGTGTTGCGGGGAGGAAAGGGAAATACCGCGTGGGGATGGAGAGCATCATAGCTGCGAGGCAGAACCCTGGTGGTCCCTCCTCTGCGGACAAGTTTTTGGAATTGCTTCAAGATCCTTTCCAGTCAGCGGTAAGTTTTTGGTGCCTTTCCTTGGCTCCCGTCGCCAGGAACCCGTATCGCCTCCCCAGCATCCCTCCATCATTCGACGCAGCGCTGACTCTTTCAAATCGCCGTCTAGTTCCAAGAACGGGCTTTCTGGGCTTCCCTAGGGACATCGTTGGGTGTCACGCTTGGCCTTGCGCTGCTGTTCTCGTTGTTCAGGCCTCGCAATTCGGTGGTGTATGCACCAAAGCTGAAACATGCGGACAGGAAACATGCGCCTCCACCGCTGGGCAAGGGAATGTTTGCCTGGATAACGCCTATCATCAAAACCAGGGAAGATGAGATTCTGGATAAGGTGGGGATGGACGCCACGGTGTTTCTGCGCTTCACCCGGATGTGCCGAAATATCTTCTTAATTTTGAGCCTGATCGGATGCGCGATCATGATTCCTATCAACGTGACGGGGAGTGACAATTTCACAAAGGGATTGTCGGCTTTTACGACCATGACTCCGATGTACGTGTCGAATCCGAAAGTGCTGTGGGGCCATGTCGCATGTGCCTGGGGGATCGATGCCATTGTTGCGTATTTTCTGTGGCACAATTATCGGGCAATGGGGAGGCTGCGAAAGCGATATTTCCTAAGCACCGAGTTTCAACAGAGTTTGCATGCGAGAACGGTCATGGTGACGCATATTCCGAAGGAGTATAGGACGGATGAGGGATTGCTACGGCTGACGGATGAAGTCAACCCGACGGCTTCCATTCCCCGAGCCTCAATCGGTCGAAACGTCAAGGAGCTCCCAGCGTTGATCGACGAGCATGAAAGAGTGGTTAGGGAGCTGGAAGAGATTCTGGCAAAGTACTTCAAGAACCCGGATCGACTTCCAGCAAAGCGCCCTACCTGCAGGCCAATCAAGGATTTCAGGGGAGAGAACACTCCCGAGAAAGTTGATGCAATTGACTACTATACGGTCCGGATTCGAACCTTAGAAGCTGAAATTCGGTACGTACGAGAGTCGATCGATAAGCGGAATGCAATGTCATACGGCTTTGCTAGCTGGGAGTCCATTGAACACGCCCACATGGCCGCCTATGCAGCTCGCAAAAAGCACCCCCACGGCACGAATATCACACTGGCTACACGACCCAACGACATCATCTGGGCAAACCTGGCTCTCAGCAAGGCTGAACTCAGGAGAAAGCGGTTTATGAACATAGTCTGGTCCACCATCTTAACGGTTATCTGGATCGCACCAAACGCCATGATTGCGATCTTTTTAGCTGATCTGGCGCACTTGGGGTTGGTCTGGGACGCCTTTCAAAGATCTCTAGCTAGGAACCCCAAAGTCTGGTCTGCTGTTCAGGGTATTGCCTCGCCGGCCATCACATCGTTGGTTTACCTCGTTCTCCCGATAATATTCCGCCGCCTTGCGATCCGGTCCGGTAAAGCGACAAAAAGCGCCCGAGAGCGGCACGTCCTCCACAGTCTCTACGCGTTCTTCGTGTTTAACAACCTTATCGTCTTCTCTGTATTCTCTGCGATTTGGTCCTTTGTGGCTACTGTGATCCGAGAGGCCGATAGGAAAAAGGACGCCTGGGAAGCCATTTCCGCTGGGGCCTTTTACGTCAACGTTATGACGGCATTATGCAAGGTGTCGCCTTTCTGGGTGACTTGGCTCCTCCAGAGGAATCTGGGTGCGGCGGTTGATCTGATGCAGCTCATCAACATGATCTGGACATTTATCGCCAGGCGATGGTTTAGTCCCACGCCCCGACGAGCAATCGAGTGGACTGCTCCACCCCCATTCGATTATGCCAGCTATTTCAATTACTTTTTGTTCTACTCGACCATCGCATTTTGCTTCGCGTCCCTACAGCCTATTGTCCTTCCGGTAACTGCGCTTTACTTTGGAGTGGATTCGTGGCTGAAAAAGTATCTGCTGCTATACGTCTTTATCACAAAAACGGAGTCAGGCGGTCGCTTCTGGCGTGCCGTTTTCAATCGCATGATATTCGCTCTCATACTCGCCAACTTTATCCTCGGCCTGGTCATTAAAGCGAAAGGCTCGTGGACTATGGTTTTTGCCCTAGTTCCGCTTCCAATCTTGCTGGTGGGATTCAAGTTGTACTGTAAGAGCTCGTTTGACGATGAGCTATTATACTACCACCGGGCGATCGTTTCAGATCCCGAATCCTCGGCCGACGGGAAGACGGGAAAGAAAGCAGCGGAGCGTTTAAGCTCGAGATTCGGCCACCCTGCATTGTACAAACCTCTCACCACGCCCATGGTCCATGCAAAGGCCGCCGATGCGCTCGAGAAGCTCTTCCAGGGCCGCCAAGGGATGAACTCCGGTGCTGGCGATTACTCCGACATCGCCATGCACAGGATGTCGGCCACGGAGCCTGGAAAGGCCTCACAGCCGCAAGATGCGCCGTTCGAAGTGGTGGCAGACCATCAACTAGATTTCTCTTATTTCAAGGACCGGCCCGACTTCCGCGAGGAATTCGGCGGTGGTATCTACGGACGGCCAGATGATTTGATCACGGAGCGATCTCACACGCCAAAGAGTTTCCTGGCCGGGCATGGGTCGCCGTCATCCTCTAGACCCGCCTCGCCAGCGCCTTCGCAACGCTCCATGACCTTCAACGGGCCTCATGGGCGGTTTCCGAACATATCCGACCACCCAGCGTTCCAGTCGACAGATTCCAACGCGTCCGGATTCTACAAGCAGTCCAACGAGAGTGAGAGGAATCTACTCTACAACCCTCAGGGACTGCCAGTGCGCTCGTCGACAGACGTGGCTTCTCTTGACAGTCGATGGCAGGCAGAAGGGTCGATGGCGTACAGCAGATACCGCAGTCCGTCGCCTTACGAGCCGTATCGGTCCCGCTAGACATTTTACTCTTTCCTTTTTCTACTCTGTGTACTCTTTGGGAACTACATTGCATTTTCTTGGAAATATGGGGCGAGGAGTCTATGTGGAATTTGGTAGATATGGATGCACGAACTACATATAAACGGGGGGCTTGTATCTTTGCGTATAGCGTCTGCGGGTTATTTCAAGAATATGTCGTTTCTGCTAATGGATAGCCACATGTGCCAGTATTGATAGATAGACCTCAATGCATCACCGGTTTTGGATCATCTGCTGGGTGTTTGTGTAGAGAGCGGGTTTGCGCCGAGCCCGAGTGCCCAATCACCTGATAGCCCAGTTGACTAACTAGTTCGCTGTGCTCCGCTTCAAGCTCCCCTCGAACTTCACCTCTTCAACTCTCGCGTGCCACCTCGCTCAGGCCTCCCTTCTCGCGCCCAAGCCGTCGCTGAGACGCTGAGTGAAGGGAAAGCGCAGCTCCGCACATGGTGAACGTGGATAGACCGCAGGAGCCTGTGCTCTCTCTCTCTCTCTCTCTCTCCGCTTCCCTCGAGCGAAGCTTCTGTTACATTGACTCAACGCAGGTTCCCTTGTTGTACTGTACAAAAGGCATCCCGCACCTTTTTTTTATTTCCATGTCGCAGTAGCACAGGCAGTACTTTTGGAATAAAAACAAAAGTTACATCATTGGTTTCAAATTAACTTGTCTTTTATGCTTTCTGGGTTATATGAACTGGTTTCTTTTTTACTATTGATGTTCCGTTGACTTATCCCTTTTGACCTTGGATTGACCCTGAAAACAGCGTTGTTGTTTTCTGGTGAGACAAGGAGGGAAAGGGATAGGAGAGCAAGGCAAACGGTATATTGCATGGAAGAACTCGATTCAGCATTTTCGGTATCGGGTCAAGGCGGAAAGGAATCATGACTTGGTATTCTCTGCTCCCGGGGGAACTAACGGCGTTCGAGGGGTGGATTACGCGCGTCTTCGTAAGGATGAATTCCTGCTTTTTACTTTTTCCCCTGTTCATGGCACTTGTCTCTGCAGCCGAACTGGGCGGTTATCCCTGGACGACAAGAAAGCCGAATGCTAACCTGGGCCCCTTCTGCTCCCGTTATTGAGCGTTTGATAGATCATTCTTGGTACATTGACTATTGGACCTTGGGCCTTTATCATTCTGTACGATATCCTGCTATACATCTGGCGCGCGACGACGTATGAGATTCCTGTTATTGGGGGTCGGGCGAGGGGTAGACGGAGACCTGTTGCGCCGAGTTTGAGTGAACGCCCAAGCGGGCGGCGGAGAGCGTTTAGTTTAACGGGTACGACGTCCGACGAATCCCTGGGCTTGAGCGAGGGCGGGAGTAATTCCGCTTCTTCGTCGAAGGTTTCGCTCTCGAGTGAGGAGACGGTGACTGAGAATGATGCCGGCTCTTCTGGGAATGGAAGTGGCATGGGTGACGAGGGGGAAGTGAAGCGAAGGAAGAGCTGAGTTGGAGTTGGCATTTCGGGGAATTCCGAAAATAAACGAGTTGTCCGGGCATGATTGATCACAGCGTTCTGCGCGTATATGCCTTTGGGAATGCCACGCGGACGGGCAAGGATTTTGAGTGATCCACGATTCCGCGTTCCCCATCTCTTTAAGCCAGCTACATTGTCCGACATTGACCCTAGTTTCCAACCCGAGCAGTTTCCCTACGCCTCACATTCTATGCGATTATGCATGCGGCCGAAGCCCTTCCCAGTTGCCTTGCCTGGTACGAATCCGGAATTCTTCTAGAATGCCCTTGGATGCAGAAGCGGTTGCCAGAGAAGGAATCCCGGCTTTGCGCCTTGGTATTAAAACAGCCCTATAAACCGACTGTTCTCCCGCTAGTTGGTGGCCTGACCGGTTCACCGATTAGTTATCATTGGGAGAGTAGTACGCTTCGCCCCCTTTTATGTCTTCGCCGAGGAAGACGGGAGTCGTTCAGAGTGCTTTTCACCTTTCTTTTTAGATTTAATAAACAGCGTTACACTATTTCGACTATTTCGACCTGATGACCTGCTTAGCGATCGATTTGTTGCTTGTTTTCGCGTACAACTCATCAGCCTCAGCGACTTTAATGTTTAAAATACGCCCTGGTTTGCCTTCTTTGCCGTTTGTGTCTCCCTGCATTATCCATCCCTGATATCCCCAGTCTAAGGAATTCGATTTCACCGCTTTTACGGATAAATATGGGATGCCCGACCTCAGCACTCGTACGACGGAGCAAACGGCTCAGATGACAGTAAAATGTGACTTGGCCAAACCGATGAGACCGCCAATACTACTTCTGGATGTCACTATGGCCGGATTTAACTGTCCGAGCACGTGCGGTTAACTCGCACAAAGCCCATCACAGTCAAGGGCACCCCGAATCCCGACCAGTGAGAGCTCAAACTCAAGTCCACCACTGGCCTAGCATGCGGCTACCCGATTGCCTTGGCCCAGATCTGCTCCCCGAAGGTATTCTGGTAAGGAGAATACCGGTCTAATGCACATTTTCGAGAGATCTGCAAACTCGTTATTCCGCATCGAAAACTAGCTGGGTAGGCAAGCGCTACGAGCGGTATTAAGTTGCACGCAGCCACTTACGGGGTCCCGCGTGCTTCGTTTGTTGATATTTAGTTCTTCGATCCTGCTGCAGAGACGATTTTCCTTTTTTTTTGTTCCATATCAGATTCAGCCAGCGAAGAATACATCAAAGTTACCAAGTTGGAACAAACTATCTTGTCGTATCAGAGCATCTGTCATGGCGAACATGCTACCCAGAGACGAGAGATATCGATCCCCACTGTCAGGCGGACCATATGGCGTGAGTCCTCGCAGCATGCCCTCTCGAGACTTCGATGTTGCTCTCCAACAAGCTCAATATGGAGTTCAAGCACCTGATTACCTTAACTATGCACCCGGCCCGCATACGCCTCCATCGATGCCAATGAACTATCCTCCGCAGCAGCGGTACGACGAGATGGCGCTTTATAATAACGACAACTCGAATACGACGCAAGAGCTCATGCGGAGAACCAACCTGGCAGTTTCATTGGCAAATCACAATGTGAATCCGCGGTCGAACGTGTCGATGGTGCATCCCATGATGTGCATGAATGGGAGATTTCCAGTAGATTTTCGGACACCGAAGACGCTTGAGGAGATTAAACTGTTGGAATGTAAGATGAACTAACTTGCGTTCAGTTTTCAATTTGCCAGTCTTGTTAAATGGGATTCTGACATGACATGATGATTTTAGCCACGCAAATCGATCGTATCCTTCAGGAGTACAAGATTCCACATGATACGCGCTCTTTGCTCAATATACTTGCATCCTCGGGCGTTAGGGTGAATTCTGATAATGTGAGCTCGGGTCGATTAAGACAGGCGAAGCTGCAGCTTCTCTTCGAGCATTTGGGAGCGACGAGGGTGGTCGAGGAGGGAGGATTCAAGCGATCCAGATATTGATTTCGATTCAACTGTTGCGACTTGACATATTTCGAATGCGGGAGCTATCTTGCAGCCAACGTCACTTCAGGGAGTTTGTGTTCTTTGGCGATGGGGCTTCTGCTGGCGCGATGGATTACGGGTTCAGATGCTCGTTTCACTTTGACTTTGCTTCTCTGGGCTAAACTAATCTTGCATATTGCTGCTGTGGGTTGAGGCTGATGCCCTCTTTGCCGGCTCTTGATGGTCTCGCCTTTCCTGCTCGCGTTGTAGCCTTGCGATATCAGTAATCTTTTGTTTCAATCAATAATAGCATACATAGAATTTGTTAACGCTCTCTCCAATATTTTGCTTTATCAATACGGAGTACTCTAGAGTAAAATCTGCCATTCCAGGCCAGCGGCTCGCGTCCCTTTGTTTCTTTGTTGCTGTGAGAGATAATATTCAGTGGCTTCAAGCTCCTTCAACGCCACAATCTTCTAGCGGTTCGACCTTTGTCCTTTTGCGTGATTTACATTTTGTTATCCTGCAAAGGCAAAATAATCCGCATGCGAAAGATGATCGCCTTGGGATTTTGGAGCATCGTTGGGCTTGCTTGCTGTCAAAAGGCGTGTGTATATACTTGTTACTCGGCGTCAGGCGGCATGGCCTAGTGTAATAAGGCTGTGGGACCGGAACAATAAGCGTTGTTTTTGAACTGGGGAGTCAAACTGTATCTCCGCATTTCAGTCGCTTTTTGATTGATGCTGGGTTGGGGGGCAGAAATCGAGATCTCTTCTTTTCCTGCTGGGGCGAGGAACGAACGTCTATCTGTTCATCCTGGCGGCGTAAAGTTCTTCAGAGTGAGTAGCTAATAGACGATGAAGTTGACAAGCCCGAGGCTGACTTGTGTAGGGTGCGGCGCGTTCGTTGCAGAGATATCGCGTCTCTTTTTTACATTCTGTGTTCAGATCCATCTCACGAAGCTTTTCTTCTGGAGATCGGCTGTCATTTTCTCTCTTTTTGAGAAGATTTCATTTTCATCGAATTTGCTGGCGCCCGACAGCGCCGATAGTTGCGCATCATGGGCCAACCAATACTAGCCGGGCTGGACATGATACCCTACTGGTCGAAGATGACTGGATTTTTCGAGACGTCAAGGGTGAAGCCGGTCAACATCTTGATGCTTGTTGGACTCCTGGCCGTGATATGGGGCCGAAGATGGGCAGAGGTGGTGCGTTTTTTGTTCCCATCGCTTTCCCCCCAATTGCTAAAGAGAACCGGAATAGCAACGTGCGAAGAAAGCCCGGAAGATCCTTTTGGAGAGCGGCGCGAATTTCCCGGAAATAGAGCCTCTGGAGGAATTTGAGTGGGAGAAGACGGAGCCGTTGCAATTGAGGCCATATAAACCAAAGTATCATCTTACGATGGGTGAGAATCTACTTTTCACAATCCGGGAGATATTTGTGGCTAACATGGTAACTACTGTAGCTCTGGAGAATCTTGATCCGAGCGAACTTATCCCTATGGATAATACGTACAAGGAACGAATTGATCTCCGTCGGCGATTGCTCAAAGAGCATCGCGATGTCGTCTTGGGGGTCAACAAGGATAAATCAGGTGAAGAAGACCCTCGCACCCGTGCCGCAGTAAGCGAATTATATGAATTCGTCCTGGGAACATACCTGCCCACCAGATATCCAAAGATGTTCAAGCTCGTCGAGGCCAACTTCGAGACGGGGAAAACGATCCTTGTTCGAAACCAAGTTACGGGGGAGATGCTCCCGACGACGCTGAATCCTAATCGACCGACAATCACGGCACTGGAAACGCTAGCGAAGACGGTGGACGAGGAGATGTTGATTCTGCTTCCCGAAATCAAGGCTTCGAATCACTCCGAGAAGACGAGCGAGAAGCGCACGCGAGAGCGTTCGAAACCACGCTCGGATCCCTCCGCGCCGGATGGCGAAGGGAACAGATACGTTCTCGAAGCGTACACGACATGTTTCCCGTCTGGTTTTGACACTCGCACAAAGCTCGGCAAGCGGCTCGACGAGATCCACATACCGGTGCCGGGATACAAGCAAAAGTTGGAAAAGAGCATGGATCGGTTCTTTGACAAGTTGGAAGTAGGCAAGTTTGTGAAACGGGCAAACTGGACTCTGACCACGGATGCGGATCTGTTTGCGGCATTTGGGGGGATCCATGGGCAGCAGGGAGAGTGTATGAAACCGTTGGAAGAATTGGATTTGGATAATGTGAGTTTTCTTTTTTCTTCCTCCTATTTCTCTATCCAAAAACACGCCCCTGAACAGGTACATCAAGCTGACAGGACGGGAAATCTTCTAGACATTCCTGCGTTGCGAGAGGCAAACACTATATCGCCTGCCTACGTCTGGAGCATTGGTGTTTTCCTTTCATACATACCGCTATCCAATCCAACAGATCAAAGACGAAGGGTCCGCAGAGGACCTGGCGTTGGCGATTGATGGATTCGAGGCTGGAAATGTGCCTTTGATGGCGCGGTATAAGCGCGTCCCGGCATGGGGAGAGGCTGTCAAGGAGTATTTAAGGAGTTAGATATATGTGAATTAAGCTTGTTATGCTTCGTGTTCTCTTTGGACCTTTAATAATTGAGCCCCTTGATTGAGATATGGATTGTGATGGATTTTGAAAGGCATGTAATAACCTAGGAGGTTCTGTTGTAATATACCTCTACGCCTACCCTCCTAGAATCGTGTCTATGCTTTTATCTCAACTATTTACCCAAACGTCCTTCCATTGTGGCTTTTCTATCTCAATCTCTCCAGCACTTTGAGCAGATCTGCTGTAACACCCATTGCAGTTACCGGGCCACCAGCTCCTGATCCCTGAATAATCACAGGCCGCTCGCCGTATCTCTCCGTATAAAAGTTGATAATATTATCACTGCCCTTCAGCCCAGCAATCGAGCTTCCTTTATCAAATTTCTCAAGTCCAACTCTGACCTTCTTTCCAGCGACGTCGACACTTCCCACATAGCGCACGACTTTTCCCTCCGCTTCAGCGCTCTTCTTAATATCCTCCATCCTCTCGTCAAATTCACTTAGCCTGCGCATAAACTCAGCCGTGCCGGCGCTACCGGATTCCAAATTGGCGAGTTCAGCAGGAATCAAACTCTCAATGGGGAATGATTCGGGGCTTTCAACTTCCAACCCGGCAATACGTGCAAGGATGGTCAGTTTGCGCGCAACGTCCATGCCGTTTAGATCGTCTCGGGGGTCAGGCTCTGTGTAGCCGAGCTCCTTGGCCTGAGCGACGACTTGGCTCCATTTTTGGGGAGGAGCGGATGCAGATGCCGAGACAGGAGCAAAGGTGTTGAATAAGAAGGACAAAGTGCCCGAGAATACGCCCTCGATGCGGGTTACCTTGTCACCGGTTGCCACGAGGTCACGGAGGGTGGAAATTACGGGAAGGCCGGCACCGACGGTGCTCTCATGGTATACCAGCGCATTCCCCTTTGAGGCGGCGGAAAAAATATCTTTCCATAATTGTAGGGAGGAGGAGAAAGCCTTTTTGTTGGGTGTTACGATGCTGACGCCCTTGCCGAGGAAGAGCGGATAGGCGCTGGCGAGAGCGGGATCAGAGGTATTGTCGACCAGAACAGCGCGTCCAGGGGCCTGTGAGAGGTACGTCGCAATTTGCTCTGGAGTCCAGGCGCCGGATTTGACTAGAGAGGCGGAAGATTCGGCGGACTGCCAGTCTGCGGGAGAGATTGCGGGGCTGTACGCTGGAGTTGGCGAGGTGATTGTCTGGGAAGAACGGGCAAGGAGAACGAGAGACGGCGCATTGGGTAGGCGAGACAATTGGGAGAGAAAAGCAGCCCCAACGCCACCGACGCCTGGTAGTTGTTTGAACGAAATGTCAGCGAATGTCACCCCAGTAGCTAGCATAGTGAGGGCATTTGTAGCGAACCGATGACTCCCAAGTAGACTTTGTTCGACATGATGTTTAAGGTCAATTGAATAACAACTTGCAGTCCAGGTATCCTCAGAGGCCGCAACGATATCCCAGAGACACTGATAATCGAATATCAAAGCAACGAGGAGGAGCAGCGAATTGATATTGCGGCATCGGACGGCGGGGTGGGGTTTAGTCAGCAGCAGCTTGCATCATCTTTGAGAGACAGAGCTGCTGCTTGTTACATAGTTCGCCATCTTGCTGCAATCTTTATCAACAAACGAGCCAGCATGCCGGCGGACTCCTCTCTCTACGGGATACGTCGCTCAAAAGCAGAAGCATCCAAAAAGGATGTCACCTCGTCCACCACACTCGCCTTCGCCACTCACCTTTCCTCCCTCATCGCGAAGGAATCCGCCTCCGCAGCTTCGCAACAGCGCCGTGGCCGTCAGAGGCCCTCACGGAAGAAAGATGACATATTTTCGGTGCACAATAAAGGTGTCCTGAAGCGCGCAGCGGCGGACACATCAGCAGATAACCCAAATGTGAGCCAGGCCCACAAACAAAGCGGAGATATTGGATACGTGGACGAAGCGACCCTGCATCGGTCGAAGCGAAGAATGGCCGAGAAAGCGAAGCTATACGCAGAGCTAAAGAGGGGTGAATATCTCGCCGCAAGTAGCGATGAAGAAGAAGAAGATCCAGGGAAACCCGGGGACAAATCATTGTCCGCCGTACGCCGCGCGGAGAAGCACAGCTTGGTTGATTTTGACCGAAAATGGGCAGAAGAGGAGGTCGAAAGATCACGACGCAGCTCAGAACCCTCCGATCACAATCATCCCTCCGAGCAGGAACCGCTGGTCGAGTACGAAGACGAATTTGGACGGACTCGACAAGGAACGCGCGCAGAAGCCGCGAACGCCGCAAGACTTCGCCAGGCCCGTGATGCCGAATCCCCTGGACAAAATGACTACACATCTTCACTCAATCCGAACCTCCCCGCCACCGCCCGTCCCGCCCGCCCCTCCAATATCATCCGCGGATCGACTATCCAGTCCGCAGCTTTCGATCCTGATGCCCAGGTGGCAGCGCAAATGTCTCACCTCGCCCAGCGCCGCGATCGCACTCCCACGCCGCCCCCAGAGACCCATTACGACGCTGATGGCGAGATCCGTAATCGAGGACAGGGTTTCTATGTGTTTTCAAAAGATGAAGAGTCGAGGAAGGAGGAGATGGAGGAGTTGCGGCGAGCGAGGAACGAGACTGTGGCCGAGCGAGATGTGGCTTCGACTAGGAAGCAGGCAAGGCAGCAGGCCAAGGCCGATAGGCTAAAGAAGATTGAGGAATTGAGGGGAAAGCGGAGAGCGGAAGAGTTTATGAAGGGTTTGGGGAGCTTGGAGGGTTTGTAAAGCCCCAACAATAGGGCGTATGGAATGCTTTTCAGGCTACGTGTTTTGCGGGTTTGATCCATTACTGTTATTCATGATACCCAATAACCATGCGTAGAACAAGCAGGAGTTCATTTGGCGTTTCCTCACATTTGTTGGGTGGCATCAATGGGTGAGAGTTTGGAATTTAATTCACCAGAAAGCTGTAAAAGGATAACTATCCTATGCTGCAAATATCTATATAACTAGCGAAAGGCGCAAAACAGCGAGTCAACGCAATCATGACACCAAGTAATGTTTGGATAGAAAAGGATTGAAGTATCAAAAGTATATACATGGGTATCATCGACGTGGAATCCCAAAAATGAGAGTAAGTAAAAGGAGAGAAAAAGTATAGTTTAACGAGGTAGGGCTATAACTTGACGCGATAAACAGCGCAAGCTAATGGGAAAAGGCTGCTTTTCCCCAAGGCGGTGCTGGTCTTGAGAGATGCCAACTCTCACCAGTGACCATGTTACCTCCTTCCCGGGCTATCAGACCGGTAGTCAAGTGAGAATAGTTTCTCCCACGGGCGCACTTTGGACGGACGGGCGCTGGAGGGAGTGCGTGGCGACGGCAATGCACTACTAGCTGCCGACATATCATCATTTCGCACGGCGGCACCCAAAGGGCCGGATTCGGGATCGTTCGATTGACGACCCAAGTCCTATTTGTCCAATATCAAAATCAGTCTACACACAGCGAACAAAAAGGGAAAAAAGTGCGGCGCGCGGGGAGCTTCAAAATCACATTATGTTAAATTCGAGGGTCCAGATAACAGGTCTCTGCGAACCTCATCAAATATGGGTGCTTCTTCTCTGCGGGCCTGAGCACCCAGATCCCCTTCTGCAGGCACCACATTATTGTCGATAGACGACTCTCCACGAGGTAGTGTTGGAACCGGAACGCCCTTTTTCGAGGCGGAACTGTTTCGTCGACTATCTAGACTCCTAGCGAGCGTCCTTGTCGCACCGCCGCCGTTGGATGCCCGCTTCAGCCGGATGCTCCCTCTTACATCGACGTGAGCTGAGGCGACGGTACTCTTCCCCAGGCCTGGCGTGCTGGGAGCACGGGGTTTCTCTTCAGATGCATCAAGGAGATACCACCTGAGGCCATCGGATAGTTCGAATGGGTTGTCATCTTCGATAGATGCACCGTCACTCGCATCGACGGAACGCTTGTCTTGACTCATACCATTCATGGTCTTTGAGAGATCCACAACTCTCTCCTGGACTTTTGAAATACGTGCTAGAAGCCAATCGCGAGTATGCAATCGATGCACATCTTGCTCCCTGAGGAAGTAATGCGGTGCACCGACATTGAAAGCAGCCCATGACCGTATGGCCTGGTTGCGAGTTGGCAAAAAGAGAGCCAAGTCACCTTCTTTGAATGAGCGATAGGCTATTTTCTCATGGGCTTCATTCTGTGCACGGTGGTATTTCTCTCGGGAGGAACGTGCTTCCTTTTGCCACTTTCGGGCCACTGTCTCAATGTCCTTGACTCGTTTCACAACTGCTTCGGCGAAAATTTCCAGGTCGTACTTTTTGATTGTTGCCATGAACGAATCATATTTTGATGCCTCCTCTTCTTTGCTTTCGGCCTGAGCCCACAGCAAAAGTTCAGGATTCTCAATCGAAGGAAGAGGCCCTGAGTCTGGCGCGTTATCGGAAAGAACCAAGCTGCTGGCTACTTTGGATGTTCGTTGAATCGACATCTCATCGTCTTGCAGAACGACGGTAAAACCCAGTTGCTGGAGCATCCTTGCCATCAACTCAATTTGACCATAGAGTGCCTTTGATATCTCACTGGCTCGTTCGCTTTTAGCTGAAAGATACAGCTTCGAAGCCTTTTCTGATTCTTCAAGTTTCTCAATATTGCTTTCCAACTCCAAACGTTCGTTTTCTAAAGTATGGATCTGGGCTTCAACAGCAGCAAGCTTCTTATTTGCTGCAAGGGCCTTCTTCTCTTCTTCAGCAATTCGATCTTTCAAAACCTCCGTACCAGTCTCTCCGGCGGAGAGGTTGGATTCCACGGTTCTCAATCGGCTGCGCTCTTCTTCTAGTTCAGATTGAACCCTTTGGTGGTTATGTCTCTCTTGAGCTAGCATTTTCAGAACATGTTTCTTGTCCGATTCCTCAGAGTCAAGTTTCTGTTTCAAAGCTTCGATTTCGGATCCCATCTGGGATACCTTTTCAGACAATGTTTGATTCTCTTCACCGAGCTCGGTTGCCTTTTTATCCGAGCTTTTGGCATGTATGGCCAATCCTTCCGAAAGGATCTCAATTGCTTTGACAAGCTGGGAGAAATCTGTTGGGGGAGTCCCAGTGGGCGAAAGTTGAAGATGTGCAGCCTGCAATAAGTTAATATGATCTTTCTGAAATCTCTCCAGGCTTTCAACGCGTTCTGATAACTCTTTTTTCTTAGCATTAAGCCCGGATAACTCCGACTGATGGTGCTGAATTTGTTCACGAAAACCTTTCGCTTCTGCAGCGGCTCGCTGAGCTTCGTCGAGCTCGAGTTGGAGCTGCTCCACCTTCTCCTCGATTTCGTGTTTCTCTTGATCTCGACCATCCATTGCTCTGTCAAGCTCTTCTTCCACTTCTTCCAGCTTAATCTTCAGGTTATTTGCCTCCGATACTAAGAATTTGCGCTCACTCTCGAATTCGCGTTGCTTGGCTTCAAGGTTGTGCATCAAGTCATTTTTGGTGGACTGTACTTCTTCAATTTTATCGATGGTCGACTGACGTTCTGCGTGGGCCTCACGTTGAAGCTTCGCTACCGTCTCCTTCTCTGTAGCCAGCTCAGCTTCTAAAGCTACAATTCTTTGGACAAGCGATTTGTCTTCCGGGGGGTTATTTGATGACATTCGCCGTGAAGATATGGATGATCTTCTTGACATTGGATCTGGACGTGGTGACGCCGGCGACATGGGCACGTCTGGTCCAAAATGTCCGCTGGCAGGTCGACTCATTTGGCTCGAGCGATGAAGGAGGTCTTCTAGTCTCCGAACACGGCTTTCGGACCCTTTCAGCCTTTCTTCCAGTTTTGTTTTATCTTCTTTCAAGCTACGAACCATTTCGTCCCCGCGCAGTAGCAAGGAGCTGCGGCCCATATCAAACACACTCCCATGCTTAAAGGCCTTTGCTCTCCGCCTTTGCTGTTTGGTAGGCGCATCCAGGTCTTTATAAAGTTGCGTTATTTCTTGAACTGCAAGCTCCATTCCCTCCTTTGTTTTCATCTCTTGCAGATATGTCTCGACGTCGGCTCTAGAAACTTGTGGCCACTCGATTCCTTTGCCAGCTTGCAAATTGACTTCTAACGCAGGCGTGCTGTCTTCGGTGACAGTGAGGTAATCTCCCATATTCCTGATCCATTTTTTCCTTCGACGTTGTTCTTCATCGCGAAAAACGGCTAGTTCCTCGGCCAGCGCCGCTGAATCTGTCGTCATCTTATCGCTCCATTCACGGCGTCGAACAGCTTCAACCATAATTGAACCGTAAACCACGGGGATATGAAAGACCGTACAGAGGGTCTCGAAAGAATCACCCTCAACATCGAGCTTTGCGATCTCAGCCTGTACGGCGGCAAGTCTAGATTCTATTGTGGATATCCTCTGCATATGCTGCACAAATAACTTCATAGCGGAGTTCCGATCGCTGACGGCCTGCACTAAACCATTTTGCATTTCCAGGGAGATTTCCACCATGGATGGTAGGAGGTCTTCGGTATGGTTAAGTGCCATTCTAGAAACGCTCGAAAGTGTTTTGGAAGTGTTTGGGAGGCTGAGAATATGTTCATAGTCAGAACTAATCTTCTTCGCGATAGTTTCAATTTCCTCCAAGAGCGCACCGGTATTCTCCATGGGCGGCGGTTGGGCTTCTTGAATCAGGACCTCAGTCTGTTTAACCACGTCTCCAACGGCCCTTTCAATTTCACCCATGCGACGCGAAAACTTGGTGGAAAGCGAAGAAACCTGGGATGCAGCTTGTTTTGTTTGCTCCGCATCAACGTAATCCTGCAATGTCCCGGAAAAGCCATCCTTCGCGTCTTTTGGCGTTGTTGGCCGTCGAAGAAAGGGGAATTGTTTCTTCGCAGGAATCGTTTCGAGGTGCTGAAGGCTGCGTTGCCAGCCACCGAGAGCCTGTTGTTGTTCCTTGAGGAGATCATTTGCCCAAATCTGAGCTTCATGGAGCTTCTGTTCGAGGTTACCAACATGCGACTTCAGGTTCTCTAACGCGACACCAACGCTCCGATGGACAACATCAGTTCGCTCAGTATTGTGGTGGGTAGTTTTGGCAATTTGGGCGCATCTTGTGGTGAGATCCAAAGCCCATGTCCTTCGTGCCATGTAGAGGTTCTTCCATGCCTGTAAACTGTTCTGATTCGCAAGAGTATCGGGTGGATTTTGGGGAGACCACGGCTCTGGGGACGGCAGGTCAGGGAGCCCACCAGTACCCTTTTCGCTAACAAATTGTCTATCATATACGAATATTTCATTCTACGATTGTCAGCCATCTACACCTGACAGCACCAAGTACACAGGATGGCAAAGGTATCCATACCTCCGTAGCAAGGCTCTGGAGCTTCACGTTTTTGCCGCGAGCAGTCATTAAGATCTGCCTTTGGGGCGGAATCGAGGTATTTCGAGATATCCATGCTCGTAGGGCGTCGGGACTGAGTGCATCAAGCGGTTAGGTAGTGTTCACAGCACAACGGGCGATGACGATGAGTGGTGGAAGCGGTCAGCGGGCTTGGGGGGTCGGGACTACTCACGAAGCAAATGACACCGGATCAGCGGACAACTGCTCCCCGGTGTGAGCAATGTAGATGTGCAATGACATTCTCCCTGCTGTCACAGCGATGCTCGACGGGGCATCTCACGGCCGACTGTTTTGAAAATCGCCCGGGGAGTTCCTGAAGCTCAGCGCTGGTTAACTAGTTAAATGGTTCTGGGCCTCCAAGGCAAGGTGGAGCTAGTCTGTTTCTGGGGCCCACGCGCAAGGACCCGGTGCTGCTTCGATGTCAGTTGATCCCACGGCAGCTTCTGTGGACTATTTGTCGAGGACAACTGTGTGCGTGCAAGCGAGGAATGGCGGTGCTGGCGTTCCCATGAGTTTTCACTTGACTTGCGGGCTTCGCCGGGTGCTTTTTGTTGGGATTCAAAGGAAACCGCTTCCATGGCTCCTGGTCAGTCGGATCCAGGCGGCTTTCAGTCACAGTTGACGCCAGACGAACGGGTCCTTGCAGCGCTTGCGGCCAGTGATCCCAGGGATGAGCTGTCTTTGAGGGAGAGAGAGCTTGAGATCTTGGAGCTTTACGATCGTGCTTACGAGCAGCAGCTGGAGGAGGCATTGTTGTTGCAAGGTGCAGTATCTTCCGGAGCTCCCTTTTTCATGGATCCGGATGGAAAAGCCCGCTGATTATCATGTCCATGCGCAGATCCCGTCGACGTGTCCTCGGATGATGCCAATGCTGAACTGGACAAGGCGGAGCGGGAGCTTCTGGAAGCTAGAGCTACCTACTCTATACGCAGAAAGGCAATTGAATCCGTTTTGATGGCGGAACCGAGTATCCAGTCCATCTACTCTACGCATCCCTCCCCCACTGAAAGGTGACTAGTCGGACATATTCATCGTCATAAAGGAGAGCTAATGTCAATAGGGCCTTGCTCCCACTTATCCATCGACGCGATATCTTATCCCTAGCATATGAAAACCTAGCAAGCATCAATAGCTCGTGTTCAGAAAGGCTCTCCAATGCAGAGGTCGACAATATCCAGACGGCTACCGAGAATCGTGACTTGGTCCAGTCGTTACTGGAACTCACTCGCGGTAAAGACGAGAAGCTACAGATTGAAGATCCGGACTTGAGGTCAGAACTTGAGACGCTAGAAAGAAAAACCAAAAAGGCCAAAGCAGATTATGTGACTATGAAGCGGATCATAAGTGCCTCAATAGTGGCAAGTGGGATTGACTGGGCCAGCGACGAGACACTCCTGAAATTGGTCGTTGATGACGAGTCAGACGAAATATGAACTCTGTCACTGTCAGTGTTCCCTGGTTAAACCGTCATTCCGGCGTCTTAGTACAATGGTTCAGATATCCTCGTTTGAAGGAACTCCACGGCGCTTTGCATCGAGACACATGCCTTCATTAGCCAGATTCAAGCTGAAGATAATGATCCCATATTGGAGTGCAGGTAGCCTACTTTTATTGTTATGTGACTGCATGAGTTGGTTCAGAATGCCGTTTCATCACCGCTTTCAATCCTTGCAGGCATTCGGCTCCCAGCAGCTGGGTCAATCCAACTCTTAGTCCTCTTTTCATTGTTCAAGCACATAGAACCACACATTCTCCCCTCCCTGCTGTGGGTCTCACACGGCATGCCTTTTTGAAAGCCAGCTTCGAAATCTTGCTCCATTTGTTGGTGAAATTTGGGACACTGTTATGAGTGCAGCATGTACTTTCCATTTATCATAGCGAAGTGCGGAAAAGCAGCACTTGATATAGCAGATCGACAGAATGTGCACAGCATGACTCTCGCAGTAAGAGCTGTTGCTAAACTTTTCAGACCTGTGAAGCGTGAGAAGGAGTGGCATTGACAAATTCTAGCTCTGTCAATCTCATACAATCACTGGTCTGTGGGAATCTATGGCCACTACCCTATGATTTGAGAGAGAGAGGACTATCTACTACCGCCATACCATTCACAGGTTTGACTCCAAAGCACTTGGTGGCAAGGAAAAATGGACATCCCACAAGTTTCTCAATGGGTGTGTACAATGACCGGGCACCTTCTCATCTTAAGAAATTATGTTCTGCTAATGATGAGCTGCCCTAGATGTCAGAGGCATCACAACAGCCCGAAGGATTATAGCATTTAAAGCTGAGTTTCTTAGAGTCAGCTGGTTCGCAGTGTGTAGTGGGAGGCCTGAGTTCAACAGAGTGGACGATGCTGGGCGATGGAGTAGAGACTTGGGATAGTGCTTGGACTTTTGATAAGTAGAAGATTTAGAGACGAAATAACAATGAGAGCGGTGTCGTCCACACCGGCCGCTCAGTCGGAGAGGTGAAAGAGCAATCAATCTCCAGTCGATCAGCCAGCTTCTGCAGAGTGCAACATGTGGTAGAAACAATGCAATCTCAGAATTTCAGAATACTCGGGACCGGGTTCGCCTTCACAGAAATCCAACCAGCAGTTTATTTGAGGGGGCCGCATCTCAGATATCATCGGGCTCACGGAGAACACGCAATCGACCTTGACTTGATATCCCTTCCATTAGCATGTGATTCATTTTATAGACTGCGTTGATATGCAGGCCGTGTTGCTCTGGAGTTGTAGGGAAATCGGCATAGCTATAGGTATAGCCAGTGATGGAGATTGCCTCATTCGAAGTCTCTTGTCATAAACTCGGAAACGAGGATATTGGCAGATATGCGTCTAGGGGGATCTCCAGAAACCGGCACTAAGGAAGTGAGGATCTCTCGACCAAAAGAGGCAGCGGTTGGGCCTTGTACTATATAGAACCCGAAGTCCGAAAGAGAACCGCGTATAATTACGTATTCTGTCCAGCGTGGCCCCTTTAGAGCCGGCCTGTGCACGTCTTCACCAGTTATTGGGTGCTTGTCTGCAAGGTTGGATTCTCCCGGGTGCAATGTTGCGTCTGGAAATTGGAACAGACTGTGCCACAATCTTTCGGCGCTGGAGATCCAGGTCATCCGCTGATGATTGTCGGATTTTCCATGCTTCGTCGCGGGGAAGGATGGGGTTTATATAGTCTAGAAAGGGGCGATGTTGCGCCAAACCCGATCAGGATAGCACTAACCCATGTAGTCAAGGCCATTGCCCGTGATAAGGAATGCCTCTGCAGTTAGCTGAGACAGGCCGTAGCAGACGCTGTAGCAAGGATGGGCAGGTCTTTTGTGCGTCGGCGTTTTGCCAGAGGGACTCGAAACCATACCATACGGAGCACAGCGCACACGATAACTACTAGGTTACGGGCAATGGCTCACAGCGAAAGGGAGGTTTGTATGGAAACCGGAAACGAAGGGTAAACTAATCTTATTCATGACCATCCCCATACGAAAAAGCTCCATCGCAAGACAACGGCAGATCACGCAGCTCGCTTGATACGGCACGTCGCTGGTTGATCGTTTCTTTCTTTACAGAGGTCTCGGGCCGTGGAAAAGGCTGCCCAGATCCCAGTGGTTTAGTTATATTTGGAAGCGGAACGCACATGCGCACACACACACACACACACATCCTTCCTGCTGATAACAAACCGCTCTGGACTCGCTTCGCCCAAACCGCCCTTTTTCGCCCGTCTGTCACAGGAGGAAACCACAATACGAAAGAGCCTTGCTTTCCCACCAGTAAATTACACACACACCCGTCGTTACAGGCCGGCAGCAGGTGCAATATCAGGGTGTATCCAAAAATATAAATTACACCTCACTGAAAGCACCGACTCAATCTCTTTGCAATAGCAACGTCCAATGTCATTAACTGCTTCTGTCGCTGACATGGAAAGATCAAGTTGCCCGCATGCCAGTTATCCCCCGAATAAATCACAATGAAATCTCCATACGGAGCATAGGGGACGCAACTACGCAGTGCCTCTGCTGCTCTGTATGCTGGGGATGCAAAGTGCACGGAATCGACGATATCAACACGCACGGCAATACCAAGATCACAGAGGCGGGGAGTGTGGGTGGTGTGTAAAGAACAGTAAAATTTCCAGCGATCCATGTTTGATTCCGGTTCTGCCACTGCCCCCCTCCTGGACCAGCCTGGCTTGCGTCGCCCTGGCTTGTTCTGCGCTGCGACTCCCGTTCCCCCCCTTCGCCCTCGCTCTCTCACTCATTTTCCTCGCTCACCTTTCTCTCCCACCAAATTCCAACTGCCATACAAATTCCTTCACTGCGAATCCTCAATCCCCCTCCACCTAATAAATTCCCCCATACAATTTTCCAAAAAGTACTGTAAGTCGACCTCCCCTTTATTTTGCTTTTCTCTCACATTTTCAATTCCAACACCTTTCCTCTCCATTTGCAATCTCTCAATTGCCTCAACTCTCTTGCTCGCCGGCTTCATCCCCTTTGCCTCGTTTGTTTTCCTTTGCGCTCACTCTCTGTTTACTCTGATATTCCATTCCATCATGTCCCCATCGCATCTGTCGGCTGCTACACCGGTGCTATATGCATGGGCACCGTCGCCGCCGTCACCACTGTGAGAATCAAGTGTCGCGACCTTGATTCCGGGTGGTGGACGTCTCTTTTTTGCCCTTGCCACCTTTGCGGGCGTGTGTTTGGGGGTCAACGCGAACACCAGCTTGACCACCACCAAACCCCCCTTCCACCTCACACCCACAACAACGCACCCTTTTACGCGCGTTGTTCTGTTTTTGTGCTCTTCCGGCCTTTTCCTCCTGGAGCCATTTCAGTTCTCGATTTTTCACCCCTTTTTTGACGCGACTCCGCTGTCAATTGCTGAGGGCACTGGCTCGGAAGCTAGAGCTAACAACTCCCCAACGCAGTTGAGAACTAGCCGATATGCCCAAGGAGAAGACCACTAGACAGGCCGCCAAAGGTCGTCGCGACAAGAAGAAGAAGGGTATGGACACCAGCCCTTTGATCCTCGGGAAGCCATGGCCATTCTAACGCCAGTCATCTATTCCCAGACCCCAACGCGCCAAAGCGTGGTCTCTCCGCCTATATGTTCTTCGCCAACGAGCAGCGTGAGAATGTTCGCGAGGAAAACCCTGGCATTTCCTTCGGTATGACTCTTGGATCGGCCTGGTTGCGAAATATACCTAACACACTTGCTGTAGGCCAAGTCGGTAAACTCCTTGGAGAACGCTGGAAGGCACTGAGCGACAAGCAACGTGCTCCCTACGAAGAAAAGGCTGCCGCGGACAAGAAGCGCTATGAGGATGAGAAGGCTAGTTATAATGTAAGACGCACTGTGGCCTTCCGTCCCCTTTTCTATGCTAACCCCCATCACAGCAAGCTCCGGAGGAGGACGAAGAATCCGCCTTAGATATCGGAAGGATGAAGTTTGATCTAGGCTTGTGACGGCGTTTCTTGTCTTGCGCATCTGTGTCATTTCTTTCCTGCGTGTTTTCAAAGCTTATATGGGACGGTATTGACGATGGTTATATATGTTTTTGCTCTTCGTTTCCTCCGTGAACTTTCCACATGTTATCTATTTCATGTTTGCAGGTCAGTGGGAATGAAAGGTTTACCGGATTATCAATAGCTTCATTTGAGATCTGCCACGATTCGCAGCATAAGTCACGAGCGCCGGATCATGGACGCCGTCTAGCCTGTCAAGTGGTACGCTTTCGCCCGGGGGGTAGAGGGCAAGTTCACCGTCAGCGGTGAGGTCGAGGTTCGTTAATTGCAACCAGCACAGAAGCTGTCGTACGAACCAACCCATGTTGTACATGAGCGATATGCGGTCATTGCGGCCTCGATTCGTTGCTCCTCCCAATCTGTCTCCGTTTTCGAGATCCTGGACATGTATACGTGGGAAGGTGGTCAAACTTAAATAGCTGTTTTCAACGACACGCTGGCATCAGGACGAGAGATTGTCCTCTTCTGCCAAAACAGTGCATCTGCGGCCAATGGAGCAACGATGCAGGCCTGCCAGCTTATCTCAGCGCAGCAGTCTCTATCATTTGTCCACGTCAACTGCGAAGAACGGGGAATGTTGTTCTCTGCTCCCAGCTCGCGGCTCGCACATGTTTCCTGCTCCAGTGTTGGTCTGTCGTGGTGCTGTGAAATTGGGCGGAGAGTCCGGAATGTCGTGTGCTGCTCGCCATGTGGGACGCGGCGTGTGCATCAGCTCCCTGGGAGGGGGTGATGGGTGATGGCCTGGTCTTATATCCAAGGGCGTAGCAATAGTTAGCAAGACAGTCTTTCCCAACACTGAACGGCATCGACGAAAACATGGAGACCAGATGGAGAACCTTTTCAATTCCTTCACGATGACAAATCGGTCGCTTTTTTATTTTCTTTTTCGGCGATGAGCTGGCTAAAAATAAAGGCCCTTCTGGCGCTTAGCCGCTGTGCCCTCTGGGCCCATTGGCCGTCGCTACGACGAGGATCAGCCCAACTGAGCCGCATGGACAAGTCATCGTTGCATTTTCGCTCTGGAGAAACGAGCGAACTAATGCGAGACAGCCAACCGACCCGCATTGGCGTGCTTTGGGTGAGGAGTCTCTCGTCTCCCGCCCGTCTCTCTCTGTCTTTTTCTCTCTTTCTCTCACCGATTCTTTCGCACCCTCGTTCCCTGTTGAGCGGAGACGAATGCGGGTCATGGGTCTTTTCTGTCGTTCAGCTCTTCCGCTGCGATGACACTTTGGTGAAGGACTTGTTGCGATGCCCTCTCTGTTCCCGCAAGTCTGAGCACACGAAACCCTCCTGTCTGCACTGCGAACCCCCCCGCAGTTTGCTCGTTCATTTCATTCATTCTACCTCCCGGTTACCCTCTTCTTTTCGTCTATCATGCGTAAATAGGTCGAACCCGCCATCATGAGTCTGGTAGACCTTGCCAGGGCCACGGAGGGGATCGCGATGCCCCTCGCCCATTTCATCGACAAAGTGGCCACCCGCTCCGCCGACATCGCCAGCGTGGTCTCCGAGCTGTATGCCATCAGTTCCGCTCTCAGGACGCTGGACACGCTCAAACTCTCCCCGCTGTTCGACTTGATCGATGGCGACCTGGAGATGGTCGCGCGAGCCAGTCTGCGGCATACCATCGGGGATTTCATGGATTTGTTTCAGCGGATGAACGCCGCGGGACCCGTAGACTACGATCAGACGTGGGACTTTCTCTGGAATCTCTTCTATTTCCAGTCGGGCTATACGTTGCTGCTGCGACTACAATATTACAAGCAGATGTTGGAGGAGATGAAAGCCATTGTACAAAAGCGAGTTTTCTTTCTTGTCAATTGATTTTTAGTCTTTTTATCTATTGCAATTGTTCTTTTATTTTGGTTTCTGCGGGAATGCAGCCCTCTCTCCCCTTGGGTCACGAGTACTAACCGGTATGCCAACATGTAGTGAGAAATCAGATCAGGCGATGATGGCCACCATCCGGAAAGCCCTTGCTCCGCTTCGCGTCGCTCAGGACAAACGGTATGCGGAAACTATGGACAAACGGAAACGACAGCAACAACAGCAGCAGCAGCAGCACCAACAACAACAACAGCAGCAACAACATACTCACCCACTTTTTCCTCTCCACCCACACTTTCAACATCAACAGCAACCGCAACCGCAACCGCAACCGCAACAGCAGCACCAGCAGCCACCTCCGCCCCCTCCCCAACCTCCCAAACCACCATCTGCCAGCCGCCCTCGAACCCCTGACGCGAGAAGACATTCCCGACATGCACGAAAGGCCGCGGAGATGACCCAGCGCGGCTCATGGGAGCGCGAGAGGCCTTCGCCATCGGCACCACCGCCGATATCACCCTCATTTTCGGAGGGCAGCCCGATCTCCTCCCATCCCAGCCCGGTATCTGTCAACGCCGAAACTGCGAGCTCGCTATCGTCTTCGTCGTACAACTTCGTAAATGGAGTTAGGCATTGGTCTGTGAAACTATTTGGAATGCAAATGAAGTCGTCAACCCCGTTGACTATAACTGGAGACATGTAGGTATTTAGTTTTTGCTTTTTTCACTTTTGTGGCCGGACTTGAGCTGACTGATAGTTTCATAGCACCAAATGCTACGGTCACTCCATGCCGAATGCAAGGGAGCATCTGGATGCAGAATACGATGATTTGTTTCAGCTGTATGCCGCGAAGAAATCTCTCAACAAAAGATTTTCCGTCAAAATACTTACTTTTTAAACTAGTTCATTCCCCGGCAAACCACAGTTGTCGATGATTTTCTACATAAGAGACCGTGACCATAGAACTAGGGTCCTATGCAGAGTCCGGACTTCTAAGACCCGCACCGTTTATTCCACAACGCCTATTACGTCGCTACAAATATATCGTAACGGCTCCTGCCTTCAGCTTTGCAGAAAAGATCCTGAGGATGAGGACGATTTGATAATGTGGGCAAATCTTCAGTTTAGCTCCATAGAGAGTATGTTGCGCCTTTTAGTTTCTGTCCGATACTTGCGGGGGTTGGTTGCTAATCAGTGACCGCGCAGAGATGGTTCTTTTCTTTTGCACTTTCCTAGCGCTGCGTGGACAAGATTCAAGTCATCCGGTTACGAAAATCACGGACCATGAATTGCGCGGCGAGCTACAGCTCTTTGGCGGGTACGTACATCACCTAAAGCTCGAATTTCAGAGGAGCTTTTTGCATGACCTAACCCAAACCTCTGCAGCGATATCCAAGACGACAACTTCCTCCACACTCTTCAGATATTGAAGGACCATGAGTCGAAATCTGTGCGGCTTCAGGCGTCAGTGTCTGACGGCGAATTGGAACGGTATGTCCCGGAAGTAGCTTCGTTGCTTGCGTGAACATCTTTGGCTGATATCGCTTCTATCAGAGTGCCTATCTGGAGCGCGTTTATACACCCCTATTTTCGAAAAAAGGGGTGGATTCAAAAGGTTGGGCCGAAAGTAGTTTATATCTCAGAAATGCAGCGGATGACATTTATCGACTCGGAAGAGTATACTCCGCAAATATCCAGCCGTGGAGACCATGTCCTTACGTTTCTTTCAGAACGCGGTATGTCAAAAATTGTCCATTTTGGCATGTGGATTTTCCACTGACGGTTTTCTGCAGAGACGGATGGTTTCATGCGTGTCATCGAGGGCCTGATAAAACACTCTCGTCCACGTTAAGAGAGACGGCCCGCTGTTAATTGTCAAGTCTGACCACCTATCCGTGATTTATCTTTTGCTTCACTGCAATCCGAGCCCTATGACATGGTGCGCCATTCTGGTGAGCATCGCCGACCAGTTCCGGCGGCGATCCAGCCAGGCAATCTATCCACATGAACAAAAAGCTCGCAGTCTCAGCACATCATCGGTTTAAAGTCAATCAACCAGCCATGCACAATCTAGCTATCTACATACTCTAGGAAAATGGCATGTATTGCCCCCAAATCACATTAACCTTGCTTCGCAGATATATGTTCATAGTACCTAGCATGCCTTTGGTTTGATTTGCTATTCTATGTTTTGGAGTCCGTCATTTAGGTTGTTTTAGCGCTTGTTGCATTTTTGGGTCCTATGTCTTCATGTCTGACGCCGACGCCCCTTTTTCAAACTGCATATACCCCTTTCTCCTTTGAACCACAGTTGAGAAGAAACTCTCCACACAAAAGACAGAATATACGTCGTCGAATGGTTATTTTCCAACCCGCTGGGGCTGTTTAAATTATTGAATCAGGTTGTTGAAAATTTGCGTAAAAAGTCTAGTTGATTACCCCCTGCGTGTGCAGGCATGTTTTCTGATTTAACGCTTCTTGACTTTGACCGAAGATGGTCACGAATCTCTTTTTGAAACTTGAGCCGTGAAGTGGCTACTCTGCAGACATATGTGTATTGAAAATTCGAGGAGTACAAAATACACGGTTCTATATGCACTTCCTCCTCTCCCGACCATGTTCATATCGATACACCTTGCATTCCCCCAACATCAGCCCAAAACTTTTCAAAATCCACATCACGGCTCTCAAACAGCTTCTTCGTGTCAGCCATGGCTCTTTGCTGCCTCTCAGGCGTGAACCCGCCCGGCTGCGTGCTCTCAAACTGTATTATCTCTACCCAGCGGTAAAACAGATCTTCCTTCCCCATAGACGCAAGCTTCTCTTGAAACGCCACGATCCTATCTCGCTCCGAGGGCGAGAGCTCCACGGACGAATTGGCGCCCTGCCCCGACGACCCACGCACATCTTCCGGCCGCCAGATCAGCCAGCCTTTATTCCCACCACCGTGGACCACCACCGCCGTTTCAAAATCATCCAACCGTATCCTCCCCGCCTTCAGATCCCGATGCGCGCGCGTCATCGCCGCAAAATCCAGATCCCAATCTGCATCGATGAGCAAATACCCCGTCTTCCGAAGCCTCAGGGGCGTAATCGCCGGTATCACACGCTCCTTCATCGTCTCCTCGTCGTCGCGGATCCACGTTCGACCCAGCGCTTCGCTCCAGTCGCGACTCTTGCGCACGATGATTTCCGCGCGCTGGAACCCAATCTCCCATCGCCAGCGTGCCGGTCCAGACAGGAAGCGGACTGGCCAGGGTAGAAATAGCGTGATGAGGAGGTAGTCGAATAGGAACGTCACGGTTCGGCGGGCAAGGGTGGTGGAGATCAGGGCCCAGCTTGCGGTCTTGGGATCGATCCGGGCGGGGCTATCGTGGCCGAGGATGGCGGCGAGGATGTCGGGGTATGTGTGGATGCCGGTGTATATTCTGTAGAGGACGAGGGCGAGGATGAGGAGGTTGAGGATGAGGGGGAGGATGAAGATTTGGCGCTTTTCGGATTGGGGGTGGCGGTCGATGTGGATTAGGTAGACGCCGGTTGGGGAGAAGTCTGCGAGGAAATCGGATAGGGAAGAGGGAGCTTGGGTGAACGCGGCGGGGGATTCGGCGTCCGCTGGGATGGTGGTCGATAGCTTTTTGGGCGGTGCTCGTTTGGCGAGCTTCGCCATGGTTGTGGGAGGTGTTTGAGGCTTGCGCAGTAAGGTGCTTTTAGGGATCGTAGAGGTTTTCAGACACGCATTGTGGATGTCGGGAATATTTCAATCTCGAGTGAGTGTGTATGTCTTGTCAGCCTGCTTGGTGGCAGTTGGCGGAACTAGGCAGCGCACGCAATGCGGATGTTGTAAACAAGTGTGATAGCTTCACTGATAGCTGCAAATAGCTAATTTAGGCCAGACTGACTGCACTGCTGCAAGTGTCACCAGTTGATTGCTTTGGTGCTGTTCATCTTTGTTTATTTATAGCGAACGGCCTCACAAGCCCAAAATCTCCACGCTAAGCCCCTTTCGGACAATATCAGTTGTCGCGATGTTGAGCTTCAACACACAAGCCAAAGCTGATCTGCCACTGGACTTCCGGCGATTCAACAGGGCGTGAAAGGGTGTTTTGGAGTTTGTGCTATATTTGACAGACGCTTATGATGCTGCTATGAAACTGTTATAATCTCCCTGCGCCAGAGCGATGTCTAACCTCGACCGACATCAACGGGGGCTGAGCGACCGCAACGCAGAGAACAAGCCGTCTCCTCGCGCAAACCGATCTTCACACCTCAGAAACGACTCGTTTACTTCTCGAATACCTACTTTAACCCCCAAAAATGGCGAAAAATCCCGGATTCCCTTTACCAATACGCGAACACTTACGGGAGCGTTCAAGGCAACTGCCGGCCCTCCAGACGCGTCGGATAATTCTAAAAAGACCGCGCGGAGATATACAACAGAAGGGAAGGAAAGAAACCGCTCTGCGACTTCTCCTTCGCCTCGCATTCCCAGTCCGCAGGGTGAATCGCGGGACACAAACCGACGGAATCAGAGCACGGATGGTCTAGCAAGGCACGAGAACCAAACCGAATTCGATACCCTGCCACGACGAGAGTGGGTTGAACAGTTACAAAATTTTTCGCCGAGTCCAGGTGCTCGTCACCACGATATGAGGGCGCTAGATTACAGAGAGGATGCGTATGACTCCGGACTCAGTAACCTAGACGAGATCACGGATGAAGATTTGAGAAGAAGGTTAGAGCAGCGCGAGAAGGATGAAAAACGCCTGCAACGCGTACGAGGTGGAGATCAGCCAATATTCAGCAAGGCGAAAATAGGTTCCAGAGCGGCTTTATCCACTGAGAATCTACTGCGTCGAGACGAGGAGGTTCAGCACGAAGAGGCGCAGGAAGAGGCGATCGATGAAGGGAGGAATCCTCCACTGAATATTCCGAAGCCATGGGGAACGCGTGGTAGGGCCACAAATGACTGGCTAAATCGAACTAAGCGCGAAACGCAAAATGATTACATGGCTGATGTGGAAGAGCAGCAGCTGTCTCTTGACTGGGAGAATGACGCATTTGATTTTACAGCTCGATCTTTGCAAATATCTGATAGTCCGCCTGTTCGAAGCGCGTCGCAATATCAAAAAACTTATAACGCGGAGCCGTTGAACCAGCCTGCTTTCTCGGGGGCCGCGGAGCGTTCTCCCCCAAAGCAACAAGAACAGCAGACGCATCCTAGTGATATGGCAAAGGAGTCTCCCATCGTGGTGTACAGGAATAACAACTATGAAAGGCCGCGGGTGTTCAGCAAAGAAGACTCTCAGGATCTTCTACGAAGGCTCACGCGAAAGGAAAGCCCAAGTCTAGTCAATACACCGGAATCAAAAACCGGTACCAATCCGCCGCTCAACCCGAAAACACCAGTAGTCACAGGTGCCTGGGTTGATACCCCTTTACCAAAACAACCTGTTGGGCCTCCGGAAGAAAAGCCGAAGCCACCCATACCTCCGCAAGTGAAAGATTCCAAAACCCAAGCAGTTGAACCGGTAGAAGAAAGAAAAGAGCCTACCCCGAAAAAGGTGCAACCAAAACGAAACCCCCCAGTAATACTTGAGAAACCGGATTTACCAAAAAGCGCACTGGCTGCTGTGATCGAAAGCGTAAGAGCTGGGAACAACGAGTTTGCCCTCGGAGAGACTACCATTGAATCACTTCAAGACCTTCTAGAAGATACCTCGACGAGTATTTCCGATACGAAGTTCCCGAAAAAGACCGGAAACATTAGTACTAATACTCTAAAAGCAGTCAGGCCAGTGGATGAAGGTGAAGAGGCTTTAATCGACCGATTAAACTCGAAACTTCAATCCCTCGTTCAAAATATCAACGAGGCCAAAGCCGGCCTCGTCAGCCTGGAAGACAAGGCTATAAAGGAAGCCGCCCTTCTCGCCACCCGCAATCCCCAAGATTCCTCCAAGAAGAGGGCATCTCACACCCACAAAGACGGGGTATGCGAATCATGCGGTCTTTCCGGCGACGGCATGCGATACATCGCCGTTCCAATCCCCCGACTCTGGCGCCGTCACCCAGACACCAGACGACGCCAGCTGACTAGACTAGGCTGGTCCCTCATAGTCATATTTATATGGCAAGTCCTCGAAGCCCTCATCGAAACCTACCGCTACCACCCCTCCTTCGGCAACAAACCTCGCTACATGGCATCCCGCGACCCCGAGTGGCCCATCGCAATCCCACACAGCATATGGCGCTGGCTTCACCTCTCGGCGATATGGGTGCCCGTGCGCGACGCCCTGTTCGCCTGCGTGCGATATGTCGGGGTGTCGCTGGGCGTGTGGGATCCGTTTTACGACGATTGGATGTATGGCGACCAGTGGTACGGGGAGAATTGGATACAGCGGTATAATCATAATGTCTATCCGGAGTTTTTCCGGCGGCAGCCTGCGCCAGATGTCAGGTGGGATCCTGCTATGGTCGCGGAGGCAGATTTGAATCTGAGTATGGATGGGGACATCATCATGTAGTTAGCTGAAGAGAAGCTTCGCTTTGCAGATACTTGATTTTGGATTCTAGGTATATTGGATATGGACTATGGCGTACTCTATATTAGATTTATATCATAGCAATGGCGTGTGGCGAGCGAGCCAGCTTCCTCAAGGGCGGACACTGGAATGCAAAACTTGGGCATTTACCGAGTAAGGAGATCTTCTGTCAACTCATGAAAAAAATTGTAGCTAAGGTGTATTAACCGTGGTAAAAGGAAAAAGGAAATAAACACAACTCCCACATATATCAAAGTAGAAAAGGCTCACGATCCGAACATACCCTACACCTTGCTAAAACCCGTCCGAACCATGAGTGAGCCTCTGGTCTAGTCACCCGCGAGCGCCCTCAAACTCCCGTATCATTCTCCCATTATTCAACTCAATCTCACAGCTTCGCCTTCTCTTGACACTCTTTCCATTCCCGCACCAGGGCAGCCTCACCCTCCATCCTCCAATTCTTCCCCTCCAATATCCTCTTCTGCACTTCCTCCTCGCTCAAATCACCCAGTGTATCCAAATCCCGCTTCTCGACATGCTGCATCGTGTGATCGAAGAACGTCGCCTTTCCCGTCCTCTGCACCTCACCTTTAACCGCATTGGTACAGAACTGAGCCCAGGTCCGGAAGCACATTTTTGCGACCTTGGTGGTCGGCATGATGAGTGCAAAGCAGTGCGGTTTGGCTTCAAAACGCTCTAACACGACGGTGCCTCCCACACGGTGAATATTGCGCGCGAGGTACAAGCCCTCGTCCTCGAGAGATTCCTCCCCCATGTGCATGTAGATCGGTGGCATGTCTTTCCAAATGTCCTTGGGAGCGGCCACAGGCGAGATGAGAGGGTGCGTGAACATGTTGGCGTTGGCATAGAATTCAACGCGCGGCGGAGTAACGGGCCAGGTTGCATCAGCAGGGAACGGATATGGTGTATATAACGATCCGGGAGTTTGGGGAGGAGGAATTATGTAGTCGTATTTAGCGTTACGGAAGGTCGACGGGAGTGAGCGCGTGATGTCGCAATATGGGCTAGACAGAGCGAGTCCGGCAGGGAGTTCGATGAGAACATCTTTGCCATGGAAACGAATGGTGTGTTGAGGATGCAATCGGCGGAGAGTCAGGAGGGTTTGGATAAGCGCGAGAGAGAGACCTGCGCCGGCAGAGTCCCCTGCTATGACGATTTTGTGCGCAGGGACGGGGTCATGGAGAGCACCTTCAGGGGGCGAGAGGAGGGATAGGTATGCGATCAATGCATCCAACAACGCGGCAGGGAACGGGTTTTGAGGCGCCAATCGATACCGAACGGAGAAACAACGGCCACCCGTTAGTTTTGCCAGCTTGGTCGTCACGCCACGATGCGTACATGGATCCATCATGCTGGAAGAAGATCGCGTCCATCAGTACACCAGATTTCCAAAATCACGTTCAGGGAGTATTCACGTACTGGTAGGCACCACCATGGAAATAGAGAATCGTCAAGTCCTCGTCCACATCTTCCATCAACCTCTCATACTTTGCCGCCTCAGAAAGATCTGGCAGCGGGGTTTTGGCATGGGCGCCCTTCCGGTACCCGTTCCACTCTGCTTCCACGTTACACACCGCCGGCACGTCGTACGTCTCCGAGCCTTCCAGATAGTGCTCAATCGCCTCTAATAGCGACTGGCGCACGTTGTCTTCGGGCGGTTTTGGCATTGTCACGGCAGATGTCCACATGTACCCTTTCTTCCCGGGATCTCGCATACTCCTCTTTTGCACCTGCAGAGCCGAGGACCGAAAGTTCAAAAACGATCGAATAAACCCAACAGTGACTTCCAGCCGGAGATCCTGCTTGCCTCCTGCGGGAGAGAGGCGAAGGATATTCAGGGCGGCGGTTTTGAGCACGAGAGGGACGCGTTCGACGAGCTGCCGCACGAGGGCAAAGCTGATATTCCGCTCCATTTTGCCGTTTGACAAGTCCTCGTGTATCGAGGGGGTAAAAAGAATGTAGTTATCTCTCCAGGAAGCGTGCAGCCTGTCTCACGCCAGTGCTTAAGTAATGCTGGCGGAACAGAACGACGACGCCGCACGCCTTCCTCTTCAAGATGTCCGCATGTGCTCGCCTTCCGCATTTCGATTTCAAGCTTAACGGGACCCACTCACCGCAAGAATAAACGACGCTTATTGGCTGTATCTAAACCGGCTTACCCGAATAGGCTAAACTGGCTGCTTCCAAAGCCGAGGCACAGCATGCTAAACTCTAATTGTGCCCATTTTTATGCAATCCCGCGCGCTTAAAACTACATGCAAACAGTGCAAACCAGACGAATCGCCCTCAAAACATCGGTTGCGGACTGGCTTTGGGATAACTAGAGCGGAAGAGGGAGAACATGGGTTCTAGGGTGCCTGTGCCCAAGATATGATATGGAAGTGACCCTTGTAAAAAGCTTATGCGCGATGACAGCACATTCTGGGGCATTGTTTCTTTGTTATCACGGAGCCGAGTCGCCAATCTCTGCACTCTTGCTGCACGTCATTCGATTCAATCATCTCAGTACGGAGTATCTCGTTGCTGTTTGCTTCCACATACAATCAAATCCATCGTGGAGTTCGAAAAGGAATATTTACATGAAGCCGTATCCGTTCATTCAACAGCCATCTCTATTTCATATACATGACGGCCAAGGAGTGTTTTCAAGAGCGGAGATCCCCCATTCGCCGTATTCGCCAAAAATGCCAAAATCCAATTGCACTCCGCAGACTGCTGCCATAATACCCGGTTTATCCACGCTTTTCTCTCATAGAGTCGATATTGTTCATGACATCAGTGGTGCGATGGGCACCAAGAAGCCGTCGGTAGGTCTCCTCCTCGTCTTCCTTTAATCCATACCCCGACGGATCGCGGTCCATCAGAAATTTCTGAATCCTTGCATCCCGAGAATTCATCTGTTCCTTATTATTCTGCCTGCGGCTATCAAGAAACTTGCCACATTTACTATCCACATCCTTCACTCGATCCTGTACAAACGACGAGTATTTTCCGACCGTGATTGCCTGGCCGACACCACCGAAGAGCGCTAAGAGAAGCAGAAACGAGGCAAACGTACTATGGGAAACAGTCTGAGCTTGCTTTGGCCGCCCATCGCGCTTGTCATAATACTGCTGCCAGTCTTCCCAGGTTGCATTTCTGAAAATCTCGTCCCCGGGTTTCCTGGCTCCAGGATAGGCTTCTCGAACGGCTGATTGACGGAAATCCTGTTTGGCATGGATGCCGAAGAGTTCATGTCGATGGTGCCAGCCGTCTTTGTACTTGTCATACGCCGCGCGCTTGACTGGGTCGGAAAGGAGTTCGTGGGCTGCCACTATGATTCGATACCTGTGCATCCGCAGTGACTCGGGTAGATCTTTGCACAAAGGATGTCCATTGCATGGTCGATCGGGGTGATAAAGCTTGACGAGTTCGTAGAAACGCTGTTTGGAGTAGGGAGCGGACTGGTCTTGTTTAAATACCTCATAGGGAGAGAAGTTGGGAGACGTTGGCCAGGAAAAATCGTCTCCGGGTCCTATAGAATTCGTGTTCTGAACATGAGCGAAGCGCCTAGGGGACTCAAAGAGCCTGATGCGTCGTCGGGAGGAGGCTGTGGAGTGCGGCGAAACGGAGGATTGGGGGTTCAGCAGCTGGAAGCCGCCACAACAGGAACAGAGGAGAGATGGCTTCTTGAACATAGCTACATGCCTGAGTTCGATACCAATGGCGCAACCATTGATACCGATCAGTTTAAGAGAGCTGGACACCGTTGTGCATCCATCAAATTCGCAGCCAAAAGTCGAAAGCGCCCCTCTTTCCCGGGAAATGGATATATTAGTGAATGGTCGCCGATGATTCAGCCATGTGCTTATGTAAGACAAATGTGCGCTAATGTTTTCAAGCCCCAGGTCCGTAAGTAATATTACAGCCGTACACAGTCACGTGGCTATTTAGATACATCCACTGAACTGCAAGTATCACTTGTGTTGAGGAGAGAAGATTCCTCTCTGACAGGCGGCTGACTTGTGGCTTTCCCGCAAAAATGCCCAGATCTGATGATGATCCATCCCGCAGCCGGCGGCGCAGGTCGCCCTTTTATCCGCGTGAAAGTGAATCCCGTATAGGGAGAGAACGAACCAAACACGATGGCTCTACAAGGCGCCATGCGGACGAGCGTGATAGAAACCGAACAGAGCGGTCAGCCTCGAATTCGGATCGCGAAAAATACTCTAGCGACCGGAAGGACCGTAGATCTTACCGACACCGCAGTAGGTCGCGAAGCCCCTATGAGCATTCATCCCGCAGACATCGCAAAGCCTCTAGGGACCGCCAGCCTGTTAGCCGTGACTCCGACCGATCACCTCGAGCTCGACACTCACGGCGTCGGAAATCGCCCTCTCCTTCCCGAAGTGCTTCTCCTTCCTCTAGACGATCGAAAAGACCCCTCCCGTCCCAAAAAGATGCCTTCTCCAAGACCCCCGGAGAGCTCTCAGAGACGTCCACCCCAGCTGCGGACAAAGAAAAGCCGAATTTTGCAAACACGGGCCGTTTAGCTGCAGAAACAAACACAGTCACGGTCGGTGAAGGGAGCGTCGTTTTGAAGTATCATGAGCCGCCAGAGGCGCGAAAGCCCCCGCCGAAAGATGCGTGGAGGTTATATGTTTTCAAGGGAGATGATTTACTGGAGACACTTGAGCTGGGTGGACGCAGCTGCTGGCTTATTGGGAGAGAAAGAATGGTGGCGGATCTACCTATTGACCACCCAAGTTGCTCCAAGCAACATGCCGCTCTTCAATTCCGATATGTTGAAAAGCGGAACGAATTCGGCGATAAGAACGGGCGGGTCAGGCCGTACTTGATTGATTTGGAGAGCGCTAATGGGTCGACCGTGAACGGAGACACTGTCCCCCCAGGTCGATATATGGAACTTATGGACAAAGATGTTTTGAAGTTTGGACTCAGTACGAGGGAGTACGTGCTTATGCTTCCACCAACGGACTGAGCGGAATGGTGAAACTCGTCAATTATCAAATTCTGTCCGACGTCGACGCCATTCTTTGACATTGGAATGTGTGAAATTGCAGGATACATATGATACATCATGACTTCATTTCAAACTTAGGCGAGAGACAAAACAAAAGAGAAGAAAGTTCGAACATCAAATAACAGCGGGAAAATATGCAATCAAAAAAAAATGCTTTCAACTTTGAGCCAAAATCCTATCGAACGAGATTCTGAAGGGACCTATGCTTTCCCGGACAACTCCTCTGCCTCCTCTCGGGCCTGCTCTCCTAAATCAATGGTTTTCTCCTTTGCCTGCTGGGCGGTTTCTTTGCCCTTGGCAGCAGCCTTCTTCCCCTCATGTTCAGCCTTTGCGGCACCGTGGCCAAAAGTTTCCTTGATTTTATGACCAGCCTGCTCTATTTCCCCCGTCAAAGCCCAACGTTAGCACTTGAATCGATCGAGCCATCCCATCCCCCCGGCTATGGTTTCACAAGAAGTACATACCGCCTTTCTCTATTCCTTTCACAGCAGCATTGGATACTATCCTATCGGCCTTCTTGAGGGTATCTTTTGTGGCGTCGATAGGTCCCTTATCGGCTCGTTGGGGGGTAGTGGAGAAGAGTGCCGGCCTCGACGCTGCGTAGACGGCTGATCGTGCAGGAGCAATGGAGAGGCGGGTAACTGGAGCGGCGCGGCTGAGAAAAGACATGATGAATGGACAGATGGGTCTAATCAGTGCCACAGTTAGATCTATTACAGGCGACACTTGGGATCTGAACGCAATGGGGAGAGGCTCACACGTTTCTTGTTTGGGGAGTCAATTGAGCAGTCAAACGATGATTATCGACGGGTGCACTTGGATATTCGAGGTGAATTGAATTGAAAAGTACATCGAGGCAACTGATCTCGCGCCTTATATCACTTTCGCCATTCCCGGCTTTGCAGCGAATCCTGGCCAGCTCCATCATCCATCGACGTCATCGCTGCTTCCTGAGTCTTGGCGCGAACCTCTTGACTAAGATTGTAAGACACCGCCATATAAGATCTGTTTGAGACTGCAGTTGAGCCATTCTATACCCATTGCCCAAGTATCAATATCATTACGGGCTATCTTCAAAGCTGCTCGAGCCAGACTCCTGAAAACATAAACAAACATTATCGTCAACCTATAACTCCAATCTGAAACAACCATGACCTCATGCCTTTAGAGATTGTATATAACCTGACCGCATCTCCACTCATTCAAACCATTTCATCCTTTATGACATAATTTTTGGCGACTGCCGACTCAAACAAAAAAGCATCATATATAGATAATTTATGCTGATCACAAACCGGTATTCAAAACAGTTGACAGACTCCATATAATCTTGAGAAAAGGAACATCATACCCAATAATAGACGGGCTCTATTAGTTTCGTTGGAACTGGAGGCCAAAGCCCGTCAGGTCCTGCCGTGAAATAGGAGAACTCCCGCTCCTCTGTCTTTGCCAGTCTCCTTGAGGCATGTTATGGCCAGGCCCTCCGGGTGTTTGGTTGAGTAGCAATTCAAGCTGTGCATCGTCGCTCGCGGTCGGAATAAGATTCTGACTTGGATAAGGCGGTGGCATTCTTGCCCGCCTACGAGCGGCTTCTACATTCACAGGGTGCGTTTCGCCGAATTGAATATGTTGCGTGTTCGGTACGTGATTGAATTCGACGAGGCTCCTAGTCGTTCCATCGCCGGATCTTATCATTATTCCCGGGCCAGATTGGCCTCGCGACATACTAGGCGCTTCGAAAGATACTGGCGAAGTTGTGGCTGAATCAATGGCCGATTCTCCAGGTCCAAAAACAAGTTGTTGCGCGCGCCGTACATCCGGCATATGCGGTCTGTCGCCGGCAGGAAAAATAGGCCCGTTGAGATTCGGCGAGAAACTGGGTGGAAATCGAGTGGGTTCAGTCCGCAATGACTGTACTGATTGTGCGGATTGGTCACGAGACATAGGTTGTGATGAATAGCCCGTGGGTATATGTGCCATTGGGAAGTTTGCCCGGTGGATTGGAATCGACGACGCAATATGGGAAGGGGGCGCTGCCGTCCCTGAAAGATTGGACATGGTGGTGCGTTGCGGGCGGTACATGATAGCCACATCTGCTTGGTATGGAAGTGACGCGGGGTTTGGCCCAACGACTTGTTGATGGCCATATGGACTTCGACCGGCGTAGAAGTGACTACCAGAGTGATCCGTAGACCTTGGCGAATTACGAGAATGTGTGCTGGAACCGGCGGGCTGGGGATAAACAAGTTTCGGCGATTGCCTCAACGACGAACGCATGCCAGGATCGCTGTAGGTGGACTGGGACATCGTGTCCGGAGGCCCATCCTTAGGGAAAAGCGACCCGGGAACGCTGCCTCGGCGGATGTCCGAGCCGCCTTGCGGAATCTCTGGGCTGTATGAAATTGATGGAGGCTGCTGTTGACTCAAAGAGGGTGCAGACCGTCTCGCAATGGATTGTTCAGGCTGATTAGCCAGAACATGGGCGTAACTTGGACGGTTTTCTTTCTGATTTCCAGGCCGGCTAACTGGCTTGATTCCACCGCCGCGGATAGGAGGCGGGCTGGAACGATGTACAGCGGCCAATGCCGACTCGGCATCCGACTTTGCCCCGATCGACCTTATCAGCGGCCTTGCCGTGGCCGAACCTCTGGCCTCCGCATGGACTTCTGTGACCGAAACTGTCGGGTGCTGATGCCAAACCCCAAGATCTCTCTTGCCGGGCTTTTTCCGCAATCGACGCGGACCCCAGGAAAACAGACGTCGTGGCTTTTTCTCCACCTTTTGCCAATCATCTTCATCTACTTCCGCGACTGTAAGCCGCGGAATTTCGGTGTTTTGCGACAGGGCGGGAGACATGTGGGTAGTTTGGCTACCTTCATCGACCTCGTTTCGCATCTCTGCTTCTTCAGCAACAATAGGGATGTATAAATTTGGGTCCGTGGCCGAGGGCAGCAGCTGATGGGGGAAATAAGTGTCCACTGGCGACTCTGTTCTGACAGGTCCTGAGTCCTCTCCCCAGGCGGAGACGGATGATTGATCGTTAGGCGTCTCGGGCACTGAGGACATGCTGTTTGTTCGATCGAATATTGATTTCAGCTGTCGAAAAGATTCCTGTGATGACCCTGGAGACCGATTTTCGATTTCATTCTCAATATCCGACGTCAACTTTTGCAAGGTCTCGTGCAAATTTTGAAAGCTTATGGCAATCTTCGAGGGTTTAGCCGGAAAATAGCTCAGCAGCTGCTTTGCATGAGTCAAGTACTCTCGATAATCTCTCGCAGAACCTGAACCCCTGGTTGCACGCATCTGGACTCTAGCATAGTCGTAGGAATAACAAAACAGAGAGGCTGCGACGCCGAGCCACCAATAGTAATGTTGCAAGCTATGATCTTGTAGCTCACCGCGAAAGACTTCTTGGACAACGGTATGAACTTTGCAGATTTCTATGGTGTTCCTGGATCCCGTGGAAAAATTATCAGTATCACTCGCAACGGAATCATCAGGATCGGAAGACTTCTGGGATTGCCCTATGGTGCCGGAGTCGCCCATGTCGCTTAATGGATACACATATAGTGTCCTCTCAATTAGCCCGTACCTCATTAGGGTTGCAAAGGTATTATCGATGTGCCGTTGGTTGCTCCCTCCTCGGTCGATGGTTCGGATCTCGACGCTGTAGGCATTGAGGCCTTTTCTGCCAAACACTAGCATCCCCACGGGAACATTATGCCCAAAAAATGAAAGTATCTTGATCAAGTTGAGGGCCTCGAGATGCTGGTGTAGGTCCAAATCTTTCATTATATCCCGGAATGGTCCAGCCAGTTTTGCATCCGGGTGACTTGAGCCACAGCTGTATTTTTCCAAAGCCTTTCCAGTAGCCCTCAAACGATGGCCAATCGCGCGTATCGCGAGAGGTAAACATTGATAATGTGACACGACCTCAATAGCCTTCTTTTCTTGAGTAGACGACGGGTGTTTGATGCCCAGATCTTTGTATAGAAGTTTGCATGCGTCGAGGATGCCAAGTGGTTTCACTTCAAGCCCGTATGGCTCCAGGAGCCTTTGCTTCTTACTCAACGCACGATCAATAGAGGTGTAAATGATGGCAGTCTCTTGTGTGAACGGAAGAATGCGTTTGAACTCATCGATGTCGCTGCTGCTTTCGAAGGAGATACCGTCAAAGATAAGAAGCCAGTTTTGCCTTGACTCCAGCCACTTTCGAGCACTCTCCACGTAGATCCCTGTGCTCCTCCAGTTGGGATCCTGGCTTTCCTTTTCTCCTGCTAGCCCGTCTGCTATTTGTGCAATTTGCCAGATACCATTGTAGCATGATTCTTTTGTTCTGCAGTCAATCCAAAAAATGCCGCCTGAGTATAAGGATTGATAGGTGTACATGTATTGCCGTGCGAGATGTGACTTTCCAGCTCCGGGACCTGCATATAAGAGTACAGCGGCGGTACCAATTACTCTCTTTTTTGCTTTGTAAAGGCGGTTGTGCAGCTGGTTTAGCTCCTTTTCCATTCCAAAAAAGTGAGAATTTGGATGGAAACCAGGAGGCACCACTTTGATAAATTGATCCTTCTCCGGGTCCTGAGACCGGGGAATCTCCCCTGCTTCCGAAGGGGGCGGGAAAAGAGTGGTTACGGAATTGGCTTTTTATACGATAAGTTAGCATTGGTTCCGTTTCGGTAACTATTGAGGAGATTGTAGTGGGAGGTTACCTAGGGAATCAACTTTTTCGGGCTGGAGCGAAGTGAGACTTCCTCCAAATGAATCATTTAAACCTAAGAAAAAGATTGAAAATCAGTAACGAGTAGTGGACAATCGACAAGTGCATATCGTACCGTAGAGCCTCCTCGCCTCATCCTGCTTTTCAAAGGCTCGTTGCCTGTGTTCTTGCGCCCATCGTGAAGGAATAGTTTTCGGGGCTTCCGTCGCATAGCGATAAATGGCCTCAGCAACAGCCTCGTAGCCGGGCGAGTTCTCATCTTCAAATCGGCACATGGCGCCATGGTCCGCTTCAATTCCCATGCGTTCCACGCCGTCTATGAGCGGAGCTGCAGAAGCTTCATCCACGATAAAAACACGAGTTGCTTTTAGGTCCATAGGCTTCGATTCGTGGAAGAAGTAGACGCGAAACCTATCCATAATTTGGACGAAATCGCGATTTATAACTTGCAGGTTTTCATTGTCTGTTTTGAGGCTGTTGAGTAGCTGAGGAGAGGAATCAAATATTTTCTTGGGCAACACGGCGCTGCATATTGACTGGAGCAGGCTGCCGAACTTTGCAACGTCCGAGCCTTCATGCGGGGTTCCCAAAAATAAAATGCCGAACGTTGATACATATATGGATCGTAGATGCTGAGTATATTCGTGCCTTACCCGCGAGCAATAGGAGAGACACTTTTTGACTATCAGGCCACCGAGGGAATGACATATAAAGATAATGGGTCGTTCAACAGCCCCATTCAACTGAAGCAGCATGTTAGAAATGGGACGGAACGATCCTTTTCGGCCAGGAATTTGCACTCACATGCCTATTAGCAAACAGATGGGCGGCCAGGTGCTCGGCAAAGTTGTGCATTCTATCTCGAGATACGCCACCCGTAAAGGAAGATACATTAGCGTCATAGCCGAATGTCAAGATGCGGAGCTCTTCTTTTGCAAGTGTTCGAGGGAGGAGGTCTGCAGGCCAGAAGACGTCTGATTTTTTCGTTGCCCATGTCTCGTATGGCGACCCGTTTAGTCCATGGACTAATACAACACTGAGCAGGGTCAAAGAGAATCTATTAGCTCAGGCCCTCAAGATATACGGTGGTAGAGCGGGATAGTGCCGGTACTTACTCGACGGCAGGATTTTGGGAGGTATAAACTTCTGACAAGCCGAAGTTCCTGATAAGCCGGACTCGATCTCTGTGACTGGAGCCCGTCATTTTGTGATAAGTATTGATTGGAGTATGTTTTCGAGCACCGCCGGGAAGAGCGGGCGGATGGTGGATTTATATACGGCTATCAGATGGACGAAGCATCCCAGCCCTGTTGACGAGCGGATGGAAGGTAGAGGGTAGGACAGATTCGAAGCAAGATGCCCCTTGCAGCTGCCTGACTACTGGCGGAAACGTCTTGTGAGCAAAGGGAGTGCTTCGAGCCAGGCAGTTGGCCGTGAATCATCATGGAGCTTACCTGCACGGCGGTGGGAGGTCAGGTGCTTGGATGCAACAAGCGGAGAAGTCACGCTCGTCGAAGGGCATCGAGGACTTCGCCCACCCAAGGCGGCGCTTCGAGAGCGAGCAACGAGGACTGGCTATCCGCCTGTTGTCCTCTTCTTGCTGGGCCTGGCTCCAGGGGGAACTTTCGCACCATTCAACCGGGCTTTCGCTCCACCGATCTCTCCTCCGCATCTATTTCGAGTAGGCCTGTGGGAAAGGTCAATGCAGTGGTGAGCCGCAAACTGACTGGGCCAGGGAGAAATGCATTCTCCTGCAGGCTTGAACGAATGAGTTACCTCTTCAGGAGCCGCATAGCCTTGCCCGGTCCAACCGTGGACGAGGCACTGGTACGAGCGCTAGGTTGGATTGTGGAGGCCGATGTGCAGCCGGGACGAGTGTTGCTATCTTTACCCGCGAGCCCAAACTGCCTTGAAGCGCCACATTGACGACGCCCTTGCTGGGAACTTCCCTCAGGCCCATTCATCAGCAGCTTCTCTAAGGAAGTCCGCCTCCTTCTTCTCGTCCAGCCAGTGTGGTCGTCGGCCCCCGACTACTCGAAGAGGCGCAGAACCCCGGTCCTTGGATCCCTCCCGGCCCCGGACCCAGCCTGATGCAGTGGTGCCCTCTGATGGGCTGAATCCTAATCTTGGCCGCTTGGTTTTCTGATTCGGGGTCGACATTTGGCCACTCAGATCTATGAGACAGCCGGAAACACATGCATACATATTTTATGCAACGCAGGCTACATGCAGTTTGAACAGAAGAAGGTACTGGTCAAACTATGGCATTGCAGGGCCTCTGCAGAGATGGGGCCTTTGCAAGTGAAGACATCTACTGGACCCTCCAACCGCCAACAATGACGAGCTGCATGATATGTGGTTTGAAGCATTGCCGCTTCTCTCGCATATTGCATACACCAGACAAACCTCAGCATCTGACTCTCAAGAACAGGAGTCAAACGCTCCTACAGGCACCACCTGCAGAGAGAGGCGCCATTTGGAATAGAATCAGAGCCAGTGACCACTGAGCAAACATTGCTTTGTAACAGTCAGCAGTTCTGTCCAGGCCCAGATGGGCTACAAGTGGTGCATCTTAGCAAACTTCAATGTACGGTTGCAGCTTGTGAATTCAGAGAATCAATCGTTCCTCCTCCCTTCACAGCCTTCTACAGGCGCGGTGCTTCCTCATTCTGACTCTGACCTATGAATCATCTGGCGATCTCAGTGTCAGAACCCCCAAGCCTCCTGCAAATGCTGCAGCCTGTTTGTTCATTGCCACTGTCTCCTCCAGTGATGTTTTTCCGCTCTCAGATAAATGATTGCTGCTAATATTACATCATCCCTTTTCTAGCCTTTCGCGCCGCCACTGGCAATACAGTTCCTATGATGACATGGATGTCCGACTGCTGCTCCTTCCAAACACTCTTTTGAGTATGCCAGGCAGACTCCCAAAGGTATAGCCGCTCGAGGAAACCCAGGCGCCAGTTATGTGCAAAGTCAAAATCCAGTTCTGAACTTGCTGTCCAGTCACCTGCCCTTGAAGCACGGTTTCCTCTTCTCAGCAAACGCCTTCAAAGCCTCATATCGATCCTCGGTATCCACAACTCCTAGGTACGCCTCATTCTCCCCTTCCTGTCCCCTTTCATAACCCGTAACTGCCTTGACAGCTTGTTTGAGCGCAATTGGTCCTCCCTCACAGATATCCAACGCCAGTTTAATACTCTCCTGCAATACCTTCTCCCGAGGCACGCCCGCCTGAGCTTGCTCTTCCGGGTTGATCTCCACCAACCGATTGCACAGACCGAGAAAGTAGGCTTCCGGTCCGCTGACTCGTCGGCCTGTGAGGATCATGTCGAGAGCTCGGTTTTTGCCAATGAGACGGGGAAGGCGATGCGTGCCGCCTGCGCCAGGAATGATAGCGAGCCGAGTCTCTGGAAGGCCGACCGTACTCGTTGAGCCGAAGACACGGAGGTGTGTGGTCAGGGCGAGCTCAAGACCGCCGCCTAGAGCCATGGAGGAGATGGCAGAGATGGTGGGAATCTGGAGCTCCTCGAGGTTGGTAAAGGTCTCCCGGAGCTGAGCGAGGAATGCATCGGTCCTGTAAGAAAACAGCTTTAATTAGTACCATGTCCGCCTCACTCCATCCATCTGTGCCAACGGCAAGCTCCCCAAAACCAGCAACGCCCCCAAAAACGTCCCAGTAGTCCAGTTCTTCCAACAGCAGGACGGAAACAAAAACCAAAGCCATCGCCGCAATAGAGCCCACACTCACTCTTCTCTCGTAAACTTCGCCCTCTCCTTCAAATCCGCTCCCGCACAAAACGAGGCATCGACATTGCTCGCAAGAACCAACGCCCGAGTCGGCCCAACCCCCCTCTCCGCGCTGATGGACTTGATATGCGCCCCCAGGCTATTCAGCAGCTGTCGCGATATCGCGTTGCGAGCCTCCGGCCTGTTCAGCAGCAGCACCCTAATGTGCCCGGCGCCAGGCGCGGGGACCTGTTGGACGTTGATGACCGCCCCGTGGGCGCTGGTGCCGAGTGTGGCGTTGCCCCGGACTTGGCGGAGGAGGGCGAGTTGTTTGAGGGGACCGGAGGATATTAGGATTCTTGAAGGCATGATGGGCGATTAATTGGTGGCGGGGAGAATCATGGGAGGGATCAATGGAGGGAGTTTTATGGGAGAGATGTAAAAGGCGCCAGTTGTATACCTTGTGAAGGCCATCGGCACGGGAGTCCGATCGGTAGCAATTGACCGTGAGAACAAGAACGACGAACTAGTTAGTTACGGCTAAAAGCGGCATAGAGAAAAATGTTCTCCTGTTACCACGGCATAAAGAATCTACATATGTACAGAATTGAAATGGATATTAAATAGATATGGATTTCTTATACAAATAAAACCAGTAGGCCGGCTTAAAATAGCCCCTTATGGTTAGCAACATAGTCTCGTACTTCGTTGTCAGTGGGCCATGGCGAGAAGCAGTCTGAGCCTTCTATGACAGCTTGCGCTTCTCGGTAGAGTGCTTCGATGGGTGAGGGAGTCCATTCTGGCACTACATCCTCATCCGAATGCGGCCTCAAATCCGAATCTAAATACCCATTTTCGATTTCGGCTGATGCAGAGCACGCGGTAAATGACGGGTCCTTTTCAAAATAAACCCGCACAGCAACCACAGTCTGACGCAGCGATCTTTTCCCACCATTTATTTTCGCCATCGCTCGTTTCAGGTCGCTGGCGTTTCGAGTCATCCACTTGAGCAGGATCACCAGACTTTCAAAATCCGCCGCTAGACCAAGCACCCGAACGAACGCATGCAGGGTAAATGGACTAGGCACGGTGTACATACTTGGTAAGATCGGATAGTTTGGCGACCGAGAAACTACAACCTCTTCAGAAGCCGAAGGAAAAAGAGGTCCATCTTTTGCGAGAACCATCTGGTCGAATTTCCGTTTCACCAAGTCAGTACTCGTTGTGACTAATTCCGTGGCAGTTGAAGATGGGTGTCGAATCGGGTTCCCGAGGGTATGCTGGGACGGCGAAAACTCCATGCTGCGTCCTTTGTTTCGAATGGTAAGCAAGAACCTCGACAGGGCTTCGCACACGGATTGAAAACCAGTCGCGTCGAGGCTAATATTTCTCCGCTCCATCCAGATCACAACCTCCCGAACTTCTCTCCATGCTAGTATCTGTTGCATCAGCAACGGTGCATGACTATCGGCAGGGAGTCGGGTGTTGGCCAAACTTGCTAAAAGGTAGTTCCAAGCTGGCAGATATTCCGGCATTCTTAACCGCACTAAAGAAATGGCATGCGCCAAACTTTCGTCGACGGTTATTTCTCTTTGTGTATTGCTTGAGCCCTTATCCTCTTTGGGCTTTGGATATACGATAGGGAAAAGTCGGCTAAGTGAAAACTTTGGCTCACCCGAAAATGGCATAGAAGGGCCAGTGAACCTGCAGAGAAAGCGAATGAAACTAGCGAAGACATCGTCCGGGATGCAATCGAGATGTCGTCTCCGGCTGGGGACCTCGTGGCTGAAAGGAGATATCAAGGCGTCAATTTGTTGCTGTGACAACTCACAATGTGACAGGCACTCTAAGCCTAACTTGAAGGAAGTCAAATGACGGAACAGTAGCACTGACAATCTCCTCGAAAATTTGGTTTTCGTAGTTAACAGATGCTGAGCCAAGGCTTCGAGTGTTGGTGGCTCTGAACGCACATAGATCATATCACGAGGAGAAGAAGGCTCAGGGTATACCTCCTTTCCGTCTCCTGGCAGCACTTCGGTCGAACGCGGGATAGATGATTCCTTTAAATGGCTGTGATATATGACCTTTTCGGTGAGTTCGAGGTAGATATCGTTTGTGATACGAAAGCCCTGGTCCCGGCACGACAGAAAGCAAGCCCAAGCTTCTCGCATTGTTCTCGTAGCACGAATCCGAGCAGCCCAAATGTCACTGTATCCATCTTCAGGCCTAGAGCCCAGCGATAGTTCAATCGCGGCTTCTTTTGAATTTGACTTTAACCACGTTGTGTGTTGATCTCTCATTCGATAGATATTTGGTTTTGGGAGGAAGCTCCTGGTTTGAATGGTAGGAGTCCCATCTAGATCCCATCCGGCTAAGATAGTGGCTATTCGATCCCATCGCGTTGGCGAATAGCCAGCTTCTTTCATATGCGCAATAGCTCCCATAGCCTTGCTTTTGCTTCCCTCGACCCCCCTATCCACATCGATTCCCAATTTGTCTTCCTTCCATGGAGGCCACGACTTCGCCTTGAACTCTGCCCACTTCCGTTCTGCAGGTAGCTTTTGGCGGGCAGCTTGATTCCTGGTAACAGCATGATATCCTTCTCGAGTAACCGCAAGCGGTGGATAAAATCTCGTCATTTCCCTTAAAAGATGGAAAATCGAGCGCTGTTGCACGACTGTAGAGGCATACGGCTCCATTCGGCATGGTATTGCGAGAAGAGCCAAGAACTTATTGTAGTACTCGATTAAACGACGAGTTAGTTTATCGTTTATCGCTGCGCCAACAGCATCAACGCCAAACATAGTGGTAAACATTTGGGAGAGAGACAGAAGCGCCTCTGGTGAAATTCGACGCGCAAGTCGAACGAGGCGGACGAAAAGTATCATGACGGTCGTATCATCCCCGGCGTCTATCCATACCGGTTTCAACGGATGCATTGGTTGCTTATCTGGTAGGCTTTGAAGCATCGCTTTGCTTGGCGGGTTCTCTAGCAACATATTCCAAGACTGAACTAATAGCAGATCGAAAGCCTTCAAATTAATGCGTTCTCGGCGAAGGGTGAACATCAAAACGAACATAGGAGTACGCTTGCTAGAAGCTAATTTGTTCCTAGAGCTTGCTTGGTTCAATGCGTCCAGCCGCATTGCCGCAGTGACAGGCTGTGGAGACAGCAATATCCAAGCCCACGCCATCACGTCGCTAGGTGAGTATCCTCGCTGCGACAAATAATCCATCGTCTTGTTATCGAATACTCTTAAGAGCGCCATATCAAGCGGCCGAGTATCAGGCGATTTGTCATGTAGAGTCGAGGACTCTAATGACAGATGGGGATCAACATAACGGATATAATTGGCTACTATTGTAGCATATGACAGCCGAGCCTCGCGCTTTTGGCATGCCTGGCCGTGACGCGCGAAAGATTCTACGCGCCATTCCTTTTTGGCTGCCTGGCTGGGAGTAGCCCAAGATAAATCAGTTTGGTAAGACCTAGGTTTGGCGATATCGACATCTAGGCCCCTTTCTTGCAATGCAGCTATCAATGCTTCCGATGGCGTCTCCTTGAAGCGAAATTTCCTATCCCTTGCTCGGTCACCGTTGGCCAGGGATTGAACATCCTCCGTGTTACGAAAGCTGGTCGGGACAGGATTCTCAAGCTTGAGCGGCCGGTGAGAGACAAAGCGGATTCCGTGTGTGGCAAAACGGTAGCATCTGAGGATAGAGCGACCTCGCGGTACAATCGTTGTCTACAAAAACCATTAGACCCAGGGAGGCGCACCGGCGATAGAGAAAAGGTACCTGTTCATTCCCGCAGAGGAAAGCCCTTGGCTGCACCACAAGTGGACACGAAGTGGCTGCCGGGCGCCTCTGCACAAACCTAGCGAGCGCGGACATCCATTGAGCTAGAGGAACGGGGGGCTGCCGGCAGATCGAAGCTGTAGACCGCAGTGTCGAGCTTGCAGACTGTCGCGTTTGAAGTCTTGAAGACGGCCGTCCCTTTTTTCCCGCTTACTCAGCAGGGCATATCACGTGACTGATTAGCAAAGCCGAACGCCCAAAAAGAGTTTCTGGGGCCATTTTTACCCAGAAAAAAGCCCGCCGGAACTGCTGCCCTTGTCATCTTCCCATCGCAAGATTAATGTGCTCTGCTCTCCTGGACAGCCTGTGTGATCCGGTTGTGTCTTCTGCGTACGGCCTGCTCCCGGATGGTGTTGCTGTCTGTCTGCATGCGAAGGTTTGTCATCGCCTGTCCGATCGCTCCCCTTGCTCCAGTCTAGTTAACTCTGCGATCAGGAACTAGCTAGTTATTAGTGAACGACACACGCCCGGCAGCTGAAGGCACTCACCACGCTCCCAAGCAACCAAGCATTCATCGCAAAGATCGTGACTCCAACTCAACTATAGCAACCCATTAAACCCCAAATTCCGCGTCGCAGAGTTGAGTTTCTCTATGATTACATGCGATCCTGACCCGCCTTCAAGAGGAAACCAGTCCAGGGATCGCGTCCACCCATTGGACAAATCTCACATCAAAGCTCCCCGGGCGGTTTGCGGTCTCGAGCAGGATGGAGAAGAACAACCCGTCCCTTATGCCGGTTCCAAATGGAGACACGTCCCATACGGGCGCTGAACCTTCGTCATACCTCACACCATCAAAGCGAAAACACGACGCAACTGCCGGAGACGAATCTAATCTTACTCCCGTTGGAGAGGCCACGCCAGTCAACAGTGAACCGGCGGAAGACTCCGTTACTTCTTCGCTGAAAGATATCCTAGAAGTAATTTCAGAGTGCGTCGTGCCCATATCTGCATTCCGGTTGAAATCTTCGCTTTCTAACTTCCTCGTCTTAACGCCGCAGGTATGATTCCGAGCTCAAATTATTACAGTATCCCTTACCCTCAAAGTCGAAATCGGAGCGCGAGAACAAACGCGCGAAATTATCAGAACCTGATGCAGGATCAAACATTGAATCAAAAGTCACGGGCGGAGCATATAAATCATTAGAAGAATTCATCGACGACATTGAAACAGTAGCAGCATTAGTTTCCACGGACAATCCTCAAGCCACGGATCGGCCGGAACACCTGAAAAGCCTCAATGCCAACGAGCTCTCGGTTCGAGCCAGCTTGTTCAAAAAGCAGTTGAACAACCTACTTCTCAGAAGCAGACGTTTGCAGCCACTGCTTGTTAACTCCGAAGCTAGCCAAAGCCAGGAAGAGTCACTCCAGTCGTTAGTGCCTCCCCATGAAGACCGAGCAATCCTTACGGTCACATTTGGGAACCCACCCAGAACATACTTCTCAAGCTTCCAGCAAACAAACGGAGTGTCTTCGGTTGCTACGCCCGAAGTCACGGACAAGGAAAGGTCTACTCCCGTTGACGAATCTGTTCTACCTGGTGATATTAGGATTTCCAAGGTTATGCCATTCAACGCAACCCAGTTGCAAAAGGAAAGGGGCACGACAAGGACTTTCGGCGAGGTGTTCCAGCCTCCATCACATCTTCCCCAGTTAACACGTCCACAGAAGTTTAAACAGCAGGCAACTGACAATGTAGTGCGCTGGCTTCAACCTGTGGACATTTTAGCAGCATCCTCAACAACTCTCTCCGGCCAAAAGCTGTATAACAACAAGAAGTTATCCCCAGGGCATTGGTTAAACTACGGCCGCGATTCATCCCGAGGCAAACTGAGTTCAATAAATAATAGCGATGACAGTGGAGCCGCAGGCTCAGTGAAGGAGGATGAAGCAATCTTTCGATCTATTTATTCTTCGTTTGCTCCTGGCTATGACAGTGGAGGTGCTGTTCTACAGAACAATGTCCAAAACTTGGTATATTGGGACCGGAGGGGACAAAACAAATTTAACCAGTTATTCCCAGATTGGCATTTTGACGAGGCAGAACCAGTGCGACAACTTTTTGAGAAAACAACGCTCGAACCGGAGCCTCTCAATGATATTGATCTGCGGCTAGCAGTGGAATCCTTTGATCCAAACACAAACATTGAAGACCTCGAAAAGATTCAAAATGGCGATACCGAGACTTCAGGTGATGGGGATGTTGAACATATTCTTCAAGAGATCTCTGACCTCCTGAAAACTCTTCATTCCTACCGACGTTTACGGAATCTTTATCCGACGCCTGGGCAGCTTCCGAATACTAGCTCCAAGGCTTTTAGCCAACTCTCTGATACGCCTTCAGAGGAAGAGAAAGCTACATACGACACTCTGAAGCAAAGCTTGTCGTCAATGATCGCGCTGCTTCCGCCATATGCGCTTGCTAAACTAGATGGGGATCAGTTAGCAGATTTGAATATAAAAACGGCGATGAATCAAGGCTGTGTTGACTACGCCGGCACGATGGAGGAAGATGAATGGACGATGAGACAGAAACAAGCACCCAGAGTCACCCAATCCGCCACCCGCTCTCCGGCCCCAAGCACTCACCTTCCAAGGGCCCCGACTTACCAAACGCCACAACATCAGAATATCGCTCCTCACCAACGATACCAGCCTACCACACGTGCCAGGAATGCTTCGACAAGCTACACCCCTCAAAGCTATGGCACTCGGCAGCCAACACAGGCAATTCCGTATCAGCCAACACACCCCGCTCCTGCGTATGCCCCAACACCTCCAACCTCACAACGTTTTGTACAGCCACAGTATCAGCAATCACCACCAGCCTCAACACCTCAATATACTCGCTCTGGAATGCTCCAGCAGTTTCAAAGACCAAATCAAAATGGTCCGAATGCGTATACGGGTCCACGGGGACTTTCTCCGTCGCAGACGCAACAGCAGCAGCAATATCCCCGGCAGGTGCCGCAATCGAACTACCAACCGCGAGCAAATGCGCCATCCGCTCACAGGCCGCCTAATTATGCCCAGACCCCTCAGAGACAACCGTATGTAAACTCGCCGTCTGTTGGGACGCAACCCCGATACTTCCAACAACAAAATCAGCCATCCGCCCACTATCCCAACTTCCCTTCAAACCAAGCGAGCCCGATTCCGGCACCATATCCAAACAATGCAGCCGGGATGGCCTATCCACGGGGGGCTGCTGACCAGGGGCCACTTTTAGATCGCACCAGAACTCCGTTGCTGGAAGCTCAACGCCGAAGTGTTCCCCTTAACCAGCCTCAAATCGCCGCTCATCAAATATCTCCACACAATAGCCATGCAAACATCGCTAATACTCCTCCTCGGCAGCAGCTCACCCCAAAACCATGAATAAATCGACTACTGTTGCCCATGAGGAAGAAATATTTTCTGCCATATTAACCGTCCTGTTTGTCGGTAGTACTATTCCGCTAATACCGTTCTTCTTCCGTTTACCATTAACCTTCCACACGTCAACGCTTTCAAGCTGTTTACTTTGTGATTCTATGCGATTATCAACCAGCCGCCTAATATTGGTTCCTTCAGTTTCCGGCCGGGGGCTTTTTTTTTTACAAAAGAAAGAAAGGAGTCTAAAGGGATTTTTTTAGCTTCTCAAGGCGCAAGGTTGGAAAAGATCCCATTCCATGGTGTTTTGTGGCTGGGTATTACACATGCGTTGTTGCTCTGCAAACCTTGAAGATTTCCAAACTGGTTTGCTGCAGGTTTGTGATTTGGAGAAAAAAGGGGGGGGGCTTTCGTCTGATGCCATTTGGGAGAGGGGGTGGTTGCTATGTGAGACTATTTGATAGAGTGAACAATCAGATTTTGATCCTTTCCATGTGAACAAGTCAGCAGGTACATATCCATGACGTAGGCTACCACGATCATTACTGGAATACAAAGTATAGCATGGATAATGGGGGAATTATTACAAGACACATATACAAAGCATGCTCAATCATAGTGGAACAGACGTGGCCGAGATCTTCAACTTGTTCAAGAAAAGCACCAGCTCTTCAACAAACTGCATACATGCACCCATCATTTGGTTTCCATCCTTCTGTGGATCCTATCCTCCCCCTTCCACCTCTTCAGCATCGATCGAATAGTCATAAATCAGGTTCAGACAGCAATCATGGGATATCATAGAAGTCAAATAGACAAATAAGAGTAGGAAAAAAGAACCAGTTGTAGCAAAGACAAGGGAGAAAAAAAAAAAAAGAGCCGAAGAACTGTCCTTAATATCAAACAGAAACCATATCAAAGCCGCTACCGCTAGCATGAAACCTCATAAGGAGATGAAGAAATTCGTAAGAGAAAAAACGAGATACTTTTCCAAAATATAAAATCGACCCTTTTTTTTTCTTGGCTCCGTTTCAGGCTCCGAGGTTGGTCACGAAATGATGATCGCAGCGATGGACATGAATCCAAAGTATCTATCAACAGCCCAGCGCAGTCCAAGTTAGATCCCATAGGTTTGACTTTGATAGGCGAAAGGATGACATTAAAAAAAAAAATAATGAGGCAGATAACTTACAGCACCGCACACTTCCATCCATCCTGCGGCTCGATCAGATACTCATGTCCGCCCGGGCTATTCGACGCCCATAGCGCAATCATGCCGCCAATAATCGCGACGATGACGATTCGTCCGAAGAATTCGCTAATGGCGCCAAACGCGAGCAACGGGAATAATATAGCCGCGCATATAGCGGCGATGGTGGTATAGATTGGGTTTGCGTGGTGCATCGGGTGGTTTCCCGGGTTGGTGGTCGGCAGATGGGAGGGAGCGACGAGGACGAGGTCGGATTTGTGGTCGAGGATGCGTCGGTCGCCTTTGATGGGGCTGGGGGAGGTGGTGAGTGAGCTGCGATAGGATTCGATGTCGTCTTCGGAAGGTGAGGGGAGGGTTTGCACGACTTTGTTGAAGGAGCAGAGGGCTCGATCTTGAAAGGTGTGAGCAGGCACTCTATTGTAAAAGAGTCAAGGGTGGATTGCTTACTATATTGCTCGGTTTTCATGGCGATTTTTTCTAATAGATCGGTTCTCTTGTAGTGAAGAACCGAGTAATCCTGGATCTGAAGGTCATGGTACTTGGCAGCTAACATCTTCTGTCTGGGAGAATTTCGGGTATTGGGCGAGGCTTGATGCGCTGCTTCTAACTCGTCCAGCGTGCTAAGGTCTTCTTCAAGCTGAATGATCTCCTCCTGCATGTGTTTCAGGAGGCGGTGATTCAGAGCGTCGAACTTTCGATAGATTCGCGGACGCGATTCAGGAGTAGGATTCTCGGGTATAGGCGATTTAGGAGACGATGCCGACTGAGACTGGCGGCGGCTACACTTCGCCGCTTTGGAAATATCGATGCTTGGACGTTCCGGCTTGGTCTTTTTTGGCGAGGTCGATTTTGTTGGAGCATGTCTGCTGTAGTAGAATGATTCGGGCGTTGGGAGATCCATGAATGGATGAGCAGAGGTTCCTGGATTCTCAAGAATGGATTCCGTGTCCGTCGCGTAAGCTCCAGCCATCGGGCCCGGACGCTTTGGCTTCAAAGCCTTGGTTATGCCCCATCCCATGCTGTCGAGGGGGATATCTGGCGGAGTGGGTGGTTGATATTCGTCTCCTGATGCAGTAGACGAGGCGCGACCTGGGCTACAGTCTCTGACTGATACACCAGAGTCTGAACGAAAGCTGTAAGCCGCACTAGCTTTGCGCGAGTGATCCTGCAGGACTGGCCGCGAACTGGTTGTTTGCTCTATGTAATGCCGGTCAGCAGCCCTCTTTGCTTTCACACCAGCTTCGGATTCCTCCTTGTCTAGAAATTGAAAGACATCGGGAGCCCGTTCAGTCGATGCGGGTTCTGTGGACCTGGTGGTGGCTCTCCGGCGACCGGACGGAACCTCCTTGTCGCTCGCACCATAGGAGATACTCTGGCTCCGGGGGCGCGGCCTGCATTCCAAGGCTTCATCCAAAGGTCTACCGACGACGACATTGGCAACCGCAGCCACCGGGTTGGCAAAGGGGCTTGTGGACTTTTTAGATGCCCTCCGCTTGCTGGCCTTCACGTGGCTCATGATGGCTTGATCCAGGTGACCAAAGGGACTAACAAAGCTTCGCCAGGGTATGCTCAAGGCGCTGGTGTCTGCGTGATGCTGATCCCCAAGGCGTTCTGGGACAATTGGCTTTTGTCTTTGAATGTGGATGGTAGTTCTGGGAAGAAGTGGTATCAGAGGCTCCTGGATAGAATGGTGCTTCAAGAGATCAAGCACAGCGATGTCCACGGGAAACAATCCAACGGTTGGTTATTGAAACAGGCGAGAGAAAGTATTGTATATGCCAGGCCGCGAATGATGCAGGATGCCAGGTGGTCTGAGGGTGTCAAGGACGAGCCGTACGGGTCAAGATAGGTCGCGACGAGGACGAGGGGCGATATTAAAATAGAACAGCTGCGATAAACATAGATATAACAGCGAAGAGGGGAAAAGAAAAAAGCAAAGCGCCCAGCGCCAGGTTCAAAGGTATTATAACAGTTATATAGGGATATCAAGAGATGGAAAGCGATGGAGATCGTCGACGGGCAGTCCATCCATCATGCTGTAGATTGTTGGCACAGCCGGCAACCCAACCCGAGAAGAGGGACACCCCCTTCACCCAAAACTGTCGGGAGCGGACGAATAACTGGAAGCGTTTGAGATGTGTCTCATGATGGCGATGGGCTTGTTGCACTACGCTGGCCGAGCTAAAAATGGACGGGGGTCCAGGGCCTACAGCCTCCAAAGTCCCGGAGCATCGCCAACGCCCCCAAGCGTTACAAGTTGATCAAGTACCAGATACGAGGGCTCGAAGATGCCCCGGCGGTCTCTGTTGGCTGATCGTGAGGTTTCCTTGCCTGGCGGTGGTCGTCTTCAGCCAAACCAGGACTTTTATAAGACCGGCTGGCGCGTCTCATAGATATTCCTCTCGCATTCCAACAAAGACCGTCCGGTCTGCATATCAATCCCACATGCACTTTGCAACAGAGACGCAGCTCGTGGCCAAAGATGACTCGTCAATCCCGCGACTTGGAGGATGCGACCTCGCTCTTCGCGAACGACGGCAAACTGTTCAAAAGAGGATGTTCGTCCGTCATTTGCTTGAAGCCCACGCCGTCGACCATTTCTGCTATTCGATCTTGCTGGCGCGCTCTGACGTTGGCGTGGAGTCTGCAGCGTCTATCCTATCCAGAGCCAACACGCTTGAGCTGCTGGTGAATTCTCGATTAGGATGCCATTCCGCTGCTGTCGATATGCTGATTGTTCTCTGGTTGTTGCTGTTCATGCTGCACCGTCGCAACTAGTTAACTGGCCTCTACGCTCTGTACATACATGCATAGTTACATCAAAATGTCGAACTCAGGTACTTCCAGTGACGGCAGAGCTGTCACACTTGGACTAATTTGCCTGGTCGACTGGCTGAAAGCGAAACTATTCGGCCATTTCTCCGTACACCGAGCGATAGTTGTTGCATTTCCGCCAGGGTGAAGCCGGCTAATTCTGAGGGTCACACCTCGTTGCCAGCGAATCGTAGTCCATACCGGGGGATCAGACCAAAGAAGAAATGTGCGTCTCCAACGAGTCGCTGGCAGAGACATCTTGGCTGCCATTGATTGAGATGCGGGCGGAATCGTCGTTGGCAGCGTGATTCTGTAGCTAGGACTGGATATCTCGACCAATTCGGCACGGATTCAGCTTTGACTGCGCTCCGCTGCCATACTACAAGCAATAAGCCTGGGAAGAGACGCTGTGTTCGTTTCATCCATCGTCGTATCTTAAGGTTGACCTTCAGCCATCGTCGGCAAGGGACATCGTCGATTGGAAGAGCCCATCCGGAGTCCTGGGATGAACCATGGATTCCTCGTAGTTCGGGATCGGATCAGCACACCTATCAGGCTGGAAGTCGACACGGTGCTTGGGAGAATCGCAGTGTCTGGAGAGAGAGCTGTAAGCGACGATAAGATGATAATCCAGACAATCCAGAGTCAAGTCGACCAAGCCAAACCATCAACCACTGCAATGTGACGGCTCACCCGTTGTCTCCCGCTTCCGATCCCACAGCCCAACTGTTTCGTCGCCGGCTGTGCCTGACAGGCTCGTGTCGTCTCGATGCATCTGGTCCGCCTTATCGTATGCCACCGTGTCATCCCCCGCCCGCGACTCCCGCTGCGTCCTGGCATCACCCGGCCCCGTAGCCAGCGGAGCTTCGCACCCAGAGAAGCGCGGCTCCTGAGCACGCAGATAGCCGCCCATAAAGACGCAGCTGCAGACCGTGTTCCGCTTCGCAAGGAGTTAAAGGACAAGGCCAAAGCGAAACGGCTGGCAAAGGGCAAGCAGGGCCAGGATGCGCCGTCTCGATCGTCGTCGCGGGAGGGCTGGGAGCTGACGGTGGGAATCGAGGTGCACGCTCAATTGGACACCGATGCAAAACTGTTTTCACGTACGCGATGCCGTCGGACTGGGGACTTGGGTTGATATCTCTTCGCTGACGGACATTTTGCGCGATGTAGGAGCCTCCGCCGCGATCGAAGATGCACCCAACTCGAACGTCGCGCTTTTCGACCTCGCCTTCCCAGGAACTCAGCCGGTGAGCTTTTATTTGGACAAGCGAATGGACAATTATGCTAATGTAGCTTCAAGTCATTTCAACCCGCAACCCTGATACCCGCATTGCGCGCCGCCCTCGCGTTCGACTGCGACATCCAGCGAGTCAGCAGCTTCGACAGGAAACACTACTTCTACCAGGACCAGCCTGCTGGGTACCAGATAACACAATACTACGGTGCGCTCCTTTGACCAGCTAGTTCTGGGAGATGGCGACAGCTTACACAGAAATTTCAGAACCGTATGCTAAGAATGGTGTTCTTCGGCTGTACGCCCGTGACGGAATCGCTCCTGAAGACGGAGACTGTGTTGAAATAGGCATCAAACAGATCCAGATGGAGCAGGACACGGCCAAATCCCAAGAGCTGCCTTCGCACACCTACCTCCTCGACTTTAATCGCGTCTCTCGGCCGCTCATCGAAATAATCACCCTGCCTCAGATCCACTCCCCCGCCACGGCCGCTGCGTGCGTGAAGAAGATCCAGGCGATTCTGCAATCCTGCGGTGCCGTCACAACGGGCATGGAAATGGGCGGCCTACGTGCCGACGTCAACGTCTCCGTGCGCAGACGAGATGCCGAAGCGGGTGCGCATGGATACCAAGGAATAACAGGTTTAGGTCAGCGGACAGAGATCAAGAACCTGAGCAGCTTCAAGGCCGTTGAGGATGCGATCGTTGCCGAAAGGGATCGCCAAATCGCAGTGCTGGAAGCCGGCGGGACCATTGAGGGCGAGACACGCGGATGGACACTTGGCAGCACAGAAACCAGAAAGCTACGCGGGAAGGAAGGGGAGGTGGATTATCGATACATGCCCGATCCCGACCTGGGACCGGTGATAATTGGGGAAGATGTCCTGCTTGAACTTCAAGATACGATGCCACCGCTGCCCGATGACCTGGTGAAAACACTCACGCAGGATGCAAAGTATGGCCTCTCTACGGATGACGCAAAGGCTTTGTTGGAGCTAGACGACGGTGCACGATTGGACTACTATCAGGACGCCGTCGACATGCTCCTCACGCTGCACGCCGAAGAGCCAGCAACAGAAATGGGCTTTTCTGCAGGCAAGGCGCTTGGGAACTGGGTCCTCCATGAGCTCGGCGGGCTGTTCAGCAAATACGAACTCCCCTGGGATCCAAACCGGGTTTCGGGACAGACGCTCGCGGAGATCGTGCACCTCCTCTCCCGAAAGTCCATCACGGGGACGACTGCAAAGTCGCTGCTGGCCACGGCGTTTGGCGGTGATGCCAGGCCAATCAAGCAGATGGTGGAGGAGGACGATTTGCTGTTCCAACCACTGTCGCGGGAGGATTATATTGCGCTAGCGGAAAGTGTAATCCAGCAAGATCCGGAGACTGCACGGGAGATTCGCGAGAAGGGCAGGGTGGGCAAGCTCAGTTGGTTCATGGGCCAGATGATGCGGGCGGGAGATCGGGGGAGGATGGAAGCCGCAAAGGCGCGAGAGGCGCTGGAGGAGCTGCTGCTGAAGTAGACGGGGTCTGATTGTAGCTTCTACCATGTACAATATCACAATATATCACAATATCAGCATTTGGACTGTTGATTCCCTTTACCGCCTGCAACATCTAGATGGACTCTCTTCCTTTCCTCGGCCTCTTTTTTCTCGCCGCCCCAGTTTTATTCTCTCGGCCTCGCCCACTCGCTCTCTTAAAACTGTACTTAGCGGAAAATCGCCCACCGCGGCTCCGCCCCATCTTCCCCTAAAAGCATCTTGAGCCGGTGGGAACGTCACACCGGAACTTTGGGGGAAAAGAGACCTTGCGGTTTGAATGAAGGGGAATAGATCTCTGGATTCTAGCCGTGGTTATCCGCTGGGGTTCAGGCAACTCTGGAGAGACTATTTTTTCAGGAGCAAGTGTATATAACTAGGATGGAGGATGCGACTTGACTTTTTAGTTCTTTTTGGTTTTGGATTCTGTTTCTTCTTGATTTATTATACCCTGTTGTGTCTTCTTTTCTACTTCATCTTCAAGCGGTCGAACAACAATATCACAAGCAATCTGATCCCAATCCTGCACTATGACGTCCCCAAGCACGATTCCCCAGAAATTCATAACAAAGGGCAACCAGCTCGGCGTCGTCGCCGTTGGTTTCTCCGGTGGCCAGGTAAGAGATCTACTTGACAAAGCTATCACCCCCTTCTCCCACAGCTCTAACCCCCAGCACCCAGTGTAAGCAAGGCGTTGACGCCGCTCCCTCCGCCCTCATCGACGCCGGCATCCTCAACCAGCTCCGCGACGACCTCGACTACGAAATCCACCATGACGGCAAGATCCACAACTACACCGAATTCCTGCCCGCCTCGGACCCGGACCACCGCGGCATGAAGCAGCCGCGCGCCGTGAGCGCCGTCACGGAGCAACTTAGCAAGCAAGTCTACGAGCACGCGCGCGAGAGCAAGATGGTCCTCACGCTCGGCGGGGACCATTCCATCGCCATCGGCACCATCTCCGGGACCGCAAAGGCCGTGCGGGAGCGGCTGGGCCGCGAGATGGCGGTCATCTGGGTGGATGCGCATGCGGACATCAACCGGCCGGAGGATAGCGAGAGCGGGAACATCCACGGCATGCCGCTTTCGTTTCTGACGGGGCTGGCCAAGGAGGAGCAGAAGGATATATTTGGGTGGCTGGGCCCGGAGCACCTCATCAGCACGAGGAAGTTAGTGTATATTGGACTGAGAGATGTGGATCGTGCGGAGAAGCAGCTCCTGAGGGAGCATGGCATCAAGGCCTTTAGCATGCACGATGTCGACAAGTATGTTTTTTTTCTGGCGGAAATCGATCTTGGTGACTGACAATGATTCGCAGATACGGCATTGGACGAGTGGTGGAAATGGCTCTCGCGCATATCGGTCAGGACACGCCCATCCATCTCTCCTTCGACGTGGACGGACTCGATCCGCAGTGGGCTCCCAGCACCGGCACGCCCGTCAGAGGAGGCCTGACGCTGCGCGAGGGCGACTTCATCGCGGAATGCGTCCATGAAACCGGCAGCTTGATCGCGATGGACCTGGTGGAGGTCAACCCGAGCCTGGAGACGATGGGAGCGAGCGAGACGATCCGCGCCGGGTGCTCGTTGGTGCGGAGTGCATTGGGAGATACCCTGCTGTGAGTGTGCGGCGTCTCCGGGAGAGACGGTCGATAGATGGCCTTTGGAGCATTCTGTAGAATATGGCGGCGGCCTTGGATTCGCTGTAGAACATGTTGGCCCAGTGGGAAAATAGAACTCTGCGCGCAATTAGCTATACCAGATAGCAGGATCAAAATGTACAAAGTGTCTCGTTTGTAGATTGCTTCTTGAGATAGTTAACTATCGGTGCAGCATCCCACAGACACCTCGCAACACACCTGCTGCTGGTCCAGATATACAAGTCAGACCGAATAATCATTTATTTCCTCCATTCTCGCAGGATGCCACTCTCATCGCCGCGGACGACGGAAATCCCGCCACATCATTTTGCGGTTGTCGCTGTTCTCCCAACCACCCGATTTTCTGCCCTGCAGACCAAACCGATGCCCGGGATCTCACTGCCTCACATTGGACTCTTTTTTTTCTTTTCTGCTTCTTCTCGAGTCCTGTGAAACCATCTTTTCGCATGTTCATATTTCTGCTTTGAAGGCCCAAACTCCAAAGCCGCTCGTTTTCTTTTGCTGCCATCACTCGTTCCTGTGGCTCAACGGCTCTTGCATGCACATGTCGCGCTAAACAGAGCTCTCAAAAGTTGATAACTGGCGACCTTGTCCAGTGCCCGTCCTCGTCAGCGGCAGGTCCCCAACACTGCGCGGCCAGCGCGTCGGGAGGGGGAGCAGAAGACGGCTTCATTCGTTATATTCAAAAAAAAGTCCCGACGAGCGGTTTGCTGGACCGGCGGAGATTCAATCTGAGCTGCAGCCTGCACAGCGGCCTGACCCCTCGACCGATTGCTCGAAATCGTTAATTCACTCGTCACGAATACTCTTTTTAACGCCAGTTCATTCTCCCGCTCTGTGCCTGTTCCCGCTCTCCCGCATAGGAATCTGTGCATCGATCTCGACTCTGCCATCATGGCGCCCGCCTCTGAATATACCACGTCGACCGCGTACCTCCGCAAATTCCACTGGCCGGAAATCCAACTGAACATATGGCTCCTAGTCGTTCTCACATCGGCGGCAACATGCCTGGGGATATTCAGCTGGTTCATGGTCGTGCAGGCACAGATGGAGCAGGCCTCGCCATGGTAAGGGCATACACCCCCGGTTTTCCTCTTGCGACCAGAAGAACCATTCACCTAACCCGCCTTGCTCATAGGGTCTTTCCATTCATGATCGCAGCGTCCATCCTGGCCCTGTTATTCATCGTCCTGATCTTCGTACTCTCCTTTCAAGCCAGGCTGATCCCCGAACTGATCATCCTGGGCTCCTTTGTGCTCTTCGTGCTGTGGCTGGCCGGCCTCATCGGGACGTCCATCCAGCTCTACGGCTCGATCGCCAATGTCAATTCTAATTGCCAGAATTACGTGGAAGCAATCGAATTCCGCGGAGCAAGCATCAATACTCTGGCGTGGCTCACCCAGGTCAATATCTGTCAGTTCCCCCCCCCTCCCCATTGCCAAAAATGAGGACATTGCGTGCTAATATACAATGTGCAGGCAATTGTTGGAAAGCCGCGTTTTCGCTCCAGCTCGTCAACACCGTATTTTTCGTCTGGATGCTCTTCATGGCCCTCCAAGTCCGACGAGGAGAACGCTGATTCTATCCTTCTCGTAATGATTTTATTTATTTTCCTTCTTGTGAGCACTTTTGCATGTATATACGACTTTCTTCTTTACGAATCCCCTGGGCCGGGGGCGAGTCTGTCTGAAAATTACCATTCCAGGGCGTTTATACGGATTTGCGAAGATTTGGCTTTTGATGGGAATTTGAGCGAGATTTTTTCATTTTTTTTTTCAAAGTTTATCAGCGCTTTTATTGCACCTAGATGCACAGGAGTTTCAATGACCGTGATGAAGATATGAACTGTGGTTCACTCTGGATTTTGGCACTTGTTCTCCATAGTCCTGGAATACCCTCTAGCAAATGTCAGCAACAGTGGGAAAGCCTATAGCTTAATGTGCAAGCGAACCCCTTTCTTTCCCTTTGAAAATGCGGCATCCCGGCATCGCTATCAGTTGATAGGATAACTCTTGAAGATTGACGAAGCAAAATATACAAAATAAGCCAAACGCGTTTCATTTCAAATGACTCAATCTACTCCGTAATCCGTACAAATTGAGGATGCAAGCACCCACTCTGACAGAAAAACAAAACACATCATTCGAACAAGATTGAAATGCTGGACATGCACACGCTTGCTAGCGGCCAATCCTCCACCCGGCAAAATGGAACGAGCAGACAACATATCCCGCCGCCATCAATTACTATCACACGCACAACGGGCCGTGATGATCAATATACGAGCCCAATGCCAGAACCAGCCGCGCGGCGGCTAGTGACCCCTTGCTGCGAGAGAGATCAAATCTCGGAGTTCGGAAAATGTTGAGTGTAGGAGGTGGATCATTCGTAACTTTCATATCCAAGTCGTCGAGTTGAGCAACTGGTGTAGACCTACTCACTAGTTAGCAGAAAACAGTAGAAGCCACGAGCGCGCCAAAGACCTACGGGTCGGTTTCCAGTTCGTCCGCTTCCGTCTTGTCCGCTCCCAACAGGGCAGGGAAGAAGTGGTTGATATATTCTGGTGAGAAAACAGTATATTTGAAGAACATTGTTTGCTGCGCGCAGGAAACGAGAAACGTCCTGGTAAAGGTATCATATTTAGCATTGCGGAGTAAGAGTTGATTCTCTCAAAACCTTACGTGCGGTCATATTCCCTCAGCTTGAATGGGTCTACTCGTCCCGTTTTGCTTTTCTCGCGAAGACGTTCACACATCATTCCAATCAGCTGAGAAGCTTCTTGAGCATCAACTCTTGTGTTTGGAATGCCCATCAGCTCATCTTCGTCCCATTGCCCAAGCCGGGACTTTGTCTATTTAGAAGACTGTTAATATAATTTCACCGAAACCTGGAAGCATCCACATTACCTCCACTGAACAGTAGATCATGTCATCCATAAATCCCCAGAACTGAGACTGACCGATTCCCTTGCGGCGAAGGCTCCCATCATTGATTGAGACGCAGTTTACCCTTGGACTAAGAATCCGAAGCTCTTTTCCTTCGGCGTGCCATTCCCAGCGTCGGTACTTCGCTACGGACAGGCTTGTACCGCGACCACTTAAATTGGAGCACTCAAAAATACTCGTGAGAAACAACGATATCATGAGTTGAGTCTGTGTTTCCGATTTGACTCTTAGCATATGGGTACTTTTGTCTGTATCGATTGATGTCTCTTCCCACGACTGTATACACAATCGCTTATTAGGATAGGTGGTTTCTTCGAGAGAAGTTTCTGAGCCGTCGTCGTCTATTACTTCGCTTGAGACAAAACCAGGCCGTTGAACCTGGGCTCTGTTGGTGCGAAGATACCGTCTTGGGGGAAGTTGGTCGTCGGGATTAAATGGGGCCTCCTTGACCATCGCCAGATGCATGAGGAAAAGCCCCAGCAAAGTACCAGCTGGAGCCTGTGCAGAAGTTCCCGCTACTGTCGAGACAATCCGATGCAGGTCCATTCTCCCCAACTCGTGGTTCCTGAAGTTTTGTAATTGCCTCCTCACCTCAGAGTCCAGCACAGCTTTCCCAACAAAAGGCGCTAACATTGGAGGGACCCTAGCCTTCGAACCGATCCCATTTACCCGAAAATAAATGGTTTGTCGCTGGCCCCATTCGCTCCCAGAATCGGTCATGATCTCTGGGTCGGCGGCTTTGGATTTGGAACGAGTGGTTGGCATATTTGATACGGCTGACGATAGCAGTTCTGGCAGGTAAAGGGCGCCTTGTCAAGTAAGGGCAGATTGGATGCAATCACTAGGCAAGAACCCGCCCTTCCACAGGGTAGGCTCCTGAATATAAACCTCCATTCTTGTAAGCGCGGTCGCCGTCAAACCAAAACAGCCCCATGCGTCCTCCTACACCCTGAGGGATAGGAGGGGCAAAGAGCTGCATAGTTATTCATAGAACCAGTTTCTGTCCACTCGCGGTGAGGGCTCGTATCACTTCCCCCCTCAGCTCCTGCAGTGGCTATTGGACGGATGTTTCTCGCCGAAAGGCATCCTTTTTCGGAGATGCAGAGCAGGGAATGCTGTGCATGGGCGCCATTGACAGTGCCCAACCCGATCTCCAGTGTAGAGCGACAGGGCCCAGGGGTGTGCTGGGTGATGGTGGTATCGTTGAGAGGAGCCCGGTTCTATTTCGGGTCCCTTGTGGGCCGGGAGCTTGGGGATCTCCGTTGAGTCCTAGTTTGACCAGTGGCATCAAACATCTGGGTCATTGAAGACTCGTTAACGCTGACAGCAAGATTGAAATAGAGGAGGCATCGCTTTGTCGTGGGAACCAGAGAACAGGGAGGTTGGACATGAAGTTGTATGGTGTGCTAACCAGTTAACTATTATTAGTTAACTAGTGTCTGGCTGCCTTGAAGCCCAACGCGACGAGAAATGCCTTCAGTCTCCAGTACCAGGACTCTTGAGACCCGATCAAGGGCAAGAATGTAGTCGGCAGGCGAACTAACTGCTCTGGCGTTCAACCTCATCGTCCTCGCAGCCACTGTTGAGCGGGATCGCGAAAAGCACTTGCGGCCATCGCGTGCCACCCTTGTCTTTATATATCGATACCAGACAGAGGAGTCCAACGGCCATCGCAATCGTTTTACGCTCTGTTTCTCCTCTTTTATTTCCTGGCTGTCATCCTGCATGTTGTTGCCATTAGAAAGGCGATGGGCTCTCCCGCAGCTCGCCCACGTCCTTTCGCGCCCCATGATCCCAAACCGCAGTCTCTAAAATCCATCCTGGGCCGGACAACGAGTATACCATTGTATTGCCATCCAAAGGCCTGGTCTGACTTCCATCTGGACGTGCTTCGTGTGAAATGCTTGGACAAGTCGTATCCGTTGGAGCACGTTGTCGGAAGACCTCTTCGCTGCGATCCGGCGGACAAGCAACTTCAAGCTGTTGTGGATGAGATTACTGAGCCAGTGAACGAAGATGGAGCCTTCCAAGGCCTACTTCTCTGCGGACAAGAATGGATACGAGGTTTTGGCCCTCATCGTACCGAAGAGGCCTATCGCGGACTGTGCTATTCGTGGCTTAGGATTCTCAGGGACGACGTTCGAGAGTATCCTATGCTTGAGTGAGTCCAAAATTGATTTCTCAGCTGCGACGCTCCCTATGCCAATCCAGAGCTACTCCATGACCATAGGCTAGCTTTGCTTCTAATGACCTTTCTGCTGTTCCAGTTCCGCTCCGGACACGGTTTATCTAAAGTTCTTTTTTGGGGGAGAGACGGCCCTGATAAAGGGACCCGCGGTAATGTATGATTATCCCGACCTCGACGACTACCCGGACGGCTTATACCCCGTCGTTTCGTTTTTATGCCTCAACCATGATGAGTATCGCCCCCGAAACGCTCACCATGCCAGATGGGATCGTGGGAACCCAAGGGTAAAGGTTTGGCGACGCCGGTCAAAGCCTGCAGAGCATGTCAGTCTGTTGCTCGCAATGGCCCAGAAGCAAGCTCAGCTGCTGGACAAGAAGCGGTTTGATTGCGTTGATAATCCACTCTTGAATGCCTTCCATGTTCGTTTTGTCCCCGAAGCTGCTCTGCAACTCAAAAACGGGATATCTAGCTTATCATTGCCCGTTGATAGCCCGTCCTGGTCATAGTGTCGGAGACCACAGTACGCATCCTTCGAGCCCATGTAACATTGAATTACCTGAATGCTTTGGCAGATCCAACATTGCCGCTCCTCGACAACCTGATCGTCGAACAATCAGAGCCGTTTGATATGCTGGTTGAGGCGGACCGGGTACGGTACCTGATCACCGCTAGCTGCTTACTTGACGAGTACTACTTGGATATCCGCCCGATATTCTCACAGCGCAAACCCAAGGAGCCCGAAGAAGATGAATAGTTGCCAAACCGTTCTTGCCCCATTTGTTTTTCTTTTTTCCGTCTAAAGATACCTCAGCCTTAAAAACGAGCTAGCTCTATTCAAACTTCACTTCTTGAGATACTTCCTATGTGCCGACCAAATTTTGCGCATTCTAGAGCGTTTGATGTGCGAGGCTTCTGAGGATGCTCAACACTTCCAAGACCGCGAGTTGACCTATCTCAACCGTACTGTATGCCGTGCTCCTAGTTTAACATGGGCAAACGCTTCTACAAGCAACGGCTATGGATTGGAATCCAACTCTCAGGTTGACACCCACAAAAAGAGCATTATATAAAGGGGGTCAGCGAAATTCGGATCGCTTCATCTGGTCCTGGGCCACCAACTTTCCTCTTACCGTCCCTATCAAAACCGATGACACAATGAAGACATCACACAGATGACTTAAACTATTTGACATCTCTGCGCCTGCTCCGTTTCCCCTTTCCTCTTCTCTTGCTCGATATCACCTACAAACACATTCAGCTCCTGCCTATCCCTGTCAAAGCTTTGCTCTCCCTACTGCCACCTCAACACCGAGCTTCTTCTTCGCTCCTGGCAATATTAGGCCACTCTTGAACCGTTGCTGCTATCTCCAATCTCCCGGCCAGAAATCCTGGGCTGTCACCAACGCCGTTGATAAAAAACACCCACACGCCAGCACCAACATGGCCCACGTCGCCAGCAGTTCCCAACCGACTAACCAGCCAACCACTAAAACGACCGGCAGAAGCTGGCTTGGAATCTATGGGCTGGAGGCGCTGACTTTGATGACCTTTGAAGAGCTTCAGGACTTTTCTGAGAACTATGGCTCACAGTTTCCTGGTATGGCATTCCCCCTATGCATTCCCGCGGCAAACTGCTTACCTTGCGCTATCTACAGTTAATGCCCTCTTGAATCCTGATCATGAAAGCGAGGATGAGATGATCCGTGAAATTCTGAGAAAGATGGGATGTCTCGAAAAGAGTGGATAAGTGTTTACTGACATGGCTGGCCGACGCACTGTTATTGATGGGTAAAAGTGTGAGAGCACTCGGGTCCACTGCTTTGGCTACTTTTTGGATATTGTATTTTATATATTTTACTCCTGTATTATTATAATCATTTATTTATACTATCTTCTATCCAGAGTCTTCATTCTGTATCTACATACAACACTGGGGGTTACGATGGTAGCCTAAAGTCAATCACTCTCCATGGTCCAGAGTTAATCTTGCCACTGCCCTCATCCACGGACAGCAACAACGTTCAGGCAGAAAAGCAGGCAAAGTAAGGCAAGCATGGGATCGAGCCTAGATCCATCCCCCGATATTGATAGATCTCTCTCATTGTGGTGGCAACCTTGTTATCAACGGGCCCAGTCGATTATCTAGTTAAGGAAGAGTGGTCTAGGTCTCCATATCCATTTTCGAGCTTTAGATCCCGGCGCTGTTTTCATCGAGGAACTTATTTATTTTGGCGTTGGAGTTGGTTCGCGCCCCCCGTTGAAAAGGGGTTGGCTGTCCGTGGAACTCAAGCTGGGACGGGCCTTAAACTTTTTTTCTCCCTTTTGGTTGTGGGAAAGCGAAAACGACATGTTGCACCCTAGGTAGGAATAAAATCCCAAGGGATCCTCACTGGAATGTATATATATTCACACTGGGAAGGTGGATGATGTTTTATATTGATCTCAATTAATATGAGGAAACATGGATAAAACGCCAGACCTTGCTGAAAGCCAGTAACTCACAGTTGTTCAACTAGCATTTAGAGCATTATGGAGAATATCGCAAGAAATTCAGAGCGTGCAACTTAGATGATTGATATGTAACTAACTAGCAAAGCCACCTTCAGCATGCCTCTTCAGACAAAACCAATTCGAACCCGACCCAAACTCCCAGATACCCAGACCGGCCACGCCTGGAGAAACAGATGTGAAACAGTTGAGTTCTTTCAGAAACCCAAGGCCACCTTATATTGTCAACAATGGAAAACGAAACAAGCACCGCAACACGCCAAAATGCTTCGGGTGAAGGAGCATAAATATTGAAATTATGACGGCAAGATCAACACGAGGGATAGCAAAAAAAAGTCATTATGAGGGGATGAATAGATAGCAAACGCCTCGCTATGCTGATGGGTCGTCATTTCGATACATGAAGCAAAGATAGTTTCTGGCGATCGTAGATATAACCACAAGCGAAATGACGGCTGGATTTGTATACATGACCAAGACGACGTGTAGAGGAAGAAGCAAACGGTCGCCCACGGATGAAACTTCACCCATTGTCGCCCGCGTCCTCGTTGGCTTTCGCTTCATCCCAGTTATCGTTCTCGAACGCCGCAAGCATTTCACGCTCGAATTCATCCTCGTCGTCTTCCTCGTCATTCACAACCGGGTCAATCATGTCGCTGTCCCCTCTAACATCCATATCTGCGTCGGGCTTCGCGCCGCCCTCGGCTACTTGTCCCTGGGCTTCACTGGTAACCGTGTCCCGTGCTTCACCCCCCAGTTGCTCATTGGTAGTATCAACCGAAGGGGGTTCTGTCGGTTCAATCGACGCGGCATTGGAAACTTCTTTGAGACCCGTGCTTCGTTCGTGCGACCGTTTGATCTTTTGAGATAAGCGCGATCCGGCAGGCTCGCCCGGTGCACGTTCGTCAACCCCCGGATATTCCTCCGTGTTCTCATCACTCTCGACATCTCGTTTTCGTTTCCCATGAGCAGGCAGGACGAAAGAACCTTGGAACATGGACGCATCGCTATCACTTTCACTATCCTCGTTGTCGCTGCCCAAGAAAGCTTTGAGCTCGTCATGTACTTCGGCCTGCTCTTCGGCATCATATCCGATCCGAGAGTGTTCATCCAGTCCGGTTGACATCAGTATTGCTTCGTCGGCGTTATCCAGTTCGTCAATTCGACTTTTGCTTTTCGAGATGTCGCTTTCATTGTCATCTCCTGAGGTTGTCTCATCTTCAGAAGATGATAGATATCCAGCATCCAAATCTTGAGAGTCCTTCCCTGATAGATTTATTGGTTCACCGCGGTCATCAGGATGTACAGGCACAAGGTACTGCTCTTCGTCAAGCCGCTTCCATTGGGTTAGGGAGTCCAAGAGCCACTGCACCGTGACGATCTTGATTTTAGAGTACCTTGTTGCTTCCCGAACCTTGGCTGTGCGATTTCTCCCTGCAACAAGGTGTGTCGTTCTAGAGTCAATCCTGTTCGTGATGATTGCGCCAAAACTCTTTGCCCAAAGAGATATGTCCGCGTTTTGTAAGTCGGTGCCAAGGGGTAAAACACCGGAGAACACCATGACTACAGCTTCAAGGATTCTCCGTTTGATCTGGGGCATGATGATCTTAATATCAGGGACAATGCGGAGATCAACGTCCTTGTCCTTGGTGGGCACGCGTTCACCCCTTAGCGCAGACACTCGGCCTCCGAGTGCCAGAGACCGCTTTCGGTCATACTCTTCGAAAAAGCGGGTATGTACCTGCCGAAGCCTCTCTTCTAATTGGTAAAGTTCAGAGTCATTATCTTCAAGCAGATGGTGGCGATGTTTGGTAGAGTCGTGCGAATCATCACTAGCTGAATCGCCATTCTCTGTGGCCTGCAGCTCAGCAGCTTCATCTTCGGCGTCGAGCTGTTTCTGCTTTTGTAGTAGAGGGCGTTCTTCAACCTGATGCGCGATTACCTCGTCTTGTTGGCTTGCTTGTTCTTGCAGTAAAACAGGGTTATCTCCGCCCCCCATCGTCACAAGTTGCTCTAGGGCTGAGACCTCTTCTCCCGGCTTTTCATCAACGTCCATCCCACTAGAACCATTTACTCCCGGTTTGGATTGCGCCCCAGGAGTAGTATCCGGTTGCTTTTTGATTTTTGGGTGGGCTTTCGACATTGGGTTGAGTTCCTGCTTCTTTGGTAGGAAGCTGGAGTTGATATCACCAATGCCAACGAAAAAGTCGTACGGGAAAACTCTGATGAGATTGTCACTCCATTTCCAGACATCTCCACGGTCATCGATGATGACAACCATTTTAGTATCCACGGGGAACAACCGGTGTAGATTCTTCGCCGTAAGACTTCCGCTTTCATCGCGGCTCAAAATCCTGTCTCCGAATATCTTCCTATCGGGATCGACGATGTTCGCGATGTTCTGAGCGTAAGCACGCGTTGCCATTGTGTAAATATGAAGCTCATATAGGCTTGAGATGTTCTTCAAGAATTCTTCTAACCCCGGCCGCAACTTGATGTAGTACCAACATCCTCTCATCCCGGGGCCGTCGTCGATCAATTGAAACGATCGTACATTTTTGACCGCTTCGTGATTTGGGTTAGTCTTGTCTTCTCTCCACTCCGCTACTGTTGGATCGACAGTCGCGTGGATGATGGTCTGGTCCAAATCAACAACAAGTGAGAGTTTCCTTGATGCAAGAAGTCGGCGCTTTGCATCCTCCTCAACACGAGTCGCTTCATCTTTGCTCACAGTAAGCGACGCGTTGTCATGCACCATGCGAATTGGCGCTCGTGATGAGTCGAGTACTTCCGTGTTGTAGTTGAAGCTGTTCAAACCCCCAAGCGAAACCCAGTCAGCAAACCAAGTCTGTCCCAAATAAGCATAAACGGATAAACCATACACTGTCATATCCTTCCCGCAATTCGCGCACATCCCACCAAACTGAACATCATGAGAACAAGGCTCGTCAATCTCCGCAACGTCAATCCTGCAAAATCCAGCCGAGCGTCAGCGCGTCGCATGCCACAAGGCGCCCACAATATCAACCCGCGATCAATCCACTTACGGCTTCTCAATCACCTGTCCCTCCCTAATCTTCCACGCCAACAGCGTCCCGTCCACCGCACTCTCAAACTTGGTCGGAAACTTCCTCTCAACATCACGCTTGTTCCCCAGCCCATCCCCCTCCGTCACCGTCGTGCGGTAATAATACGCGAACAGCGCATCGCCCTGCCTGACATTGGCGCCCGGTCGGTGCAGGAGCTCGGTGACGGTGATCGGATAGTAGAGGCTGGAAGATAATTTCAATAGCATCCCTCTTCTTTTCCCTTGTTCAGTTCAAAAACAATTGAGCAGCCTATCACGGCGCCCATAATCCGCATGCCACGAAGAGGAGGCTTTCGAATGGGGGAGAGATGTCTGCAAGGCGACGAGTGGAGAGGAGAGGAGAGAAGAGGCCTTTTTCAAAGGGTACTTTGGTGTTTGGCTTTGGGGCGGGGATGGAGTTGTTTGCAAGAGTTACGATGATGATTCAATTTGTAAGGGTTCCAGATAGAAAGCAAATAAGAAATAAACGTTGGGGAACAGAGCCACTGCGCTTGGATGAGTGAGGTAAGGGGGGAGTTAATTGCGGTTTGTTGATGCAAGAGGCAGAGAGAGTGTGATTCCTTAAGAGCTTTGTCTTTGCCATTCATTGATGTTTGGAGAAAGCTTGCTGAGCCCGCCTTCAATGCTGGAGCTGCGGTTTCAACTAGTAACGCGTGTGACGGTAATTGTCGCCTTCACTGCAGCGCAGCCCGGAATCGAGACTCAACCGCGTACCGCCAGGTATGGTAATTAATGTCTTGGCACCTGACATCACCTGGAAGCAGCCGAGTTGGAGAGCAAAGCAGTCTCAAATCACACCGCGAGCAGGCTACGGACGAGGAATTCTGCAGAAAGGATGCTGATTAATGGGATTTCATTCTTGCCATCGTGCAGACTACACAGACGTATCAAATATTATAGCTAGGACAATTTGCAGCTGCCCTTTCCCGGATAAAGGAGCAAGCCCTCTGATGATCTGAAGTCAATGATCAGGAAACCTTGAGAGAAAATGCCGAACAATAATTGCAAAAAGCTGTAGGAAACCATGTTTACATAGGGTTTATAACGGGTATTCAGTCATCTATGGCACAAACATGAATTGTGACTGAAACTCTTCCAGAGATAGGGCGCACTTCGCTGGAACTTAGTTCTTGGCTTTGGCTTTGGCGAGACCGACTTGGTTGTTGCCCAAATCATACATAGTATAGAAACGTCTCAAGAAAGCGTCACCGAGAATGGCCAGGGGACCTACGGGTTCGGGGAAATCCATGCCCATGAAGCTGCTGATGCAGGATCCCTGAACCTCCAAGATGTAATCGTTAGGTCCGATGGTGAAGTTGTGGCCTGACAAAGTGAATGTGAGGTCGGGAAGGGATGGGCGCTTGTCGCATTCGACAGTGTATTGGCCATTCCACGACTTCTTGGCACCGATTTCCTTGTTGCTAGAGACGAAACAATTAGCCATATACAAGACAGAAGTATCCAAGGGACAGAGACTTACAGAAGCTCAGCAAGAGTAGATGGCAGGGCAATGAGCGAAGTACCAGTATCAAGAATGATACCCGTGTTTTCAAGCTCCGCACGATCGTTTCCAAAGGTGACGGCGTCAAAGTCAACTTCCCAGTAAGCCTTGCGGCGGAGGGGAATCTTAATCATGTCATCACTGAAAAGCGAGTCATCGACGCCGCCAAACGTAGCATACGAGTCATCACCCTCCTTGTTTGTGTCACCAAGATAGAAGCCAAAGACTGGCTCGTCAATCAGTTTCTGGTTAAGCATGTTGTAGAATGGGGGGACAATCTTGTTAACGGAGATGGTGTCATAACCAAGACCGAGAATGCCGTCAAAACGACCAAAGGCAAATGCGAGCCCTGGCTCGTTCGTAGCCTCAGCAAAGTCTTGCTCCTTGACAACTAGGTCGCCAATACGAAGCGTATCCTGTGAAACGAAGCCAGAAAGACTACCTGAGCCGTAGCGGATGGAAAACTCCGTTCCATTCTTCTTGTAGGTTGAAGAAGCCGATGAATCATACTTGCTGTGTAGGAAACAGGCGATGGAGCCACATTGTGACGATGGAACCCAAAGGTTAGAACTGCCGGTGTCAAGGACGACCTTGAAATTCTGCGGAGGGTTTCCAATAGAAATCTCGGAGAAGTCTGATGCGTAGCTAGTCAGCGCTGAGATCCTTAAACAGTGCTCTGGGAGGAAAGCAACGTACACTGGGCATTTAGGAAGTTATCAACCAAAACGTTGTGACCCCCCTTTGTATTGATATCATCTGATGTGAATGGCTGTTGCGCCGCTGACCGTGCAGCTAGGTACTTCTGGCCAAGCGCCTTGACTTGGCTGTCGATGTCGGCATGGTCCTACAGCCGAGTTAGCAACGACTCATCAGGAAGACAACAAGGCGTATTTGAACAAGCCGGGGTGCGACTACTCACAAACTGCTCAGAGAGCGGAACCTTCTTTAGCTTGAGTTTATGGACTTTTGCCGACGTGCAGCCTAACAGCACGGTGGCCGCGAGCAAGATGGAGCTCTTCATGATCACCGAGGTGGTTGGGGATTAATACGTCAAACACAGCAAGGAGCCACTGGGCATCCAAAGAATGTATATAAACAGACAAACGGGGCTTTGACGATGGGGAGAGTGGACTGGCGTAGGTGACGTTGATGGAGATGGAGATGGAGATGGGGGAATTGGGGGAGGTTGGAGCTTGAGGGAGGATGGACGTTGTGATGGAGTCGGAGATCCGCCAGTGATGATGACGAATGGTTGATCTTAGGTGGAGGCGCCCCTGCTTAGCCGCTCTCACGTGAGCCCTTCCAAGGTTTCTTGGCAGATATCGGCCTGGGACTATGATGACATCGTCGAGTTTGACATCAATGCTCAGTCCCAGCATCGTAGGAAGAGGTGCAATGATGATCAAGCTCCAATCAGTTCTACAGCAGGCAGCAGTTTACTGTGTCCTTCCGTTGCCGAGGTTGCCAACAGCGTTCACCATACTCAACCGGGGTTCCATCGATGACTAATCCAGGCACAGGCCTCAGGAGCACACCATCGTCAACATTTGGTGTTGCTCAACCGCCAGGGTGAGACTTCTCGTGTTACATTGGGCCAAAAGTACCTTTTAGAGATGAGGAATACATTGAACATTGCGAAAAAGAAAAAAGCATGTTTCAAGAGGAACTGACTCGACTCAGCTTTCGCGGTGGAAACTTTGGCCGAAGAAGCCCATGTTGTTACATTTCAGATTAACTACAGAATTTCATGTTTTATTTTCTGATCCGTAGTAACTTGAACGAAAGAGAGGCCACCTCAAAATCGGAACCCACCGTTTGGTTTTAGCGGTAGAAATCAAACCTGCGATTTTTGTAGAGTTAGCATCGTTCTAATGGTCTTGACGCAAAAATGGCCACTTACTTGTCAGCATCTTGTCCACTCTTGACCTGGCTTGAATAGGCGTCTTCAAGATCAGATTGGATGATGTTGTATCGGTTCTTACGCACAGCCCGCAAGCCCGCTTCTTGCATGATTGCAGCGATGACGGCGCCAGATAGAGGATCATTACGGACAATGAGCGAATCCAAATCTACCTCTGGTGATAACGACATCTTCGACGCGATGGTGGAGAAGATCAAACGACGTTCCCGTCGATCGCGAAGAGATGGGAACTCGATCTTTCGATCTAAACGACCAGGCCGAAGCAAAGCAGGGTCCAAAGTATCGGCTCGGTTGGTAGCCATGATAACTTTGACATTGCTTGTTTGATCGAAACCATCCATCTGGTTGAGCAGTTCAAGCAAGATGCGTTGGACTTCACGATCCGCTCCAGTCTGTGCATCAAACCGTTTCGTGGCGATAGCGTCGATCTCGTCGATAAAAATAATAGCCGGCGAATTCTCTCGCGCCATGCGGAAAACGTCTCGAACCATACGAGGTCCTTCACCAAGGTATTTCTGCACGAACTCGGATCCAACAACGCGGATAAAATTTGCGGTTGTACCGTTCGCCACTGCTTTCACCAGCATAGTCTTGCCGGTCCCCGGTGGTCCATATAGCAGGACACCTCGAGGTGGATCGATTCCTATGCAAGGGGATGCTTAGCAACCGTGTACGCTTGACATTTAGGCAGAGATATTACCAATTTGCTTATACAGGTCAAACTGCGTCAAGGGCAACTCGACAGCCTCTCTGATTTCCTGTTTTTGCATATCCAACCCTCCAACATCGGCGTATGTGACATCGGGCTTCTCGTGTGCACCCAACATAGCAATAGAGGAATCCGCTTCGGGCGGAAGTATGTCAACAAGGGCATTTGAATGGCGATGTAGGGCAACAGAGGAGGACGGCTTGAGCTTTTCGCGGTCAAGAGTGGAAAGGATCCGGACGACATAGTTGGACCCTGTCGACGATTGCACAATACCGGTGCTGAGGAAAGAGGACTATTTAGACACATTTCACCTTGCAAAATGGGGTTCTCATGTTCACTTACTTCTGATCGATGGCTTCCATAAACTGGCCAATCACCAAGGGAACACTCTGTATTCTCTTGATCTCCTCCTGGGCTCTGACAAGTTCGCGCTTGAGGCTCCTACAGATGGTCAGTGAAATCCAAGCGTCAAAAGTTCTATTTTCTTCGGGTTCGACAAACCGTTGCTCATCTTTGATGTATTCTTCTTGTAGATTTATATACCTAGGGTTGTGTCAGCAGCAAAACGAGATCTCCTACATGAGGCTGCATTGCTCGAAACATACTCTGTATGCCGTTGTAACCTTTTCAGCATAGTGTACTCATCCGCATCATCATTTCCCCAGCCCTCGAGAGGGTCGATGTTGGGGATCGCATCTGCTGGGGAAGCTTTCAACGGAGGAGCAAGGGCGTTGACGGGCGTGTCCACCTCGGTGTCGCCCATGGTGATGTAGAGAATGAAACGTGGAGGATGGAATACGGTCTTAAGCGGGACTTTTCAAAAAGCTATTTTATTTCAGAAATCAAAACGATAATATCAGAAGTAAGACTGTCGCAAATGGGCGGCTCAAGACATCAGAGCTGGTCAAGCTGGCTTGTCTCGCTGAGCTCTGAGCCAGGAATGCCAAGCCAAAGGCGATGTGATTTAGTCAGCAAATTGTGATGCTGTCTTGGCGCCAGTTCCTGCAGAAGCATTGAAGATTGTTGTGAGAAGCCATTAGTACCAGATTGGCATTTGAAAATCATTGATCTTATCTCTCTGGCCCCGAATTCCTCTAGCTATATGTAGGCATACGGAGGACATCGACCTTTTCAGTAACTATTCTATACTGTTCCGCGAAGGTTGGCAGCTTGACTGGTTCTGACACAAAATCGCGCTCAGTCCACCCGTGGATTACGAGTAGCAGAGGGTTTTTGGATTACAGAGCACTGTGACTTGCAGTAATAATTGCTTTTTGGTGTGTCAGTATCGGATGATTGGGAATTTGGACCAATTCGGGGCAGTTTTGCGGAATTATTTGTTTTTCTGAAATATAAACTCTGAAATAGCACTTGGAGACGATTAGGACGGAGCCTACGAGAGAGGAATCTGTGCCAGTTTATCTCGAGCGAAATCGTTTTATGATGACTCTGGAGTGATTCATTTTCGTATTGTTGATCGGCAACCCTGTACAAAGGAGATAGCCGTGGCGAATCTCACATGGCGGTGACAAGGCGAACGTGTAAAAAGGTCCGCGCAGGATAGGAATCGGGGAAGCTTTGGGCAAACGAAAAGGCTGTGATAGGACTCTAGAGAGAGAATTTAAGTATTCAAAGTTTCTCTTGGAGGATGCTATTCCCTTGAGGGATTGACGCAGACTTTTGTGAGTAAATAAAGCTCCGTAGACAGCTGGCTTGGGAAGAAGAAATGCTTGGGTTATGGTGTAAAGAAAGGGGTTCAAAAAATCCGGCAAGACCCATCTGAATCAGTGTCAAGATGATCAAACCGGAAGACCCTGCATTTGATGATCATGGCGGTTTCTCACAAGCCCGGAACCACGCTGCTCTAGAAAATCCACATCGGCCGAAATCGACTCGATCAGGAGACTGGAGAGATATCGGCCATGGACCATGGTCAGGTGTGACAGAGACAAAGACATCCGCATCCAGGCGGAATTTCCTTTTACAGGGATGGTAATAATAATAATTAACATCGAGAAGGCGGATCGGTTAGGATCTCCGGTTTGGAGAACAAAAAAGAAAGGCCATGGCAAAGGGAGCCGGAGTCTGGTCCTGACCTAGAAAGTGTATGTATGACTGACCCTTGAGGCTAACGGACGGTCGAGAGAGGCCCTTTTTTCGCTATATATACCGGGCGTGCTCCCCGCTTTTCCCGTCCTTCTTTTTCTCTTCCATCATCACGTTGTTGGTCCCCTACAGCGGTTGTTTCCTTCCCGCTATCGCTACGGCGTCATGGTGAGACGGCTGGGTTTCTACAGCGAGCACCACGGCCTTGTTTCTTCATGATCAAGCCACAATGGATGATCCCCAACAAAAGTTTGGCTGTTCTACTTGTCTTTTAGACTGATGATCGGATGTGCGGAAACAGCTGGAGGTTTACAATTGCCAGTTTCCGTGCCTGAATGTGCTGTTGGTATGGCTGGCCAGAGAGGTTCCATCTGCCAAGCAGAACTGTGAAGCGGCAATCTGGCTCGAAAGTATAAAGGATCCAAGATCCCACGAAGAAAAGAAAGGCAGAGAGGGCATCCTGATCGATTGACCCACAGCTCTTTTTGAAATGGCGATTATTTCTTTCGCAACTGAGAAGGGAATGGCAAGGGAAATCTGCAGGTTCGGTTGTTCGCAAGCGTTGCAGGGTCAGCGAGGTCCGTCCCTTGGAAGTTGGGGTTGACTTACTGCGCTCGAAGCGGCATTGGAACCATGCCCGAAGCAGAGCAGCGCCACCGCGCTGTTTGCGTGCGGACTGGGCGTCGCATTGGCCTGGAGGTCTGGCTGCTTTAAGGGCCGGCCGTGCTTGTGACCAACTAATGCTGCCCCCCCGCAAGACTCGGGCAGAACAGCAAGAGAAAATTTTCATTTTCCAAGGCGCCTTTGCCCTCTCACGTCGAAAGTAGATTATTATGATTCTCGCTGCCCTTTCTTCATGCTTTTACCCCGACTGCTCGACCCGAAAACTCCGAGAGCTGCATTCCACTCGGCCTGGTTCCTTTTGACTTTAGGCACAGGTTACTTTTTCGCCTAGCCTTGTTAAAATATTATTATTATTTTAGGCATCGCTCGGGATTTCGTGGCTGCTGTCCCTTACCCCAGCGCCCCCTATCTCACTCCACTCCCTTGGAGGCACGACATTGGCAGCTCTCGTTCCCTTCTGGTTGCAGGTGAGCAAAATTTATTTCCGCTCTCCGGAGTACTTTTCTCTCAGGCCTTTCCCCGGATCTTTCCCGCCCACACCTGTCTGGATCCCCTGCCTCTGCGCTTCTGGTTCCAGTCTCTCGCTCGCCAAACCTGCGTCAAACAGGCCATATCGGGTGCTTGGGCCAACCACTCCTCCCCTTTCATCCGTCCAGTGACAGTCCACGGCGGCTGGATCGATGCTACTATGTACTATGCTTTTATTTTTATAATTCTATAATTTTTCCTTCCCCTCTGACCGCATCGACGATCGCAGATACTATATTCTCGCCACCTTCGCCCCAACCACGCTTAGTCAGCCACCCTCCACGTGACCGCCTGTCCCAAAACAGCAGCCGCCCATTGTTGACGGGCGCTTGGTCATCCAGCCCATCCCAGCACCTCCTCCACGCGGCTCAGCACAAGGAGCTCGTCCGTCCATCGGCGTCCACTCGCTTGCTTTCACGGCATCCCCGGACCTCTTGACTTCTTTTCTCCGTATGTACTGGCTCTCTTCATTGTCACCACCACCAGCAGCATGATCGCCGCTTTTTGTCGCGTTGTTTCATGTCATTGTGTGGACACCCGCGGTGCATCGCCGCTGGTTCCTAAGTCATGTCCCCATTGTGCTCAGGATGCGCCTTCTTGCACGCGTTGTTGAAGCCATGTGCATCTCCTGTGACATGAATTGGCTGTTCTCTTGTGTCTGTGCTCCAGCTAACCGACGCGTCTCAATGGCAGGCGAATGGGTATTCCATAATTTCACGACATGAATGCCTGGCTCAATGACCCTGCGACGGTGAACATCCAGAGTGACAATGGCTCTTTCAACAATGCAACCATTGACCCGTCGATGGCTTTCCTCCAGTCCCCTAGCTCCTCTGACCACAGCCAGTTCCAGCGCATGTTCAATGGCGCCGCCAGAAACATGTCGCCGGGCTTCCCGAATCCCAACCCGGTGATCCCTTCCAAGAGAGCGCGTCCCGATGATGGCTTCTCCATGTCCCCGAGGCAGGCGCCTGGTGTCCTCCCTGGCTCCCGGTCGCAGACACCGCATCAAGCTCCCTTCCCTGGCTTTCCTGACCCTGCCAACGGCACGCCGCAGTTTGCGCAACAGCCCGCGCCATCCCCGTACCAACACCTTCAGACCGGGTCTAACAATCCAAGCCCATCTCCGATTCTCCAGGACTTCGACCCGCAGCTTTCTCAAAGGGTCCAGACCGCCTCTCCAAGCCCATTCTCGCCCGCTGGGATCCATGTAGCCTCGCAAATATCACCTCCACACTCAGATCACGGCAGTCGCGTGAACACGCCGCAGACTAGCACTTTTGGTCAACCTCCGCCATATGCGCAACCGCCTGGAACGCATTTCTCCCCCAACCCTACCATCACTTCCTCTGGCTCTCATCCCGCAATGCAACCGCAGTACACTCAAAACAATCCGGCAATGATGCAAAACCTTTCGGCTCAGCAAATTGCCCAACAACAACGGCTTTACCAGTTGCAACTTCAAAATCAAGCCCGTCAATTCCAGTCTCCCAATGCGCCAGCCGTCGGAAGGCCCATGGTGGCTGGCGCCAATGCGTTAAACAATCCCCAAGCAGCTGCAATGCGACAATTGCACCAGAATATGGCCAAGCCATCCAATCCTGAGGGCTTCTTACGAGGCTTGCAAAGGTATATGATGTCGCGGGGACTGCCGCTTGATCTCAATCCCATCGTCAGTGGGCGACCAGTTCATCTGATGCAGCTCTACGCTGCCGTCATGAGGCTTGGTGGGTGCAAAAAACTTACCGCAATGAACGGGTGGCCGACGCTTGCCCAACAAATGCAATTCCCTGCGATGCAGTATCCCACCGCTCCACAGGAACTTCGCGATATCTATCTACGGAATCTCGCGCCTTACGAGCAGGCCTGGCTAAGTTCTCAGCAAAAGCACGTAGGTGATCCATCACAAATGGGTGGCCAACGTCCTGTCGACCCGTCTACCCTCCCGCAACAGATGACACCTAACAAAACAATGCCCTCTCAATCCTTTGATCTCTCATCCCAGCTCCCTGGTGCAACTCAACCGTCCATACAGCAACAAAATCACTCCCAGCCTATGCACATGAATGGTTTCCCTGTAGGCTCGCAAGGCAAACCAATCCCAAAACAACAGCGACCTCTCGGGCATCAGCATCGCTCTAGCCTTTCGCGTCCACCCGAGTCTGCCTCGCCTAATGGGCAGATGCTTCAATATCCGCCAGATGTTCAGATGCCAGTCGACAAACAATCTTCCCCGGTTTCGGGCAGAAAATCAGGAAATGACTTTGTTTCGTACCGGCAACCTCTAGAGGACCCATTCAAACCCACGGTTTTGCCAGAAAGTGCCTTTCATGGGCCCATTGTAATCGATGAAGCTTTCCAGATCGGAGAGGAGCTGATGCGACTGAAACCTACTGTCCCTACCTTTGGGGAACTTGGAGTCATCGATATCCACGCGCTTACTATGAGTATAAAGTCTGGTATTCATGCGGAAATGCGAGTGGCTTTGGATACTTTAGCCCAAATTTCGTTTGAACCTGCAGTCCAATTATCTCTGGATAACTGTGAAAACCTAGTGGAGGCGCTGATCGACTGCGCTGAAGATCAACTTGAGCTGCTCGCAGACAACGCTGCGGAGGTGTCTGACGTTATGCTCCTGCCAACCTATGAGGAGGTTGTTCGCGGGTGCAGACAAGAAATGGAAACGCTGCTTGATGTTCCCGAGTTTGGAAGTCTGGATTACGAGCTTGACCGCGCAGTAGATCGCCTAATATGTATCACCACGCTGCTAAGGAATTTTTCTTTTGCCGAGACGAACTTTACCCTGCTTTCAATGCCATATGTTGTCAAATTTATGGCATCTGTCATGCGGTATCTAGGCACAAGGAATATGCTATTGCGAACTAACCAGAACCTCCTGGACTTTATGAAAGACGCCGTCATTTACCTCAGCAACATAGCCCATACAATACACCTCCCCAGCAAAGAAGAAGCGCTAGCTATCTTGCATTTTCTCCTCGCGTTTACTCCGAGTTCACCGACCATTGGACCGAACGGGCTCATGTTCGCTCCATACGACCCGAGTATACATCGGTATATGCCAGCTGCCGTGGACACTCTGGCGAAGCTTCTCGCACGGGACGACCCGAACAGAACGTACTTTAAGGCGATTTTCTCTCAAGAGAACCAGTGCCCACCACCCAATGATCTGCTAACGAGGAGTTTTGCACTCTCAATTGCGTCAACGCCTGAACATACCAAGGGCAATGTCATCGCGTTAGCAGATGCTAGAAAGCCGTTCCTCATGCAAGGCCTGCTTTCCGCTGAGATTTTAGCCGGCTTAGTAGATAGTGATCTGGCTCGTTTATGGCTTAAGTCTATAGATGGATTTGCAATTAGCCTGCTACGCCTGGCTTGTATACTAAGTGCTGATCGCAATCCCCCTGGCCCGCAGCGGCACGGTGCAGCTGGCCGTGCAGCAGAGGCTGATCTATACTGGCATAACACCATCAGCAACCGTGGGTAGAGGGTGCTCAGCAGGTTGGCCGCAAAGTCGAAAATGGTCAATGGGCCAGCCTGCATCCCCCGGGGGTGTTCCGGAAAGGCAAAATGTTCTAGGGCACTTTTGGCACCCCATATGGATCCCAATGTTGTGCGCCAACTTTGTGAAATAGCCTGGTTGAAGCGGTGAACAAGCTCTGCATCTTACCTATTCTTCTCCGGTTTCACTTTGCTTCTACTGCCAATTACAACCTCCTTCATGTTTTTTTCCTTCTTCTTTCTTTCATGTAATCAGTATCACTGGCATTGACTCAGGTGTCTTTAAAGGATTTAAAAGCCCCATGGTTTTGTGGGAAGTGAAATGATAGAAAAAGGGGCCCCTACGAATTGGCTGCTGCTTTTCTTTTCCAAAGGAAAAAAAAAAATTTTGGTCCCTGTGATTCACTTTTTGTTTTTGGCTTGTTTGCCCTCTCCTGGTCGCAAGGGGGAAAATGGGGAGGGAGGACCAGAAGATTTGTTGCAAGGGAATATAAAGTAGGATACCTTTACCTTTGTCCACAAGAAAGATTCGCGAATGGTTTTTTTTTTTCTCTTTATTTCCCGTTTGTCGTTGTTTTGCCTCCCTTTCTAACAATATGTAGTACTACTATCACCTTTATCCGATTGTGTTTTGAGGAGTTTTGCTTCTTTGTCAGTGTACAGTACTCGAACATGTTGGCTAAGAGCTCTTTTTTTTTTGAAGCCTGGAGACAATCTCTTAGGCCATGGGATGAATGAAAATTACATATCACGACACAAAGTATTAATCATCGTTGATCTGGTTTATTCCTTTTTTTTTAGTCTTTTTTCTTCTGGTCTTCCCTGTTATATCCATATTCCTTACCATACACATAATCTTTCTGCGTGGGCGTAGAGTACATATACAAAAAGACATGGAGAGGTGGGGATCAAAAAGAAAATTTGACCGCGCAAAAAAGAAACGAGATACATGATCAAGTGGAAAGAACTCCGATTTCCAGAAAATGAAAATAAAATAACGGGGGAGCGAAAAGGGGTGCAGGAACTGGATGTGTACAAAGGCAGCAAGACATAGGCGGGAAGTATGAGGAGAAAAGACCCGCAATATAAGAAAAGAAGAAATACAGCAAAACGCCATGCCAATGAGATGGAGACATAGACTATAAAACAAGGTCCCCCTTCATGATATTTAGAAACTGGGGACTACTTTTGCTTTTCTTCTCTTTAGGGGGTTTTGATTACTTCAGACGAAAGTAACCAAGTACATATCCCATAGACATTCAGCGGCGTTGGTTAGAACTTGCGATCTAAAAGGAATTGCTGTATTTCAGGTTTTCGCCAGCCCTGAATTGCATGAGAAACATTCAAATTAGCATCAAGTTCACCCAAAACCGCAGATAAAAAAAGGTTTTATATCATGAAACAACAAACGATTAAGGGAGCTCAAGAGCCTTAAAATTCATTTTCATGGCTTTTCGCATACCTTCACAATTACATGGCCATTCAGCCGATTGATCACCACATCATTAGGATTCTGTTCCATTCCTAGGGCCTTTATCAAATCGTTTCGCAGCGCATCGACATCGCCTTCTGTTTTTTGTAGCTTGGTTTCCTGTCTCGTGCCTCCCGCTTTCGTGACGAGATACACAGGCAGTTGATTCGAAGGGGTGCGGCGGATGAAATAGGGAAGATTGGTGAGAGGAAGAACGGGCGGGTGAGCCGTGTCTTCGGCGGATAAGCTTTGGGATGCCGTTGTGTCTTTGAGCGTGGATTTTGATTTTGAAAAGGGCTTGGTGATACGTGTGGTTATGGAACGGGATTGCTGGGAGCGCAGGGAGAGAAGAGGCGAGGATGGTCTGGGTCGTGCTATTTAGGAAGAGACATTAGCAATCGCATATATGTTGATTGACCGAGGCTTGGAATGCAAGATAAATGCACATTGCAAGGCGTAAAGGGCACGCGAGGAAGCGTGGGAATCCGGGATGCTCACGGGATTGGATTGACGCCGACTGAGTGTAGAATTGGAGCAATGGCGCCCTAGAGCATTGGCACGAGGAGATGAAGGAGCTGGACCGAGCATGAAGGGAAGATATGGAGGGCGTTCTTCGCAATGGAGCAGAGAGGCTCGACGAGAATATCAAAGCCATGGCGATTGGCGCAGAATTGAACCAGTAACTCGATTAAATATTAAAGTAGCGGATTGTTCTGTATAATGAGCCTGTCCACACCTCTCGCTGGTGGATGCACGTTCAACTTCAGCTGCCCCGTGAGCTGGTATGTCGCTGGTCGTCCACAAAAGCTCTCTTCGAAACGATTTCTTTCTTGCTTTTGCAGGCGGAGAAGGCAGTTGGGCCTAGGCCGGATCGGGGCTAGCGTGGACAGCACCCACTGACATTTTTTCGAACTCGCGCGAACCGCACAACAAGAACGCACGACAACGGCATCTCGATTTCACCTTGTCTGGTCGTATTCTCCCAATCATGGCGGACAATGTACCTCCCTCAGCCGACACCCTGCTCAAGGGTGCAGCTTCACGCTCAGCCAAGACCCCCGAAGAGATCATCAAAGAATACGACCTTTTGCCAAAATTGATACCCTACCTCGACCGCCACCTTGTGTTTCCGTTGCTCGAATTTGCGTCCAGTCAGGAGGAAAATGATGAGGCCATAGACGAGATCACAAAGTCAAAATATGAGCTTCTCAAGCAGACGAATATGACCGATTATGTTGCCAATCTGTGGCAGGAGATCAACGATTCCGACACCATTCCTCAGGAATTCATAAAGAAGCGAGAGGAGGTTGTGCAGAGACTGCAGCAGTATGTGGAGGAGAGCAGCAAGATCACGGAGCTGTTGCAGGACGACAATGTGGTGGGCAACCTTCGCAGCGATAAGGCTGCCAATTTGAAGTTCCTTGAGGAGCAGCATGGCGCGACGATAGATATGGTTAACATTCTTTACGACTACGGCCGATTCCAATATAGCTGTGGTAGCTATGGAAACGCGGCAGAGCTTCTCTACCAGTTCCGCGTGCTGTCCACAGACAACGACAAAGTTGCATCTGCGACATGGGGCAAGTTGGCTTCGGAAATCCTGACTACCAACTGGGAGGGCGCCATGGAAGAAGTTCAGAAAGTCAAGGACTCCATTGATACCAGGCTATTCAATAACCCCTTGGGCCAACTTCAGCACCGCACCTGGCTGATCCACTGGTCCCTCTTCCCTCTCTTCAACCACGAACCCGCCCGCGACGTCCTTACCGACCTTTTCTTCTCTCCCGCCTACATCAACACCATTCAGACTTCGTGCCCCTGGATCCTCCGCTACCTCACCGCTGCCGTCATCACCAATCGCCAACGTGTCCACAAGAACTCGTCTCTTTACCAGAAGCAACTGAAGGACCTGATCCGGATTGTCAGACAAGAAGAATACGAATACCAGGACCCCATCACCGACTTCATCAAGGCGCTATACATTGACTTTGATTTCGAGGAAGCTCAGAAGAAGCTTGGAGAGGCTGAAGAGGTTTTAAGAAGCGATTTCTTCTTGGTCGCTGCGGCAGATGCGTTTGTTGAATCCGCGAGACATTTGATCTCTGAGAGCTACTGCAAGATCCATCAACGGATTGATATCAAGTACGTGTTAAACTCCTAAAACAACATACTCAATTCTCAACACTAACCTATCACTAGGGACCTGTCAACCCGACTTGGCCTCAGCCAGGATGAGGGCGAGAAATGGATCGTCAATCTCATCCGGGATACCCGTGTCGATGCTAAGATCGACTACAAGGAGGGAACGGTTCTTATGAACCATCCTCCACAATCAGTATACCAACAAGTTATTGAGAAGACAAAGGGAGGCTTTTTCAGAACTCAAGTCCTAAGGTAAGGAGCAATTTTACGTGTGCGATCAGTACTCTGCTAACCCTACTCTCTCAGTGCCGCCGTTGCAAAATAAATCTTTCAGGGACGATTTTATTGAAGGAGTGAGAAAATATAGATAGCTATCTTCGTGGGGCTATAGCCAGTTATTTTCCCGGTGTGGGGAGGAAGAGTTTGCATTTTCCTGGAGATGCTGACTCGACTTTTTATGCTCTTTTATTCTGGGTTTCTCTTTTCCATGTTCATTTTATCTACTCACGACGAGAAATGGATGTTGGGAAACACTCGGCGGGCGTTAGATTTTTGTCTGGTAATTTATTCGATGAAGACTTTACGTTTTGAAATGCCAAAAAATGTCATGCCTAGTTTTGCTCCTTTTCGACTCTCTCCTTTTGTGAGATTGATCTTTAGCAAGTGACAAAAAGGGGGCCTGCCTTGGGTTTGCTTTTAGGGGGATTGACGAAATATGTGTTGGGCCGTATTTGTATGGGGTAGTTTCGCAACCTATAAGCCCTACTTTGACCGATGGCGGCGGCCCGTGTAACAGTAACGGGGTAAAGCAGGCAGAATGTTCAAGTAGAGCAGGTTGACATTCGTATATAATCACGCACCTTTATTATATCGGAGAATTCTTGAGAGCCACAGATGGATATTATAGGGGATATTCATCAGGAGCTTTCAGAAGTTTGCAGCCAAATAAACCCCAAGCGGCTGAGAGTGTACTCGAACAACAAAAAGCAATTGTAAGAGCACTCCATCCTTAAGAAAAACTCAAGAGCCACAGGGAAACAGCTGGCGAGAATTGGCTGGGGAGCCGTAACCGGTGCTATTCGGCGGGATAATTCGTCTCTTAGTGCCTGCGGTTCCATTGCCGCCCTATTATGTAACCGACATGCACAAGGCTGAAGGATGAAACGTGCCGTATTCTCCCGTACGAGGAAGGGTTTGAAAGACAACTGAGCAATCGGAACCCGGGTTGATGCTCTCAGGATCGCGTGGTGCGTAAGAATGTGGCTGTTAGCCACAACGTTTGGGAAAACCGGCAATGACGGGATCTAGAGGACGGGTATAAAATGGCGTTAGTGGTGAGACGACTATGCAGGGGTATTTGGTGTAGGTTAGATCAAAGTAGGGCACGGCTGTCCACGGACTAGGTGGAATAAGTCGTTCGCATCAAGCGTATCGGCACTGCGCTTTCGATAAAAGGGTTAGTTTTCCATCCCGGGCATTTTCATAAGAGCTCGGAAACAATACCACAATCTAGCAAATATAACAGGGATTCAAGGTGTTGCAAGTCTTGAGTTTTATTTCCCCATGAGATACCGGACGAAAAGTTTTGTTGGGAAAGGGGTATGCCCGATAGATGCATACCATCAAGTAACAGAGAGCTTCTTCTAGCCGCAAGAGCCACTAGAGGAATTTTCTAAATTTGCGTGTGCTGTGGTCCACGACTTCGTCCAGTCTCTCGTTGCGCTTGGCAAGTATCGAGACAAGGCAGCTAGGCCTATGGCGAGATAAGATACCGGCACGGTGGGACCAGAATAGTTCGAAAAGATTCTCCGAATTCTGCTCAAAAACACATGGTATCTAATAGGTAACAAGAAGCGATCGACAGGCAGAACAGGGGGATATGATATGTATACTGATGCCAGAAGGGGTATGTCCAAGAGAAGATTCCAGATATTGCGCCATTCTAAATGCCTAACTCCAACGCAGCACCCGAGAAAGAACATATGGAGCTATTATTAGAACAAGTTGGTTGGTTTTGCGGGGGCTCGTAGGCTCGAATATGATTGAGCGATGGGGTGTCCAATGCCCCTTCGAAAGTGCTTAGAGGGAGGCTGAGCTCCAGGTAACCAGGGATAGGTAAGAGTGAGAGACAGTGAATAAGGCTGAGATGAGTTGACCGGAACTCAGACAGGTAGGAAACGATCACCATGACCGTTTCGTTCTCGGGTATCGATCTATGGGATAGGGTTTACTATCCCGGACTCGATCCCGCTCGCGATTATCTCGACGGCCGACGTATACTGGCTGATTAATGTAGGGCTCTGTCCCTTTACATTCGGATTTCTCGTGGGTAGTCAGTCCGGAGACCTGCGTCATTCTGAGGGAGGCCTCCTGTTCGTAGACTTGAGACATCTTTTTCAAATCGTCGATTTGCCCCTGAATCCGTGCGTGTCAGTGCTTCTGTCACTGGTTGAAGGGGGGTTCTTTGAAGAGAAGTAGCGTACTCTCGTGAGCGGAGCTCCCGTGACAAGATAGCCTTCCCGTCCCTGTGGCACCCAGTTAGGACAAGCGCAAAAAAAAAAAAGGATTCAGAAGCCCGAGTCACCAAGCCGCATACCTGGTAGCTATACGGCCTCACAGAAGCAGTTGGCCCGAGGAAATATTGCATTTTACTGAGGACGATATGGCGGGAGAGCCCGTAGCCGGGTAACCAATACTCCTGCGGCTGAGACATTTCTTTCAAGCCAAGATGGAGCAGAGACAGACGTAGAAATCTGAAGCAAACGATAGATGATAACTTGCTATCTCCCAAAGCCGAGATAGAACTGAAAACGTGCTGGAAATGTTTTGATCAAGCGCTGTCAATCAAGACGTCAAGCAGCTCACCCTTTTCCCGAAAGGGGAGAGGACTGGTAGTATACGAGGGATGAAAGAAGGCGACCACGCTTCTCCGCAGGGTAGGCAGTTGGTCAGTGGACTCGACTAGGGCAGGTTTAGTTAACTGATAGACGGGCATCAAGCAGTGCCCGCCGACCCTGGCGACCAGCGCTTTATATGTCTCGCGATGCCCGAAAGCGTTTTCTGCAGGCGCGAAGGCGGTGACGTCGAAACTGGCTGCCACCACGCGCTAGGCCCGAACGGGACGCCCGCCTCGTTTTGAGCCAAAGTGAGGCTGCCGCCCAACGACCAACGAGCGAGCCTGCCGGCAACCGCTGGCGCGCAGTGACACCCGGCGGTCGACGCTGCTTGCTGCTTGTTGCAGGCCCGTTTCTGCCTGCTGCTCATCGTGTTCTCTTGCAATTTGATACCCCCCGGGTTGCAGCCTGCACGCGATGGTCTTACATGCCTGGCAGGCTTCAGTCCTTCTCTTCTTCTTCTTCTTCTTCTTCTCTGCTGCATGCATGGGCTATACGAAAGCGTTCGAGCAAAATGCTTGACGATAGGGGGCCGTGGTCTAGGTTCGGCATCTCTGGAAGAAAAGGAAAAAAAGAGCCAAATGATCTGCAATCACTGGCGGCTTGTTACCACGCGAATGCCTTTCGGTTTCCGAATGGCTGGCGCCGATTGATCGTTCGAAAACGAACTCAGGACGTACTCAGAATGAGGCGGTGACATCGGGGATGGGTCCCGAGGTTTTGGGGGCTTGAGAGCCACTCGATTCGGCTGTTGAACTATATATGTCCTGCGTCTCCTCGCCAACCAACTGGGAATCTCGATCTGGAAAGTTTGAATGGTTTTCGATGCGATGGTCAAAAAGGCTGTACAGCCAGATCGACATCTGGCGCCTGGACCACAGTCTAATGAAGCTCCAACAGTGATTTCACCAACAAAAAGGGGATCTCGGCGATTCCAGGGCGGGGATGTCTCAGAAAAAAAGAGTTGAAAAGAAACGGCCGTTGGCTCTGGGTCGCGCGTCTTGAGCCTTGAGGGGGTGACTGGTCTCGGGCTGCGACAACCCCTGACGAGCAGGAAGCAGCATTACTCGCATCAAACCGGTAAACCAAAAACGCGATGCTGAGATGGCGTCCCCCAGCATGGCTTCCTAAATTGCGGGGCAGAGGGCCTGACATCCCTGGCACAGCAAGCTGGGCTATTAGGGGAATCAGAATGCTCCTGTGCCGAAAGGGGGAGCGAGACATGCGTCCAGGGGGCGGGCAGCGTAAGCTCTATAGACATGATCTCTATATGCTGGGATTGGCCAGCGGATCCTAACAATCTGAACGTGCCTACACCAGAACTATGTAACTGCGTTAATCATCGCTAGCCGTACTTCCTAAACGTAACCATATCCATACCAATTTGCATCAACGCCCTAAAGTACACTGAACCCAGTTGGAGTTGGCATATGGGAACCTTGCTCTCCGAAAGCCAAGGACAACCGTGCCATGCTGCCTAGTTTATGAAAAGAGGCGTCCATGATCTACTGGGCGCACGACACTCATCATCATACCCAAAATTTCTTCGAGAGACAGCATTCTCGACAACTTCTCTCCCAGTGGCAGCAGAAAGAACGGAGCGCACGTAGGGCTGGCCCGCGGTAACACTGCATCTTGTATCCCGTAGGCTTCCCTGAATCTCACAACTCTTTGATATTTCCATCCTAACCATAGTATTCTCAATCCGATTTTAAACAAGCCCTTAGTGGCCAAAATCTCCTTGCTTTCCCAGGCTGTGTGCCAAGAGGACTTCCCTATTCTGCCTTCTGGTCACACCGCAACGAAGAAAATCCAGCCGCTCAAACACCATCCTAGCCCTCCATAAATGGCAAAAAAGAAAAATAATAGCCGTAGTCACAAGGATGCAGGAATTAAAACCAAAAAGAGAATTAAAAAAAACAAACCCAGTTAACCCGCCTTGTCATCCCTTTCCCAATATCCTGCACATACAGATGGATCGTCGGACCCCAAGGTCTGACCGAGTACAGTGCCATCCACAAACCCGTGGATATATTAATCCAACCGGGGAGAATATTACCCAATTCAGGGCTCGTACTGAGAAGGCAACAGCTCCATCGATAGAACCACACAATCCCGTCGCCAACGCACAAGCACGCACTGGCACTGCCGTGCGCTCTCCGGAACCCTGCAGAAACGCAACCCCAAGCCGAGCATTCCGGGCGGGAAAGAAGTTGTCCGACAGTGAAAACGCCCGCCAAATATAAACCCAGAATCCCTCAGGAGACGGGGCCAGGGGAGGGGGGTGGAGCCAGTTTGTTTTGCCTACCCGCTCGTCTGTATATCCGTCTTTTGCCAGTCCTGTTTGATTTTGGCCTTTTCGTTCCGCTGTCCCCTTGTTGCAACCGCCCTGTATTGGGTATAGCAACGTTGGATTTCCAACTCGGCCCAGCCGTAAGATTCGGTTCCAGTTCGCGGTGTTGGATAAATACACATGTGGAGTAATCTGTGGATGGGACGATAAATAGAAGAGAAAGGGAAGAAAACAAATTCCGGTGTTCGGGAAAGAGGGATTGAGAGTGGGTGAGTCTTGAGGATTCTATGCACTAGTGGATGCCTTGCGCTTCTTGAAAATAAGGCGACCGCATGGTTCGCCAGGACAGGGGGGAGGGAATATCCAGGAAGAACCAGACCGACACTCGCCAATGATTGTTAGTTTATAAGCAAAACTTGTCCGTTTGCCTGGCTTAGTTCAAAACAGTTGATCGGAATGAATCCCAATTTTGGCATGGGGGGATATCTTATTGATTCTAGTTTAAACAGACCAAAGTTTGCTTTTCAGCACTACTCTTGGGGGGGCTGATATGGATGTACAAGCATATCACTGAATCTGCAGTTTTTCGAAGTTCTCATCAGCATCTGCTTCGATTCGAATTAAACGTGTTTCCGAGGGCATACCTTTCAAGTTTCTCCTTTCCCCGAACCTCCTCAACTAGTAGAGGCATTCGAACCACGTTAAAATCCTCGTATAACTCTTCAATCTCGTTTAGATATTTCTTTTGCATTTTCCGCCTCGCCTTGCACTGATCACATGTGCTATCCTTTCCAGGGAAGAGAAGCTGGTTAACGACAATGGCATGGGTGTCAATGTGATAACTTGTCAGCTCCTGAATCATCCGCTCCGTCTCATACAAGGACAAGAACTCTGCAATGCATACGCACACGAATGTGGTGAGGTCTGCGTTTTTGAATTGGGTATTAACTTCGCTGATGGTTTCCCGGAGGGACTCCATCTTCGATAAAACATCGTCGAGATTCTGGCCCCCTGGCAGGCCCCCTCTTGCGCCCAGGACAGAGTTTAGCATTGGGCCAAACTGGCTTGACAACTGAGATAATTTGGCAAGACCCTTTTCGAGGACGGTCGGAAATTGCAAGAAGCGGAGAGTATGGCCGGTTGGCGCAGTATCGAAAACAATAACTTCATACGATAGGGACTTGACCTGCTTCAACACTTCCGCAAAGGACATGGCTTCATCAACACCGGGTATCTAGCACAGTTAGTCAGCGACTTCACACAGAAACCAGACCACTCACACTAAACGCCAAATCTTGCATCATCCCTCCCAATCCAAATCCCATATCCTCCGCTTGGTCCCCACCCGCAGCCATGAGGTCCTGCATGCTCGCACTCGGATCAATTTCCATCGCGCTCAAGTTGTCAAACCCATCGATGAGTCTCGCTTCCTTGCCGAACTTTTGCCCAAAGGCATCACTCAAATTGTGCGCAGGGTCGGTGGAGATCAACAGGACCGACTTCCTGACTTTGGCAAGCTGAATGGCGAGAGAGCACGAGGTGGTTGTTTTGCCAACACCACCCTTTCCACCAACGAAGATCCATCGTAGGCTTTTTTGGTCGAGGATGTTTTGGAGAGTGGGCTCGAGGATATCGTCCGCGGGGACGACGGCGGAAGACATGATGGAGCGTGTGGTAAGGTTATGCGTACGGAGTTGAACTAAATGATCTGCTGATGGCAGGATATAACTATTTCCACTAGAAGAGCTTGGTGATATTCCTGGCTTCAATTCTTATGCGCGGGGGACGTATCTTCGTGGGGTCGAATGACGAGGCGATTGTGTTCTAGAAACTTCTTAGCACCTTGTAGGTGGCACTTCAAGACACAAAGAATGGAGACCTTACCAGTATCATGCAGTGCTCTTAGGGATAGGGAAATTCAAAGCTCTCAAACCGCAATCAACGGCATGCAAAATCCAGGCATGAGGTCCCTCCTGCCACATGGGAGCAGGCTGATTATGTAAGGAAATTCACATGGCAACAAGTCAAGGTACAGGGACCGGAGGATAGATATTCCGTTGTTTTGCTCTCTGCGGGGTTGATATTACAATCGAGATTGAACGGGGAAGAGATTACTCTTATCAACAGCGTCATCTACCGCTAGTATCAAATTGAAATTTGATCGTAATAAGACATTTTTTGAGAATGGGCGATCGCGATCCCATCACCTGCCATGTCCTCAACATATACGACGGAGCCCCTGCCGCAGGACTATCCTGCTCGCTCACCTTGATCCACGCCGACGCCTCGAGCACCTCAAGCACCCAAGGACCACCCCCATCCATTTTCTATGGAACTACTGACGCTGACGGGCGCGTGAAAAAATGGAGGCCCTCCTCTGCGTCTCCAGCATCGCTCTCAGAGGTTGTGGCGTCTCTTCCCAACCAAGCGGGCTCTGGAGAAGGTTCCTCTGCGCGATCGACCTGGAGCATCCGATTGATGAATGTGGCAGAGTGGTACAAGCAGCGAGGAGTGGCATCCCTTTGGCCGGAAGTGGAAGTTAAATTCATGGTGGAAGGGAGAGAAGGAGAAGAAGGCTGGAGACATTATCATGTACCCGTGCTACTTGGGCCATTCAGCTACTCGACGTACCGCGGATCGTAGGTCGAGGTTTGAAAAGCACCTACAGAGAATGATCACTGCCGCAGCTCTTCATCGTCACCACAGGAAGATGCGGTTCTAGACTATTCAGCCTTGCTTTTCTCGAATTTGATCTCAATGGAGAACTTGATTTTCATGCGATCTGCTGTTGTACTCGATCCTTCGTCCAGCCATAGCACTCGTAGATCAGATCGAGAATGACATTGACACGTCAAAAAAAGCCTCCAAAGCGACCGCATGATTGCTTTTGCCACCAGTATGATGTTCTTCGATCATGTTCCAGAGACAGCATCGACCTCTTCTGTGTCCTTCCCGTCCCTTCCTCTGGGTGCAAAGGGAGCAAACCGTGGGAGAAGCCGCCAAATCAACACGTCATCGCCGCCAGGTCTGTGCATATCCCAGCCAATCACAAACTCCCAACCCCCACTTCGCCAAGTCTATATACCCCACTCAATTGCCGGAGGATTGTCAATCCAGCCAATCAGGTTACCCAGGCGCAAATCGAAGAGCCAGGTGTGTGCTGTGATTGGCTGTAACCCTCAAAAGACCCACCTACTGTACCATTGGTGCCTGTGATCTCATAGGCTGTGTTCCAACCCGCAATCTGTCGGCTGCACAAGGAGGGTACTTTGACGATACCCGGCTTGAGAGGGACAACCACCCACAAGAGCAAGTACTTGCCATGTAGCCTCCACCCCAAACCAGACGCAAGTCGTTGCTGGGAACTGGAGTCAGCATCTCTTCACTGCTCCCTCGATCCCTGCCCGCACATTCACTGGTTGAGGACAGAATACTTAAGATTCGGGGGTCTGTCCCCAGAGCAGCATACGTCACTTTCTTGAACCTCCCGCTTGTGCTTCATCCTCACTATTGCTGTGGCCGCCGCGACAGTGTCCTCAAGAGACATCAAGAATCTCAATTGAAGAGCAGTCAGTGCGCGATCAAATTAGATGATTCAACCTGAGAACGATAGTTGACTAAATCGGCTTCTTTTTAAACTCCCACTTCGGTCTTCTTAGCGTTCATCGTCCGCAATACGCCTTTTTCCCACTCAATCAACGGCCATTCTGATCGAGAGCGACGTGATAATTTCCTCATTATTCGGTCTCGGGCGGCATACTATTTGTTCATTGCTATCCGGGACTTCTTCCACGACGCCGGAAACAAACAGGTTCTTCCGCAGGGATTCGTACGGTGCCCATCACGCGAGGAAGTATTACTGCTCTCCGCTTTTGACGACCCCCAAGTGAGGTGAGTAGACGAGTGCCTCTGCTTGCCTTTCTTTGCTTGGCTCCTGCGTCAATTCTCGAATGCCCATAGACAGCCTCTCGTCCTGGCGCCGCCTGCTTGTATCTCCTGCCGACCTGTGGCAGTGGCCCCCTTTTTGTATGCGGTGCGATTTGAGTTGCCAAGCCCCGCGCTGCTTATCTAATGCACACAACGACATCACTATGTCGTCAGATCGCTTTTTTTTCCCTCGAGATTTTCTCTTTCCCCCTTCCGTCATCCTACATCATCGTCCATCGCCATCCCATCAGCCCATCATCATTGCATCAATCGCTTGTTGCTGTGTCGACCACAAACCGTATTTTTACTCGATTGACCGTGCCTTGCTGACCTCATATTTCCTATTACGTTGTACAGCCCATCGACCGTCGCTGTCGCCAGTTTGCTGTCGCTGGGTCGCGCGTCTGTCGTCATTCTTCCGCCGTCTTCTCCTTTCCGCCGTTAATCTTATTATTTTCTCCGCCGCATCATGTCCAGCGCCGCTGTCGCCAAGAGAGGCTCGCCTCGAATTGGGCGTCCGGGGTCGCGGACGGACTCCCCACTCGATGCTAATAACCCTCTACTGAAGACTGAAGGTAAGGCCTCTTACCCCTTGCACTAACCCTCCCGGTTAAAAATTTTCTTTTTCCTTTCTCACCATGCCCTTTCGATAATATCCCCTTCGTGTGTCTTACTTCACTACCAAGGCATGTCGTGACCGCATGCTGATGCCGTCTTAGGCTCCCAGGAAGCAAATAGGAAAGAATCAAAAGTTGTCACCGATGCAGACGTGACACAATCCATCTCTGCTCCTCGCCGTCCCGGCCAATCCGAGTCTGAAACAGATTACTTTTCCGCTGTCCATAATACCAACCACTTTTCCTTTGAACCCAACCCGTTCGACCAATCTTTCGGGAACCCTTCTGCGGAAACTCCAGGCAAATCTCTCCTGCCACCGGTTGCGGCTCTTACCTCCCCTTCCCTACCCGGCACAACGACTGCAGGCGGGTTTACTTGGCCCAATTCTCTGAGAGCAGGGCCGTTGAGCCCGGCGATGCTCACTGGCCCATCGGGGTCTGCCGACTTTCTCGATAGTATTGGCCGAGGCTTTCCCACCCCGAATGAGTCCTCTCTCCGTACGGGGCTCACCCCCGGCGGTGGAGGTTCCATGTTCCCAGCACCAAGTCCTGGTGCAACGTCTATGCTTCAGCAACTTCAAAGTGGTGGCGCTACACCTTCGACTTTAGAATTTCATCGCACCGCCATCAACGCAGCAAGGAAAAATGGTGCTGGTGCACCCACATCGAACCCACAAGATCCAGAAATCCTTCAACAAGCAGCAAACATGGAAATTACGAAATCTGGTCCACAACTCGACCCATTTACTCACCCTGACGCCACAGATGCTGCCAACGGTCTTTATATGCTAGCTAAAGGGGGTCAAGCCGACAGTATGCAATATCCTCAAGCAGGATCTCAAGCAGCATCTGAAGCTCGGGATGCCTACTCCAGAAATAACACCCCCCTTAACGGTTCCTTTATTGCTCGAAACGGCGATGTCACAGACCCACACCTCAATGGAAATATGTCCGATGGGACTGTCGACCACGCCAAACCTAATGGTCGTAGCAAAGGGAAGAAGTCTACCGCTAAGGCTTCAAATACCGCGAATGGACGAAGAAGAGCTGAGGAGACAAAAGGAGGCTCGAACAAGAAAGCCAAAGGTGCTAATGGAGTGGCAATTGATAGAGGCAACGAGGACGAGGACAAGATGTCTCAGAACGAAGGTGGTACTGGTCATTCTAAGAAAATGACTGATGACGAGAAACGCAAGAACTTCCTAGAGCGTAATCGGTGTGTATTTCTCATATCCTAAAGTGTGTCTTCTGACTAAGCTTACTAACAATTCGATTCCAGTGTTGCCGCTCTAAAGTGCCGTCAAAGAAAGAAGCAATGGCTCGCAAACTTGCAAAGCAAGGTTGAAATGTTTGCACAGGAAAATGATAGCCTTTCTACAACTGTCACCAAACTGCGGGAAGAGATTGTCAGCCTCAAGTCGCTACTATTAGCCCACAAGGATTGCCCCGTTTCTCAAGCCCAAGGGTTGAATGCCGGCCTTTTGATGAATGGCCTTACTGCTGGAGACTTTATGCAACCACCCCCCCATCCTTATGGTATCCCGATGCCCCACGGAGCGCCTATCCCAGCTCAAAATATGGCTCGAAGATAGTGGAACTTACACCCTACTATTGGGAATTCCCAACACCTGACAACCCCGATTTTTAATTGACCATTCTCTTTCTAGTTGTAAATGTTTATCTGTTACTTTTGCCTTCTTCCGTTTCGTTTCTACGTGTGTTTTATGAGGAATTAGGGGTGTTTTCGGGTGTTTGCCGGAGTGTTTTGCTTTTTCTTTTACATGGTGTCACGGGCGGCAAAAGGAGAGAGGGCAAAAGAGAAAAGGGCGGATCGGAATCGGGGAACAACCACCTACCCCATTCCTCATTGGCGTCTGAATGTCTTGTGTCGAGTTTCAAAATGCTTATGGTCTATCTTATTTGCGTTCACAGCCCGCCTGGATGCCAGCTGCTCTTCCTCCGCAGGATCGAAGATCATACACTGGGCTTGCCTGGTTGGTAACGTTGGATTTATTATTTTTTCTCTCCAAATGCACTTGGATGGTTCTTGTTTTGTGTGGACTCTTGTTACGTTCAGCTTTATGCCTTTTGATTGTCACTGAACTGGTGTATCACCTTCGTTGCGACGTGGCTGCGGTGCCTTTTGCTTCTCAGTGGAAGCACCCCCGGTCAAGTGCATCAAAAAGCATTTATTTCAGTTTCCCGAGCTTTTCTTCTTGCTGTGGACTTTGCGGAAGCGTTCTGAAAGCCATAGTTTTGAGATAATCTTACGGGGTATATGTACAATATTATTAGAGACTACATGATTATCTATTTGCCTGCTTGCTGCCCTTCCTACATTACATGCCTGTAGTAAGATCTCGACCAACCCGCGCTGTGTTGTCAATCATGCTACATTGACACGGCCCACGACCCCGGAGTCCGTCACGTGATCGATAACTGCCTGAACAACCTGGGCTGCGACAATCAAAGCGAGTCGCGTCGGCGATTGCGCAGCAGCTCGGAATCTTCCATGGCCAGCAGCACGATCCACGGGGGAACGTCAAAACCAATGAATCCAGCCATTCTCCAGATGCTCCGTCGTACCCCAGACCGCCAGCGATGCCTCCAACCTCGACCCCCTCCAACCACCGCAGTCGCCGTATAGATGACGCCCTCTCCCAGCTCGTCGACTCCCTGCTCCCGCAACGATCTAGTAGCCGTCAGCCGCGAGGCGGCAGCGGCGACAATGACGCGTCGAATGAGTATATGGACGAGTATGCTCGCGCAGAGGCCGCGGAGGCGGAGGAGCTACGGCGTCGTCGCGCGTTGGATCTTGCGTGGAGGATAATTGATGCCCATGGCAATAACGGTGTGGGTGCGGGGGGGCCTATCGAGAATAACAACGGTTACGGTGAGCAGAAGCCGCAGCGACGGGGCGGATCGGTGTCTCCTGATATGATCAACAACGCACCGGATATGATTAAGCGGAAGTTGCTAAGGGAGAATGCGTCGCCGGATAAGGCGATGAGGTTTTCGAATCTGTATTCGAGGCTGTTGACGCAGCCGGTGCTGGGGCAGAAGTGGGCGATATTGTACCTGCTGTACCGGATTGGGGAGGGGGGCGAAGATGAGGATGATGGTGTTGCAGAGGGGATGATGGGCGGAACGAATCTGAGACGGATGCTGGATGGGCGGCGGAGTCCGTTGATGGAGGAGAATCAATTGGATAATATGGTGTTTGCGAATCGATTGGGGGGGAGGAAGAATGTTGCAGAGAGCATTGCTCCTGGTTCATCGGCTTCTGCGGCCGGGAGGGAGCACCCGTCTACTCAGCGGCGCGCGGGAATGCCAAAGGATGGAGTGGATATGGCGAGGTCGAAAGAGAGCGAGAGGAAAAGAAATGCGGAAGAAGAGATCAAGGAACGCAAATCGGCGCGTCGACAAGCCGAAGAATCGATATCAGCACCCCAAACACCCAAGCACAGCCAGCCCGCTGAAAGCACTGACGAGGGCGCACCGCCCGAAGAGCCGGCTCTTTTACGAGACTTGCCGTTTTGTCTGCAAGGCTTGTCGACTACCAATCTTCAGTTTTCGAGTTCTACCTTGAAATTACCGACTACACTCCCTATTCCACTCATATCATTGCTACACACTTTGGCGGAACCATGTCTTCTCTATCAAGGCCTGTCTGAGTTCGTTAGCAGATCCGAGGGGGGGCTCATAGAACAGAGTCTGCGAGCAGCTATAAGCGCTGAGCTTCGATCTTATCTAGGCTTAGTCGCAAGCCTAGAAGGAGAGATTAGAACGGCTCTTACGGCGGTGTCAGAATCAGTCGATAGCCCAACGTCTGTAATGAAAGCAGGCGTCACTCTCAAACGCTGCGTTGTTTGGATGAGAGATGCCACAATGGCCCTACGCTTGATGAGTCTCATGGTTAAAGAGGTCGAGGGTAAGAAAGGGGGCCAATTGATATCTATGATTCACGGTTTTTCAACGTCCCACGGAGACCCCTTTGTTGGCGCTTTTGCAGAACGGCTTTTGGCACATGTTACCCGGCCATTTTACGGGATGTTGACGCAGTGGATATACGACGGGGAGTTATCGGATCCGTACTGCGAGTTCTTCGTCGTGCAGCCGGAAAGCCGCCCGTCTGGTGATCCACGTCGAACGGCAACGAGTGTGTGGGATGAGAAGTATAAGCTGGACGATGCGATGGTTCCTACGATAATGACGCATGATTTTGCAAAAAAAGTGTTTTTGATTGGGAAATCTCTCAATTTCATTCGATACGGCTGCGGTGATTCTGCCTGGGTGGTTGCATATTCTCGAGATGCCTCAAAGGAGTTACGATATGGAGATACTGCTACGCTTGAGACGTCGATTGACGAGGCGTATAAAAGTACAATGGCTCGTCTCATCTACCTGATGGACTCGAAGTTTAAATTATTCGAACACCTGGATGCACTAAAAAAGTACCTTTTACTAGGCCAAGGAGACTTTATCGCTCTGCTTATGGAGTCGCTCGCCTCGAATCTTGACCGGCCGGCCAACTCACAGTACCGTCATACCCTGACAGCTCAATTGGAACATGCCATTCGAGCGTCAAATGCACAGTACGACTCGCCAGATGTGCTTCGTCGGCTTGATGCACGGATGCTGGAGCTTAGTCACGGCGAGATCGGCTGGGACTGTTTTACACTTGAATATAAAATCGATGCTCCGGTTGACGTGGTCATAACACCCTGGGCCTCGACACAATATTTGAAACTTTTCAATTTCCTATGGAGAGTCAAGCGGGTAGAGTTTGCGCTTGGCAGCACATGGCGACGATGTATGACCGGAGCAAGGGGGGTGCTAGGGAGTGTCGAAGACAAAGTCGGCCCAGACTGGAAGTTGGCGCGCTGTGTCATTGCGGAGATGATACATTTCATATGCCAGCTCCAGTATTACATACTTTTCGAGGTCATCGAAGCCAGCTGGGATCAGCTACAAATCGCAATATCAAAACCAGGATGCACACTCGACGACCTCATAGAAGCGCACACAAAATACCTGAACTCTATCACCCACAAGGGCCTCCTCGGCTCATCATCATCTCGCAGTTCCTCCTCAACCAGCAACCGAGGCGAAGACTCCTTTCTAGCCCAACTCCACCAAATCCTCAAAGTCATGCTCGCGTATAAAGACGCCGTGGATGGACTCTACTCCTTCTCCGTCGCAGAATTCACCCGACGGCAAGAATTCAACGCAAAGATCGAAACCCGTACCGCCCAAGGCCGATGGGGCGTGACGGAAAGAGACCTGCAATCCATCCACTCGGCGAGAACCAGTCGCCCCGGATCGACAATGCGACGACCAAGAGCAGATTCCAACTCCCCGGCCGTTGACTCACCCATCGACAACGGTGGGCTTCTTCGCTCATCGACGGATGGCACGCCTTTGGGCGGTGCGGCTTCGCCTTTTTTCAGCTCTAGTCTCGCTGGGGAGGATCATCTACTACCATCGCTACGCTCACGACTGAGCGATTTATCAACGGAGTTCCGGGCGAGGCTGGTTACGTTGCTGGGTGATTTGGCATATCAGCCTGATGTTGACATGAGGTTTTTAGGCGTGGTTATGAATTTCAATGATGTGTATCAAGTTGTGAGGAGGAGAAGGGGTGGTGGAGGGAGTTCGGGGAAAGATAGAGAGAGGAAAAGGGGTGGGGCGGAGTCGACGGAGACGGAGAGGAAGGAAGATAAGGAGAAAGCCAAGGAAAGGGAGAAATCCACCGGGTAGGACTGGAGGTCACCGGGTTTGCTTCTTTATATTTGCGGGATTGAACATTATAGACAATTGTCTTTAGATACCTCTTTGTTGGTGAGTATTATTGGGCATATGATAGCTATGATATTTGGTTTGCTCTGACATTCCTCATGTGCTCTATCGATGTTTTGGTATCACTTTCTGCACCATACATCCGTGCATATTTGCAACGGCAATTGAGGTATGGAAAATGCCTTGCTGGAAAAAAATACATGTGGTGGGAAACTTATTACAACCATTTTCATAACTCGTCAATCAGAATCTGCTTATTATGTTAGTAAAGGACGCCAGTAAATGGGCTAGGCTAAATACCTGAACTTGAATCAGAGGTAGTGTCTGGATCTAAATCAAAAGTTAGCAATGGTATAGAGATTTTAGGAACGGATCTCGAAGAGACAACAAAAACATTGATCTGTGACAAAGATAGCCAAGGAAATCCGTTGCTACTTACTAGAGGCATCCGAATCGGATTCGGATGAAGAGGAGGTCGATGCACCGGAAGGCTTCTTTGACTGGACCGCGGCTCCATTTGACGTGCCCTGATTGATGCCTGAACTCGAAGAATCGCTGCTATTGCTATCGCTATCGCTATCACTGTCACTGTCACTGTCACTTTCGCTTTCACTGCTGCTACTGCTGCTGCTGCTGCTGCTTGTATCATCTTCTATTATTGCAGTCCCTAGCTTTCTTTTTTCGTTTTATAGCCGGTGCTGATGCATCTTTAGTTGATAATGGCTTCACTTCTTTAGCAACCCGTCCCAGACACTGCATAATAAATCAGTTCTGCTCGTTGCCTCTTCGCAAATTTCTTTTGGTGCGCTTCATCCAAAGTGTTTTGATGCCCGTCGGTTTCAGCTGTGGTTATATCCTGACCCAGTTCAGCGAGTCTCGTTTTGAACGAGATGACAGCCTGCTGGTACTTTTCATCTTGAAGCTCCTTATCGTCCACATCCGCTTGAATCGCCTCCTTGGCCGACTGCGCAACTCGTGCTTTGGCAGCTGTGCTCTTCAAGCTTGAGAGATACGCGCTCAACGCCGCGTTATAGCTCGTCGGTATCCGGTCCACGGAGAACGCATTTTTGAGAATCGCGGTTTCTCGATTCTTTTGGAATTTCCATTCTGATCGGGAGGTGTGGTAGGTTTGAAGATAGCTCAAAAGTCGATCTGATGGCGTGGGCGGAGTTGTAGGCTCCGGATCGTGTTGTGTACGCTTCTTGGCCCGTTGCTCTCGTTTCCGTCTCTTCTCTGCTCTCTTCTGTTCGGCTGTGAGAGGAGGTTGTTCAGGCTCGGAGGGAGGCTCCGACTCTGGCGCGCCGTCTGACTCTTTTGTGCCTTCTGCAAACGAGACGGACTTGCGCGAAGAACGTTTGGATTCAGTCTTTTTATGCGCCTTGACATCGGCTAGCTTCGTTACAACTGGGGCGGATTCTTTGGTTTCCTGCTTTTCGCTTTGCTCAGAGGCCTCGACGCCAGAGCAATCGTTTTTGTATAATCCATTCTCGCGCTTCTGCTTTTTGGACTTGACCTTGTCCGTTTGCTGGGATGTCGATTTCCTTTTCTTGACCTGAGTAGTGTCGCCTTTACCAACGGCACCGTTATCCGTTCCCTTATCACTATCAGTGCCATGTGACACTTCTTTGGCGAATTTTAGCTCGAGTCCTAGTTTCTTCCATGCTGGGACGTGCGAAGAGCGCGGTAGTGAGGACATCTGCGGAACCGTTCGAGGTCAGTTGACGGGAGAGACTCTAAACAATTCAGAGCGGGCGGCTGTCATCGGACCTTAGCATAGTAGTGATGGGATTCAATTCGTCCGAAACAACGTCCGAGTCGAGCTTTCAATCGCGATCTTGTTCTTCACATCTTTTTATCTGGGAGCTTTTGATCGTAAGTTTGGGCGTATTAACTCGTATCGGTAAGTTTCAGCGTATTTATCTAGCCTCATCCAGCCTAGCTGCCCCTTACCCGCTAGTCCTAATTTAGCTATATGACCTGGCGCTGAAGCTGGGTCTCAAGGCAGCTTCAACTACGCGTTCAAACAGACAATCGTCATTCCGGCTTCACACCGCAATTGATATATTCATCTGAAAGGCTGCCTGTTAATTACAAGCCCGGGACGACGGATTTATTTGACTTGTGCTCTCGAAGTCTGCTTTGCCCTAATCTCGCACAATGTCGGGTCAGTTCTGTTCAGACACCCCTTCCAACCAAGCTCGAGCTGACTGGAGCGTTGACCTAAACAGGTAGCACGGGCTATGACAGACATATTACTGTTTTCTCGGATCAAGGGAGACTGTATCAAGTCGGTAAGTTCTCATGTGCCTTTGAAGCGCAGTACTAGAGACTGACTGGATCTTGTCTCCAATAGAGTATGCATTCAAAGCCATCACAGCCGCCAATATTACATCTCTTGGAATAAGAGGAAAGAATTGCGCCGTAGTATTGTCGCAGAAGAAAGTTCCAGTTCGTCTAACTGAAGTGTGACCTACCGTGGCCGCCGCTCTAACTGTCGGATTGAACTTTAGGACAAGCTTATAGATCCATCGTCCGTAACTCATATCTTCAAAATCTCGCCAAATGTTGGGTGTGCCATGACTGGCTCTATAGCGGATGGCAGAGCCTCAGTTGATCGTGCACGGGGTGAGGCCGCCGAGTTCAGATATAAGTTTGGTTATGAAATGCCGGGTGACGTTCTCGCCAAACGGTTGGCCAATATCAGTCAGGTTTATACTCAAACGGGTTTGTGGATTCTCTCCTAGTCCGCTATCAGCATTTCGATGTGTCCTGACAATGTCACCGTTAGGGCCTACATGAAGACCACTGGGCGTTGGC